ATAACCTATCCCCGTCCTCGTTCGTGGGAAACAATTTTTGCCCAAATTCTTACTGAGTTATTCTTGATAGTTAGTGGTAAGTAAGTAGGTATTGCTGTGTCATGAACATCAAAATCAGTTCTGACGTCTTTGCATGAAAGAGTAAGAAACATTGGCATCCATCCATCATCTCCAACGATATACCTAATCAACATCAATTCTCAAAAAATCCTGAAATTTTTCCTATCATCACTATAATGAAAACTGCTTGACCTTTTATGTGAGTAGCTAACAATTTTTGTTTTAGGGTTAAGAATCCAATCAATCCGAGGATTTTCTTCAGCAAATCTCTGAATCCTGGAATTATAAATTAGTCCCAGGATCCGATACTCATATGGGTAAAGGACCATTGGAAAAATACGGGATTTTCACTGGGTTAAGCGTAGAGTTTAAAAAATATAGCCATATTTTGGTAGAGACAAGCAAGTTCGTCTTGTTAACCGACTTCAACAAAAGAAGAATTCGGTCGGTAGGTATTTACAAAACAAAAAGTATTTAGGTATGTATATCCGTTGTATAGTACTAGCCCATAGTACAAGCTTTACTTAGTTTGGGACTAGAGGCGCAGTGTAGTGTCTAGTACTTAAAAATGTCCAAGGATATTTATTTATTTGGTCTTGAAACTAGGATATCTTGTCTTAGTAAGTACATAATTAGAAACTCTCTCTAAATACGCTGGCCACGCAGGCTGGGGGATTATTTTGTCCCTCGGTGGTCTCTTAGAACATGCACGGGAAGAGTGAGAGCAGGCAGGGCCGCGCCGACCGCCGGCAGCGCCTGTGTGCGGAACCTATGAAGCGCCTCTTTTCTAATGAATCGTCATAAAAAAACGAATTTAAATTTTTAACGAATATTTTAATTGTTAACTTTGACTAAAATAAATGTTCTTCAGTTTTACAGTACTTAGATATTATTATTATCATAAGTGTATTAAAACTGGAAACCACTTAGGAATTAGGATACTAAATAGGTAAATCCCGTTCGTTCTGCTTGCCAATTACTACGNGATAGTACCTACCTACTTACTTATCGATACTCCATTTAAAAAAAAAAGGTGGCAGTAGCGGTGCGGCGCCCCTATTGTCTTGGCGCCTGTGGGCGCCGCACACATCGCACACAGGGGCGGCGCGGCCCTGAGAGCAGGATTGGGGTCCTATACTTCTCCGCCAGAACCACACGTCCTTATTTCTATGTGTATACCATTAGGTATAAACTACTAATTTCGATAAAGGTGCGACTTCTACGTAATACAATGTGTGTAATATTAATTTACCTACTTAGATAAATTACAAAATCGCACGTGCCGATCATTTCTTCCAAGTTTTGATATAAATCGGTTACAAAGTTGATCATCCTCACGATCTAGGTTTTATTTGCGTTACGCCCTCTTGCTGGATTAAGATAATCCTGCGATTTATCTTACCTTCAAGTTAAGTAAGAAGATTTGCAAATTTTCTTTAAGGCTACGTTTACCTAATAATCCATAATGCCGTCGGACCACTTGAAAATTACGAAAATGTCGTAGATTTTAGTATTTTTCATCAAATACCTAGGTTATGCCTATTGTAAAAAATTTAAGTAGGATATGTTAAGATAAGTTAAAGCTAGATTAAGCATTTTGCAAAGTTAATGCTCAAAACTAAAGTTTTATCATAGAGCTTTTAAATTTTTCATAAACACTCAAAAGCAATATCCTGCATACATATTGACACCACTGTCAAATAGCATTAAATGTCCAAATGTCATTGTAGATCTTGCAATAAAACAATTTCCAAAAATAAAAACAATAAACCAAAATTCAATGCAGTAAGCAAGATATAAAATCATTGAACACAGTGTAAACTTTATTAGTAAGTATCTAATTGATATTACCAGTGACCAGTGACACACCCCCGGCTTGCACGGGTGCTATGTTTCTAACATATTACCATCCTCTAGGCTTCCTCTTTCACACGATCTAAAAGTATTGCTGAAAACTACATTAAAACCCGTTGCGTACCTACTTAGTTTAAAAGATCCATGCGCTTAGACAGCAACGGAGCGACTTTGTTTTATTTGGTTTTATTCTGTAAAGATGGAGCTAGGTATAGGTATATGTAAAGGTAGTGCAGACCGAATTTTTGTATTTATTCCTGTAATAGTATGTAACCAATACATTAAATTATTTAGCTAGTTAGCTTATATCTAGTCATTTGATATTCAAATGTAAGAAAAAGAAACTTATCACAAATCCTAAAATAGCCTAAATTCTGAAGCAGATTTTGTATGCTAATTCTGGTTAGCCTGTTCGTTATACCTCGTTTACGGAATCTCGCGCCCAAAAATTACGTGATTTCACTTCTTATTCTTTTTACATCGCCCGTTGTTGGAGATAAGTCCATCCTAAAGAGGCTCCATTTTCTTCCTTTCAGCGGCATTTTTCATTTGTATAGGGTAATTCATACCTACGCAATACCTGGGATGTTAATTTCATTAATGTAGTCTGGTATAATACCAAGATATTTTTATAAATGTACCTACTAGCATCTGCACGTTACTTAGCTCGTTTTCTTAGAATGCGCTTTTATTGCACATCAGGCGATCGAAACCATGATCCTGAAGTCTTGACTCTATTCTAAAACATTATTTATTCCTTATCAAAGCAATAACTGTAATTTTTTATATCCCTATTCCTACAAGCTTTCATAACATTTTCACCCTTTCATAGGTAATAAGTAGCCTGTGTCCATCTCCAAGATACAATCTAAGTATCTCTACGCCAAAATTCAACAAAATAAGTTCAGCAGCTTGAGAGTTAAACGTAGGGAACGATCAGCCAGTGTTATATAGTACTTATTTACTTTGCAAATAGACATTTTATAGGATTTATTCGATCATTACATAATGGCAAGGTTTTTTTTCAACAAAGAATTGCAGTGGCACGTTAATGTGGGAGTTATACGTCCCATCCATGCAGCTCTTATGCTCCACCACATAATACCAAACCAACGCACGTCACATTACCTACGTGTTGTCAATAGATCCTTTTTCATAAAAAAAACCTCGTGTATGTCTCTTTTTCATATGTTTTATATTGCGTGTCCATTGAGCGCTGACTAAACACGCCACCTATTCGGTAGTCAATTTACCACATTGTTTATTGGGCCGTCGAAAATTATAATAACCCATTAAAAGCTCGTCACATGCGCGATTGGATGTCACGCGTTGGCACCGTTGTGATTTTCCACAGAGTTGTTGCTGGTTCCGTGGCTAGGACTGCCAACTTACCTTCCAAACTACGGAATTTCCGAACGAAATATCTAAGTAATTAGGTAATCCTAGGCATTCTAGCTCTAGCATCAACTAAAGCAGACGCTCAACAAGACGCTCAACAATGCTCTAGATTTGCTGGTGGGATAAGCTGCGCTGTAACTATTTTACATTTACCTTGTTGTATTACATACCTTGTTTAGGTGAATAAATACCTAAATATTTTAATCTTAATCAAGTATTTCAAGCGCTCTACATTATCTACACATATTGAGCCGATCTGCCGCCCGCCCGTCACCATGTCGGAGATAATTTGAAACAACATTATTTCAAATGAGACTTTTTCTGTGTTGTGTGTGTTTCATTATGTACAAGTAATGTAAGTAGCCTATTTCCATATTACCAATTGCCATTACAGTTGAGTAAGGCGTGAAAAGGTTTTTTCTGCGAATCAAAATACTCCTCTATTTTACCACTTTTCACCGCACGTTAAAAATACTTATAATATCAAGGGTTATTCCGATTAAACTATAGGAAGGGTGTGTGCTAGGCGCATGATGACAATGAATTTGTTTATAATTTAATGCCTTACGCCTGCCGCTTATCTAACTTATTAAAATATAAATTTTATATATTTTCCCCTTGAACATTCGGGGCATTCCTAATTTTGTAATTTCTAGTTTGGTTAGCTTAGTTGTCGCACTAAAAGTTTCCGCACCAAAAACTCTGTTGAGTATGGCGCTCACAATAATTAAAATGTTAATTGTGTGCGCGATTCACGTCATAAATCTTCAGGGCATTGAAGCAGTGTAACACGCCATGGCATGTGGGATAGAACCACCCACACTTTCCCATCTATTTTCCATCTGATCGTTAACATTTTTACTCAGTACATTATCTAATGCTGGACAGACATATCACTTCTGTGAATAATTAAATATAAGTAGGTACTTACCCTAACTTTGTGTACTAAATACCCATAATTATCACTGATCAATTAAAAAGCCTTCTGAGAACTGTCAATAACAGGATCCTCCATTTAGCAGAAGAAATCTACTCGTGTTACCTAACATTTATCATTGTTCGCCTATTCAATTGTTTATTTAAAGAATTCAAAGCAATTATCTTAATTTTACAGATAAATTGAAAACTTAGAATTACCCAGATAGGTACTACTACCATTATAACTCGTATCAGTTAAAGTAGTGTAGCTCAAGCTTCCTCAGTGAATCCAGCTAGCTTTCGCTACACCAACACTTTCCGCACGACACAAATTAATACAGACCCATTCTTGTTACAGACACATCCAAAGAAACCCATGCTCAACGCAAGATGTCTCCAAAATCTCGTGCAAAGTCATGCTTCAGAGTATCTATTGGAAACGGAACCATAAAGCAGGTCCAGGGGAATGCACTGTTCATGTACACAGTGCTGACGTTTCTCGTTGTGTTGGCCATCTACCTCGGAACAAAGGACTGGAAAGGTTTCACAGCACCAGAAGAAGTGGACCTTGGCGTTGTTAGAGTCCCCAACCATACTTGCCGAAGAAAACATACAGGTCATAGACACCATGACTATTAATTTGATGACAAAAATAACTCTTATCTACCCATTACTTTCATTATCTTGTGCCGAACCATAGAAGTGAAATTAAATACTTAAGTGATAATCAGTTTTTATTTTAATTTAATATATTTCACTTTAGAAAATTACTATTTTTCTGAAATGATGTCAGAATCTATATTGTTCAGCCCCTTTCGCACGACTCGTATATCAGCAAAACACGCCAGTTTACTTTGGTCCATGGCATGGTTACTTGTAGAGGCCAAACCAATAAGATAACCGTTTTGAACTAACAGGTCTCCAGCCCTCACCGGGCATTTTCCAAGATCCATTACGCAGATAGTTTCCTTTATATTCGGATTTCTCAATGAAAAACCGGGGTTCTGGCTTTCGAGGTCTACTAGATTGGCCGGCTGTCGCGACAAGGATCTGCCACCTCGTAAAGGTCTTCCAATGATATAAGCTTGCGATTTCCAGTTCACAGAATTTCCCACTTTAATTGCGGTCTGTACGCATTCTGCCATATTCTCATAGCTGGATAATAGGACCAGTTTGGAGAGCACGCCTTCGTAATTTACTGGCTCTAGAACGTCTACTGAAAATCCCTTTTTACATCGAGGACTGTAAAAAAATACCTTTTATAAATAATCTCATAATGAGAGACTTATAGAATTCACTTATTACAACTTATCTCTTACTCCGATGGACTCCCCAGGCGCATGCGGATAGGACCTGACTTCGTACAAACGCTATTTGCGAGAACTGAAGTAAGGCTAAGCACAGCTCCAACACACAGCAACTCTTGAGTTTCTACCAAATGAATCCTCGCTACATATTTATATTCATCCACTTTCACCAAGTTACAGTTTGTTTCTTCACTTAAATGATGAGATGATCTATCGAAATGCGTAATCAAATTATGAATAACGCAAGCCATTGTCGCTGTAAATATCGCAATAAGAAGGGTGACAATTCCAACTTTACTCTTCAAAGTTCTATCATCCCAAGGTGTGTTGACAAAATTGTATTTGAATTCGTAACTTTCACCCGGCTCATCCTGAACTATTTTATTATTGTTATCATCTTCCATTGTTGTAATATTGATAGAAAGGGAAAAACAGCTAGGTCGAGTAGGCCGAGAGAGATAAATTGTGAAACGCATTTGTACCGAAATATTCTCATGAATAAAAAAATGATATATTCTACTTATTCAATTCTTGTACACATATGTATACGGATACAACAATAAAATATAGTAGGTACATTAAACACAATCATATAACTTTTCTACTGTAAAAGTAAACACTTTTAAAAATAAACTAGAGAAAACATTTAATTATTTCAATCATGCACATCAATATTTAGGCGGGAATCGAACCCGCGACACCCGCAACCTTCGGCATCGAAGTATTGTAAGATCAGTCAGGCAGCCGTCAAAAGGCTCTTGCATACCGAGTTCATCTAAGCGTCTCAAACAAAAATAAACCTGGTGTGCATAGGCCTTTACACAAAACTAAGTGAACAATAAAGTGAACAAAGAAAAATTCATCAACGTCTTTGCAGCCATTGGATATGGCAAAAATTCACCGATGAATGAAGGTAAACTGCAAGGATTTTTTTATGATATTAAATTAAAAATTAAAAAGCGTTTTAATGAAAATGTCCTTTCCTGTTTAAAAAAAGATAAATGTCTAACGTGTTACTGTCAGTGTCAAACAGCTGTCAATGTCAGTTTTTGCTTTGTGGTTTCTGTGGTGGTTTCCGTGGTTCTCATGTTTACATTTTTTAAATATTATTTTCAATGAATTTATAAGCTAATAGGTATTAAAAGTAACAAAAATGCCTACAGTATTATTGCTAGATGTATCGCTGTCGATGTCGCGGCCGGTACCGTCGACAGACAACACAGAAAGTCATACCCGGCTCACCATCGCTGCTGCGGCTATCAATACATTTTTGGACTATCTAAGCCTCCATGCGAAACTAGAATATGTAGCCCTGGTGACTTTCTCTTCAATTTATGAAGGTAAGAAGGAAAAACCGTTTAATTAACTGAGAAATAACCTTGATCCAGGCTCATTTCTGATGGTACTCCCTCATGCAATATTGTTCCATAATTTTAGTAGAATAACGTTTAAATTACGCTAAATCTTTTTATTTTCAGTATCCGTACCGTTCACGCGTGACTTCGACACGATCAAAGCAAAATTGCCTCTGCTCGAAGAAGGCGACAAAACCTGCATAGAGACAGCTTTGCTCGGTGTGAACCAGCTGGTCCTGAGTGAATGGGGATGCCAAACACCAGTACAAATTATATTGGTACACCAACTTATTTATTATGAACTAACAAACCTGACGAACTTTGTAGTGCCAATGTTAAACAGAAATAATTTAAAATTCTAATGCTTAAACATTTTTCAAAACCAGTCCAGGAGTTTCGGAGACTATTCAATACGAACTAAAAAATCTTTCCTCTTTATAAATATTAGTGTACAAGTGTACATGAATAAGATTCAATGTTTCTTACTCATCCATTTGCGACAACAGTGTGACATCTCTAATTAGATTATAGTAGGAAATGTCACACTGTCATCGCATGAGGCCTATAATTATGTATTTTAAAAATTTCACCCAAGAAAAATTGAAAATGCCAAATTGCTATGGAAATCAATGTGTGATTGTAGTGTACATTTGTGTTCACTATGTTGTTGCAATTATTTGAAGTGACTGTAACCTGTTTTTATACTTTCAGGTCACAGATGGCAGCAGTGGAGCAGGTGCAATCGGCAGAAACCGTATCATTCAAGCACTGCCGTTACCACCTCCGTATGCAGCTAAGATACATGTCCTGCCTATCGTCTCACCACACGATACCTGCTTGCAACATGGTATAATAAACCTTATTGGCCACATTAATTAATTTTAAATCTAAAAAGTCTTAAGATCATGAGAAATTCTTTAAATATGTTTTGTTCTTTTGCAGCAATGCCTTTGTATCAGAAGATAGTGGACATGGCTGTAAGTTCCTCAAACACATTAAGTGCCACAATATCACGAGGAGCCATCTATTGTCCGGACCAACTCTCTGTACCTAGTGTAAGTCAAGTTTAGGACTGTTGAATGTCAATAAAATGTAGCATTTTGTATAAATCACATATTCCATTATAAACAAACTTTATTGTAGATGTTGCTCAATTTTATGCCAAATATCAAATAGGTATATTTAAATTACAAAAATCACTATTCTTGTACATAGATAAATGATTGAAAGTTGTTTCAGGATGCATGGTACAAAAGATTACATGTTATGAAAAGCACCAAATATATTAGACAACCCTTCTCTTCAACAGGCAATATCAGCCATAACGCGCCTTTGCGAGCAGCACTACCTCTTCTGGTGCTCGCTGAAGTGCGGCCAGTACTAGGCAGAATGCACGACGCAAAACTTTATGTAACATTTGACACAAAAGTTGTATTGTTGTGACAGGCAATATCAGCGATGACGCGCCTCTGCGAGCGGCACTACCAAGAGTTCCGGTGCTCGCTGAAGTGCGGCCAGTACTAGGCAGAATGCATGACGCAAAAGTTTATGTAACATTTGACACAAAAGTTGTATTGTTGTGACAGGCAATATCAGCGATGACGCGCCTCTGCGAGCAGCACTACCAAGAGTTCTGGTGCTCGCTGAAGTGCGGCCAGCTGGAGGCCCGGGTGCAGTTGTTCCCGGCGCCGCAGACCGCCGCGCACGAAGGCTTGGCGGCCACGTACACACTGTCACACCAGTTGCACGTTATTGGCTTCGTATCTAATAACGATTTAGGTAAGCATTTTTGTATTTATTGTATACTAGCTTCTGCCCGCGGCTTCACCCGCGTGAAATTTCGTTTGTCAGAGATCGTCATAAATTATAGCCTATATGTTATTCTGGATTATTAACGATAATACTGTAAAGTTTCATCAAAATCCGTTCAGTAGTTTTTGCGTGAAAGAGTAACAAACATCCAGACATACAAACGTTCGCATTTATAATATTAGTTGGATTAAAACAAAAGGTTACTGCCTAACTGACTCACTCACTCATCACGATATCTCAAAAACTACAAGTGCTAAGTCTCAAATTTTGCATGGGGGTTCCTTATAGAACGTAGGTGCTCACTTAGACAGGATTGTGCAAAATTCAACCCGTAAGGGAGTAAAACGGGGTCCACGCGTATGAAGTCGCGGGCGGCCGCTAGTTTGATATAAATCAATCTGTCCTTTTTTTCATTCCACTAGGTGGATTGATGACCTCATAAAGGTAGCAAGAAGGCGCTGGATGCAGGTTGCTACCAACCGGCCATTATGGAAATCATTGGGCGAGGCCTATGTTCAGCAGTGGGCGTCCTATGGCTGATGTCCCGATGTCTGTTTGTATTTAGTTGAAATTTTGCATGCAGATGGGCTTCTTTCTAAGTTTTCAAATTGTAATGAAAAGAAAGTATAAAATCCTTGTCCACAAATAATTTTTTTAGAAGATTAAATTAACTAATATTAGTAATATCTATTCCACAGCTACACCAATAGCGATAAGTAAACATCTTGTGATACCACAGGCGCAAGCAGCTGCCAGTAATGCTAGTAGAGAAAACTATGGATCCAAAACTCCTACAAAGGTATATTATATGCTATTTCTGAGTTAATATTTGTTTGCAAGCAATATGTTGTTAATGCTCAATATTTTATGCAGGAAGGGTCAACCACAGAAGGCTCCACAACAGAAGAAGACATGTCTGATCCAAGCACAGTGCCAAACTTTTGTGTTTTACTACATGGCGCATTGAAGGTAAATTTTAATTTATGTAAGAAAAATTAGAATCCTCATCACACAAAATTAATCGTTCACTATCGAAAATGCATGCCAGGAACAAACAGAACTTAAGAGATTATTACTATAGATAATCGCGCGGTTGCTGGCATTTCAGGTGTATGTGTACTGTGGGGTTACTCTGAAAAACGTTAAGCGAAGTTTCGAATGCAGCCATCCCTTTCACGCACAACAAGATACCAGCTTAAGCGATGAACAGCTTATCGGAACAGCCCTGCTGTTTTTTTTTAAATTGCGAGTTTATCCCATTCGTAATAAAGGTGGAAGGCATGTCGTCAATCGTCCAACCGGGCGCGGAGTGGTGGGGTACACTCCATGTGGTGCGAGGCAGGCGTTGGTGTTACTCTGAAAACCGTTAACTGAAGTTTAGAATGATGCCATCCCTCTCATACACAGTGAGATGCCAGTGTAAGCGATAAATAGCGTTTCGGCGTGGTTCAATGAGGGATATCGTTTTAGCGCTCACCAGTTAGCGCCACTGTAGAGTAAGGTCCTGTCACTTGCTAGTAGCGAAGACAGTGGCGCCAACTTGTGAGCGCTAAAGTGGTAGGAGGACTATCGTATTTGCACTTATCAAGATGGCGCCACTGTAGAGGAAGGTCCTGTCAATCGCCAGGGGTGCCAACTGTTAAGTATAAAAACGATAGCCCTCATTGCTACTGTTTTTCAAATTGCAACTTTATCCCACTGTAATAAAGATGGAAGGCATGTCTGCGATCGTGCAACTGGGCGCGGAGTGGTGGGGCACGCTCTCCGCGTGGTGCGAGGCGTCGGGGTCTATACCTATGTACTGTTTTTCAAATTGCAACTTTATCCCATTGTAATAAAGGTGGAAGGCATGTCCGCGATCGTGCAACTGGGCACGAAGTGGTGGCGTGGTGCGACAGTGCGATGCGTCAGGGTTTACATGTACTTTTTTTTTTTAATTAAGTACCTACAACATCTATATATATAAAAGAAAGTCGTGTTAGTTACTCCACTTATAACTCAAGAACGGCTGAACCGATTTAGCTGAAAATTGTCAGGGAGGTAGTTTAGAGCCAGGAGAAGGACATAGGATACTTTTTATCCCGTACGAAATAAAAAAAAAAGTCTGCTTATTTATTGCCATTAAGGCGGAACAAAGTTCGCCGGGTCAGCTAGTTATTCATAAAGTGGAAAGTACTTCGGCGTCAACTAGGCACGTACTGTACCTCTAGTACGAAAAACTTTCGAGTTCGTTTCGTTGCGTATTCAAAGTGTCATCGAAAAATTTTGTATGAAAAATTAAACAGCGCCCCCTAGGGCGGCTATAATATAGGGGGCGCTGTTTAATTTTTCATACAAAATTTTTCGATGACACTTTGAATACGCAACGAAACGAACTCGAAAGTTTTTCGTACTAGAGGTACTGATCGCGTGGTGCGAGGCGTCGGGCTTATGTGTCCGGGTTTTCTTTTTTAAATTCAGGGCTTTTATTTATATGGGTTTTTTTCAAAGGTGGAAGGCATGTCAGCGATCGTGCAACTGGGCGCGGAGTGGTGGGGCACGCTCTCCGCGTGGTGCGAGGCGTCGCGCGCGCGCCGCTCGTGCCTGCTGCTGAGCGTCATGCGGCCGGGCGCCGCCGCCTCGCCCTGGCTGGGCCCGCTCGACCAGCTGGGCCCGCTCGACGACGGGACGACTGGTAAGTCTTGGCTGCCATTGTGTTTCGAAGAGGGGAAGGGGAGTCGCTAAAATCTAGGCCCGGTTTTTACCACGGTGGAGCAGAGGAGCGGATTGGAGAAGGGTTTTGAATAACCAATCTGATTTTGACATTTCCACTTCTCCCCTCCGCTACGCACCGCGCCGCCGCCGCTGTCAAATTCTATAGTAACATTGGTCCGCCCGACACTTCTCCGCTCCGTCTTGATGGAAACCAGGGCCCCGATTACGCAAAAAAAATTCATCTTCAACGTGCCCGGACGACGAACGAACTTTACGAACATCAGCTGTTTTAACAAATCGGTATCACGGTGTCGTTTTGACAGCTAGTTGAAACGAAGCATTGACGTAAACGTAAAACTAAATATCTCATGTGACAATGAAAATACTAGGAAGGTACGTCCATTACCGTGATACCGAATTTGCACTTCAGCTGGAATGAAAAACGGAGCGGAACTGGAGAAGAAGCGCGTATGTATTGGAGACGTTAAAAATTAGCGTAATCGGGGCACGGTCTTAGTCGTTTCAAACATACAGCCCGTTCGAGTCAACTTCGCTCCTAACAACCGTGACGTCACATCGCGCTCTGGTAAGAATGGTTCAAACGCGGGGAGGTGTTCAGGTAAGTGGAAGGCATGTCAGCGATCATCCAACTGGGCGCGGAGTGGTGGGGCACGCTCTCCGCGTGGTGCGAGGCGTCGCGCGCGCGCCGCTCGTGCCTGCTGCTGAGCGTCATGCGGCCGGGCGCCGCCGCCTCGCCCTGGCTGGGCCCGCTCGACCAGCTGGGCCCGGTCGACGACGGGACGACTGGTAAGTCTCGGCGGCCATTGTGTTTCGTAGAGAGTCGCTAAGATCTAGATTAGCCGGGCTAAACATTAGCTTGTGTTAGGCACGGTTTCTACCACGGTGGAGCAGAGTGGAGCGGAGCGGAGAAGTGTTTAAATAACCAATCAGATTTTGACATTTCAACTTCTCTCCGCTTCGCGCCGCGCCGCCGCCGTTGTCAAATTCTATAGAGAAATTGGTCCGCCTGACACTTCTCCGCTCCGTCTTTATGGAAACCGGGCCATAGTCGTCTCAAACATACAGCCCGTTCGAGTCAACTTCGCTCCTAACAACCGTGACGTCACATCGCGCTCTGGTAAGAATGGGTCAAACGCGGGGAGGTGTTCAGGTAAGTGGAAGGCATGTCAGCAATCGTCCAACTGGGCGCGGAGTGGTGGGGCACGCTCTCCGCGTGGTGCGAGGCGTCGCGCGCGCGCCGCTCGTGCCTGCTGCTGAGCGTCATGCGGCCGGGCGCCGCCGCCTCGCCCTGGCTGGGCCCGCTCGACCAGCTGGGCCCGCTCGACGACGGGACGACTGGTAAGTCTCGGCGGCCCTGTTTATTCTAAGAGTCGCTAAAATCTAGGCCCGGTTTCTACCACGGTGGAGCAGAGGAGCGGATTGGAGAAGGGTTTTGAATAACCAATCTGATTTTGACATTTCCACTTCTCCCCTCCGCTACGCACCGCGCCGCCGCCGCTGTCAAATTCTACAGAAACATTGGTGCGCCCGACATTTCTCCGCTCCGCCTTGATGGAAACCAGAGCCGATTACGCTAAAAAATTTCATCTTCAACGTTAGTTAGTTAGTTTTGCAGGGCAATCGAATACCGCACTTAGCCTCATGATTGGGCCATTGTGGGCGATTTTCATCTTCAACGTGCCCGGACGACGAACGAACATCAGCTGTTTTAACTAATCCGTAGGCGGCGCGCGCATGTGTTCACGCGCACCGTTAGCGAAGACCAGGGGAGGTACTACTCCCCTGAAGCCAGTCGTCCCTCGCTCAAACAGAGCGAGCCACAGTCTGGGGCGGAGCCGCGAAAGAATGTCTAGGCCGTCTAGCTCGGACAATAACTCGCAGATCCGTCCCAAAGACTTCGGGAGGACACCGTCAGATTTTAGTGAGTAGGCCCTGCCCATCTGGCAGGGAGAGCCTCTCATAACCTACTGGTTCCAGTGGTCTCCGGGCCAGTGGGTATGAAATTTCATGCATTTCCTGACGAAAAAAAAAAAGGTTGTATGAATCGATTTGAATAAAATTGTGTACACAGAGGGTCTAGAGCCTGAGAAAGGACAGAGGCTAATTTTTATTGCTAAAAAGGGGTTATAAGGGGTTGAAAAGGAGGATGAAAGGTTGTATGAACCGATTTGAATGAAATTTGGTATACAGACAGACCAGAGTCTGTTTTTACCCGACTACGGCAAAGCCAAAGGAGGGTTATGATTTTGACAGGCTATGTATGTACTATCGGGGACTCGAACGCCTTGACACCTTAAGGGTCTAAATTGTATGCACACACACGCTCGATTAAGCTCCGCCCCCGTTCATTCATGTTTCGGGTCTAAGCAGCGTCGGCGCATCACTGTAGATGTTTGCCCTAGCAAACCAAGCTCTATGTAAAGCATTTAGGATTGAGTATTGCTTATTACCCGCATCCGTAGCGTTCGTTTGGCAACGNAATCCGTATCACGGTGTCGTTTTGACAGCTAGTTGAAACGAAGCATAGACGTAAACGTAAAGCTAAATATCTCATGTGACAATGAAAATACTAGGAAGGCACGTCCATTACCGTGATACCGAATTTGCACTTCAGCTGGAATGAAAAACGGAGCGCAATTGGAGAAGAAGCGCGTATGTATTGGAGACTTTAAAAATTAGCGTAATCGGGGCACTGGTCTTAGTCGTCTCAAACATACAGCCCGTTCGAGTCAACTTCGCTCCTAACAACCGTGACGTCATATTGCGCTCTGGTAAGAATGGTTCAAACGCGGGGAGGTGTTCAGGTAAGTGGAAGGCATGTCAGCAATCATCCAACTGGGCGCGGAGTGGTGGGGCACGCTCTCCGCGTGGTGCGAGGCGTCGCGCGCGCGCCGCTCGTGCCTGCTGCTGAGCGTCATGCGGCCGGGCGCCGCCGCCTCGCCCTGGCTGGGCCCGCTCGACCAGCTGGGCCCGGTCGACGACGGGACGACTGGTAAGTCTCGGCGGCCCTGTTTATTCTAAGAGTCGCTAAAATCTAGGCCCGGTTTCTACCACGGTGGAGCAGAGGAGCGGATTGGAGAAGGGTTTTGAATAACCAATCTGATTTTGACATTTCTACTTCTCCTCTCCACTACGCACCGCGCCGCCGCCGCTGTCAAATTCTATAGAAACACTAGCTGACCCGGCGAACTTTGTTCCGCCTTAATGGCAATACTTTTTTTTATTTCGAACGGGATAAAAAGTATCCTATGTCCTTCTCCTGGCTCTAAACTACCTCCCTGACAATTTTCAGCTAAATCGGTTCAGACGTTCTTGAGTTATAAGCGAAGTAACTAACACGACTTTCTTTTATATATATAGATTGGTCCGCCCGACACTTCTCCGCTCCGCCTTAATGGAAAACAGGGCCCCGATTACGCAAAAAAATTTCATCTTCAACGTGCCCGGACGACGAACGAACATCAGCTGTTTTAACAAATCCGTATCACGGTGTCGTTTTAACAGCTAGTTGAAACGAAGCATAGACGTAAACGTAAAGCTAAATATCTCATGTGACAATGAAAATACTAGGAAGGTACGTCCATTACCGTGATACCGAATTTGCACACCAGCTGGAATGAAAACGGAGCGCAACTGGAGAAGAAGTGCGTATGTATTGGAGACGTTAAAAATTAGCGTAATCGGGGCACTGGTCTTAGTCGTCTCAAACATACAGCCCGTTCGAGTCAACTTCGCTCCTAACAACCGTGACGTCACATCGCGCTCTGGTAAGAATGGTTCAAACGCGGGGAGGTGTTCAGGTAAGTGGAAGGCATGTCAGCGATCGTGCAACTGGGCGCGGAGTGGTGGGGCACGCTCTCCGCGTGGTGCGAGGCGTCGCGCGCGCGCCGCTCGTGCCTGCTGCTGAGCGTCATGCGGCCGGGCGCCGCCGCCTCGCCCTGGCTGGGCCCGCTCGACCAGCTGGGCCCGGTCGACGACGGGACGACTGGTAAGTCTCGGCGGCCCTGTTTATTCTAAGAGTCGCTAAAATCTAGGCCCGGTTTCTACCACGGTGGAGCAGAGGAGCGGATTGGAGAAAGGTTTTGAATAACCAATCTGATTTTGACATTTCTACTAAACTTCTCCTCTCCACTACGCACCGCGCCGCCGCCGCTGTCAAATTCTATAGAAACATTGGTCCGCCCGACACTTCTCCGCTCCGTCTTGATGGAAACCAGGGCCCCGATTAAGCTAAAAAATTTCATCTTCAACGTTAGTTAGTTAGTTTTGCAGGGCAATCGAATACCGCACTTAGCCTCATGATTGGGCCATTGTGCGCGATTTTCATCTTCAACGTGCCCGGACGACGAACGAACATCAGCTGTTTTAACAAATCCGTANTACTAGGCAGAATGCATGACGCAAAAGTTTATGTAACATTTGACACAAAAGTTGTATTGTTGTGACAGGCAATATCAGCGATGACGCGCCTCTGCGAGCAGCACTACCAAGAGTTCTGGTGCTCGNAATCCGTATCACGGTGTCGTTTTGACAGCTAGTTGAAACGAAGCATAGACGTAAACGTAAAGCTAAATATCTCATGTGACAATGAAAATACTAGGAAGGTACGTCCATTACCGTGATACCGAATTTGCACTTCAGCTGGAATGAAAAACGGAGCGGAACTGGAGAAGAAGCGCGTATGTATTGGAGACGTTAAAAATTAGCGTAATCGGGGCACGGTCTTAGTCGTTTCAAACATACAGCCCGTTCGAGTCAACTTCGCTCCTAACAACCGTGACGTCACATCGCGCTCTGGTAAGAATGGTTCAAACGCGGGGAGGTGTTCAGGTAAGTGGAAGGCATGTCAGCAATCGTGCAACTGGGCGCGGAGTGGTGGGGCACGCTCTCCGCGTGGTGCGAGGCGTCGCGCGCGCGCCGCTCGTGCCTGCTGCTGAGCGTCATGCGGCCGGGCGCCGCCGCCTCGCCCTGGCTGGGCCCGCTCGACCAGCTGGGCCCGGTCGACGACGGGACGACTGGTGAGTCTCGGCGGCCATGTTTATTCGAAGAGGGGAGTCGCTAAGATCTAGATTAGGCGGGCTAAACATGTGCATGTGATAGGCACGGTTTCTACCACGGTGGAGCAGAGTGGAGCGGATTGGAGAAGGGTTTTGAATAAGCAATCTGTTGACATTTAGGCCCAGAACAGACGGTGAAACGCCACTGCAACTGCTAGTTACTTTTGAGTTGCATCTAAGTTTCTGCCATAGCGTCCGTTGAGAGACCACACATGACGCGACCAGTTTGAAACTTTCAGTTTCAGTTTCATTCATCAGAATCACACAAAGTTGCAGTTGCGTTTCACCGTCTGTTCTGGGCCTTACACTTCTCCGCTCCGCCTCAATGGAAACCATGCCTTAGTCGTCTCAAACATATAACCCGTTCAAGTTAACTGCGCACCTAGCAACCGTGACGTCACATCGCGCTCTGGTAAAGAATGGGGCAAACTAGTCAGTTTAAAATATAACGCGTGAGATTGTAAATTAACAGTGGATTAGGTTGTTTTTCCCCGCAAATAAAAAATCTACAGACTACATAATGTATATCAATGGTGAATGTCCCCAGCTGAGGCGTTCCCGGTGCGGTCGTGGCGCTCGTACAGCGGCGGCGGCACATTCACAATTTCATTCAATAGTCTTTTTTTTAATTTCGAGCACAGAATTTAAAGAAACAAAAGACAATTTGGAGCCTGTTTGTTGATATCAAACAATCGAATACTAAGAAAACTTGGTTTTATTGGTTTACTTGGATTTAATTCTTGAAAAAGTGATTGATATCTTTGGTTTTGCAACAAACATTACTTATTCTTAACATTAACGTGAGGTTCTATCAATAATCTATGGATACTTCACCTGAAGTCGCCGCCCAAGCTGTGGAACTTATTCAGGCCGCTTGCGGCTTCCATACCTCAGGCACTGACTGAGTTAAGCTCAATAGCTCATTGAAACCGCGCGAGCCATTAAAAAAAAAATAGCTCATTGGTGAATGTCCCCAGCTGAGGCGTTCCCGGTGCGGTCTTGGCGCTCGTACAGCGGCGGCGGCTCGGGCTGCGCGTGGGCGCGGCCGCACGCGCTGCTGGCCGACGTGCAGAAGGTGCTCCGCCACGCCAGGAAGCTGCCGGACAAGACGCAACACCTTTATAAGGTAACCGGACTTATTAACACACTTTCCCACCACTGTAACTCTTGTATAATCTGCAGCTTGGCCTCCAATCAAACCCTTATGTAAACTTAAACAAAAACTGTCAAATTACTTCTGCTTCCTTGACCGCTATTTCCTATTTAGTTGTACGTCCACTAACATTCGCACTACGCTAACTCACTGTAAGTGATTAGTCCATTTTGTACATCGAAAACTGAAAAGTTTCATATACATCTCCGTGTATATTGGTGCTACTACACAAAAGTTATTTTATTCCTATAAAACTTAACTTACACAGAAAGAAATCCCAGAGTCAAAGGTGAACTTAACGCCAAAACAAATTCTCTCTTAGTCAACTTTCAGGTCTTGTTGAAATCTCGAAACTCATGTGCTATTTCTGTCTTTTTTTCCGTATACCTTATTTATCCTTAACTAAGTGATGTTCATCGTAATAAATGTTTCTTTCTTTCTAAATTTTATAGCTATATTTCAGGAGCTGAACCGACTGCGGCGCGCGGCAATCTCGCTAGGCTTCTCAGAGCTGCTGACTTGCGTGGGAAGCGCGTTGGAGCGCGAATGCGCCTCGCTGCCCGCCAGCGCGCCGCCCGAGTGCGCGCTACAACTGGCGCACGCCGCCGCCGCACTCAGGGACCCGCGGACGGCCCTCGACATCAAACACACGCTCCAACCCTTGGCCGCCAACTTCACCGTCACTTCAATGTCACACTGACATTCGCAACCTGACTTCACGGGTAGAAAGATGAAGCCGTGAAGGAAGAAGAACCTTTAGGAAGGTCGCCAAATAACGACATAAAGTGGGAGATTAAAATTTTGAACATGGTCAACTGGAAGTAATAAGGCCTTTAATGACCTAAAACTCGATAAATGTTAATAAATCGCTTTAATAAAACAATCTTAGTTCATAAGTTCTTAAATACTTAATTTTATAATAAAATAGTTATAATGAAATAATATAAATTATTCCAAATTAATAGAATAACGTTTTATTTTTCGATATAAGTTGTCCGAACAATAATAAAAGCCTAAAAGTAAACATCACGATATTCACTGATATCGGTATGTATGTACTTTTATATTCAATAATGATTTCTAAGTCTCCTTCTCAGAGAGTGCCGTGTACTAGCTAATGTTGCTTATCCCATCTCCTAATCGGCTACATGCTGCTGCATTAACTTATCGCACATGAAAAGCTTTTTCAACATTAATTTTATAAAAAGTTCATTTTAGTCAGTGCGCAGTGTGTTTCGGACTAATTCGGACTGCATCATGTTTGACAGTTGTTGTCAAATAAAAATTGACTGAGCTGTCAAATTTATTGACATTTAGATTTTTGTTATTGTTGAAATGAGATGGTTACAGTTTTGTTGAGGTTTTTTTGTAAATAAACTAACATTAGTAATTATTTAGGTTTTGCTCCGTCACAGTTTTATGAATTTTAACTAAAATATGTCCATTGAAATGATTTTTAAGTTAACGGGACTTGTGGTTCTGTCAAGTTTACCCTTTTTGTTTACATTAAATGGTGACTTCGTTTTCGACGATTCCGAAGCTCTATTGAAAAATAATGATATCAAATCAGAATCTTGGACGGACTGCTTTTACAATGACTTTTGGGGTACAAACATTAAAAGTGCCGTAAGTCATAAATCATATCGGCCTTTAACTGTTCTAAGTTTTCGGTAAGTTTCCTATTTTTATCAGTTTTTATCACATTTCCTAGCCGGCAGAACGGTTTCGCACTACGTCAGACTCGAATCCGTGAAAATACGGTCCGTTGTAGTCATTAAAATGGCTTTAATTGTTGCTATGTTTATTTGATTCATGTATACCAACAAATAACATTTTTATTCTAATTGCAATGAAGCCTTCATCCTGTTTTATTATTTTCAGGCTCAACTACATTTGGAACAATGGTCAGCTTACAGTATTCTCTTTCAAAGTAACCAATTTGTTATGCCATATTGTGTGCTGTTTACTTGTGTGGAGGACATTTCAAAAAATTCTCAATACATGTAGTAGTACTTCATTAAATGCGATTGACATTAGTTATTTTGCTACATTGCTGTTTGCTGTGCACCCCATTCATGTGGAAGCAGTATCTGGTATTGTTGGAAGAGCTGACCTATTGTGTGCGATAACATTTTTCATCGCTTTTCTTCTGTACAATAAAGCTATGACTAATGACAAGTTCTCATTCGTAACTTTGCTACTTTCTGTCTCGATGGCAGCAATTTCTATGTTATTTAAAGAAAATGGAGTTACAGTCTTGGTAAGATTATTTTTTCAGTTCTTGTATTCTTTTTTTTTTATTCAAAGAATAAATTAACAAAAGTGGATCTATTAAGAAAATAATTACAATTTTTCAGGGTTTCTGCTTGTTTTATGAAGTAATTAATGCCCTAGACAAAAGTAAAGAAGATCTCAAGAATCCTAGAAACATATCGAGAATGGGGATACTATGTGTATCCATAGTGCTATTATTATATGCCAGGTGGACTGTGATGGGAGGCACCAAACCGAAATTCAGCCATCTTGATAATCCTGCAGCATTTTCTGACAGTTTATTTAGAAAGGTAACAGTATACCGTCCAGAATACCTACAATTAATATTTACAAGATTATGGTATTTATATGAAATAATCAAAATAATAATATATTTTACAGATTGCAACATACAACTACATTTACTTTATAAACTTTCTTATACTTATTTGGCCCCAATGGCTATGCTGTGATTGGTCCATGGGATGTATACCATTGATCAAAAAAGTCACTGACGTCAGACTTTTATTTATATTGCTTTTATATGCATATGCCATTGCATTATTAGTTGCAATATTTGAAATAAAAAACAAAGTGTTTTCAAGGTAATTTAGTACTATAACTTTTTTATATTGTCTGTTACTATTGAACAATTTGATCTAAGCAATATTTATCAAGTTTTGATGAACAAAATGTAACTTTAAAAATTTTATTATTATGTGTTTTTAAATATGTGAGGGATCTTTTTCTCATCATACGCTAACAATGGTTTACATAAAATGAGTATTTGTGTGTTATTGTAATAATAGTTTTTAATTTTCAGGCCTCTTTTGCTGAGCGCAGCTTTAATGGTGATCCCCTTTATACCGGCTGCAAACATATTTTACCCTGTTGGATTTGTGATCGCCGAGAGGATACTCTACATTCCTTCTGCTGGATATTGTTTAATTATTGTCATAGGACTTAATAAGATTATTTTGAGTAGAAACCAGTACAAGGTTGGTATTGCTCTTTGCATTACAATATTGATACTTTGTTGTTAATATTCATGTTTTTATTCATGAATGAACTGTTTCACCAGTAAAAAACTAAGTGCAAGTAACAAAATAGTCACTGGTGATCAAAACATTTGTTTTTTAGATAGCATTATTTATTTAGATTGAGATAATAGTAGTATTTCAATTATTTTCAATTTAATACAAATGTATACTATTTGTTTATAATGATTTTAGATGGGTGTATTTTGTTACGGTATTTTATTACTAAGCATGGGACTTAGAAGTTGGCAGAGGTCATACGACTGGCAGAATGAGTATCAGTTATTCACGAGTGGTGTCTCTGTTTGCCCACGCAATGCCAAGATTCATTACAATGTCGCCAAAGTGGCAGATGCCAACAATGAAACTAAGTTTGCTATGCAATCCTACAGGCAGGCATTGAGGTAATGTGAAAGCTGAAAATCGTAAAGCCCGGTTTCCACTACGCTCCGTCGCGCGCATAGAAGTATTTTGAATAACTAATCAAATTCCATTATTTATTTGCACATTTCCACTCCACTCCGCTTCGGTGGAAATGGATCGAACGGTGAAGTGTCGGGCGCACTGGTTTTTCTGTAGAATTTGACAGCGGCGGCGGCGTGGTGCAGTGCTGTACGGAGTGGTTCAGTGTTTCATAGATAGCAATGGACTGATAGCTGACAGCTACGCACAGCTCACACTCCTCTCTCGTCTGCGCACCGCTTCGCTCCTCTCCGCTCCGCTTTGGTGGAAATAGCCTGCCAGCTTCGCCGCACACCTCTCGTCTCCGCACCGCTCTGCCTTGGTGGAAACCAGGCCTTATTCAATGTTTTCAAAGATTCATTTATGATCATAAACATTAATATTGATTGTCCCTTTCCAGGCTCAATCCTGAATATCATCAAGCCATGAACAATCTGGCTAACCTCTTGAAAAACCAGAAAAAGTATTATGAAGCAGAATACTACCTGAGAAAAGCTTTAAAATTAGAGTAAGTGTTTTAATGCATTTGTTACTTGATATGGAAATGGTACTATTTTAATTTCTAACAACAATGATATGAAATGTACTGTACAATACTGTACATGCCACACCATTATAAAAGATGTTACAGTTTGTTTTGTAGTAAGATTATTTTTACATACCTACATTATTTCAATATTCTAGGCGAGACTTCCCGGCAGCATGGATGAACTTGGGTGTAGTTCTGGCTAGCACAAAAAGATTGGACGAAGCTGAAAGTGCTTATAAAACCGCTTTGCAGTATCGCAAAAAGTATCCAGATTGTTTCTACAATTTAGGCAATCTGGTAAGTATTTTTTAAATAGTAGCTTTGTATTTTTTACATAGCGCCATCTAGTCTCAGAGCAAGCAATACTTGTAAAAAAGTCCGTTACGTGATCCACCAGGCTAGGCGGCTAGACGACCCTATTCAAAAGGGATTTCTTTTCAAAAAAGTTTCCTACTTAATTTCTAGTGCTGAACTAAATAATAAGTATAACCATCCCCCAAGTGGCAGAACGTGAAAGTTGTAATGTCGAAAGCTCCGGCGTTTTTTGTATGGAGTTACACCACCACTTGTCTATAGTTCTCTAGATCTGTAAGTGTTAGGAGTGGGTTCGCCACGATTGACAATCGATCGATGGGTATCGAACTTGCGCATCGCTCTGGAATCGGCAGGCAGATGCTGACACTGCTGAACTATTGTCACCTCATAGACAACAAGAGCGAATGGGTGCTGGAAACATTAATTTTCGGATAGATCCAGTTTATTCTGTAACCCATTATTGATACAGTTTAATAGATCTCATGAAACACTTTCAAGATCAGTAACTAGTTTTTTGATATCTTGTATAGTTTAGAAATAATCCAGTGAGATCACTTATCATTTCCACCCTGTAGATACATTTTACACCTACATATTTAAATTACTTTTTATTTTTTCAGTATCTAGAAATGAACAGGACTAATGAAGCTATGGAAAACTGGCTACAAGCGGTTCACCTAAAGCCGAAGCACGTCTTGGCTTGGACAAATCTAATCGCGTTATTAGATAATACGGGTATATCACAATTTAATAGTAGTGAATATGCTCAGGTTGTAAAATATTTACTTTACTTGAAGTACCTACATAATGCGCGCAAAAGCGCTTCATAATTATTTGCATATATAACTGACTAAAATGTTTGTATGTAATTTTAGCCTAGTAGTTATAGTTTTATAGCCTAATTCGGCAGCATACTTAGTGGTAAAAATTTAGCAGATATTTTTTTATTATTCCGCCATTTATTTCAGAGCAAATGAACAAAGCCCTGCAAGTTATACCGGACGCATTGAAGGAATTGCCCGACGCACCGTCCATCAATTTTGCTGTTGGCAACATTTACGGCAAGTTGGGGCGGTTTGCGGAGGCGGAGCGCCACTTCCTGAGAGCTATCGAACTATCTGGAACCAATGTTCCGGCTATATACTATGCTAATTTAGGTGAGATACACAAAAATTAGATATTATGATCATTCAATCTCCATAATTTTGCTAGTAAAAAGTGACAGTTGGTCTGACGAAAGTTCCTTTTTTAGCCGCGGCGCGTGCTGCGATCGATTCACAGTTCCCCACGTCCGACTTCGCACCTAGGGAATAGATATTTGCTAAAACTAACGTTCCGAAGTAATTTTAAAGCAAAACTTATTTCCTTCCTTCCTAAGGTGACACCTTGTATACCTGCTCTGTGTTATGTTATATGTTTATTTTTTCTGTTTGGTGTCATAGGTTTATTTATTTTTAAGCACACATAAAACTAACTTTTTCTTTTTCAGGTGTACTCTATCACCGATGGAAAAAAATCGATCTAGCAGAAAATATGTATAATAATGCTTTGAAAATTAATAATACATTTAAAAGTGCAATAACTAATTTAAATAGCTTAAAAAAATTAAAACAACAGAATTAATAAGTATTGTGAATTTAAATCCCTTCCTTAACACCTTATATCATAGTATCTGCTAACTGCTAAATTATTTATGTAGGTACCTGTTATGTATAATATTTATGTATACCTAACCTATCTAGTATTATGTAAAGTATAAATAAAAATCTTGCTTTGACCACTTAAAATTTGTTATGTTAAAATTTTAAAATTTATTATACCAATATATTTTTTGTGATTAATTTCGTTTATTTTATCAGCCATGTCATGAGTTTTTTTTTTTCATTATTTTAAATTTTAATGTCTGCAGAATTTTCGCATTTAAGTACTTTCTAAGTCAAAGTAGCGAAGAAAATATTTTTAAATGTTCCCGGTGGTTCAGAACCCTAAATTCTAATAAGTATTAGACTATGTTCACATGTAACGTTAACGCAGGTCAACGCGGAATTAAGTTTATGTAAAAGCTTAAAAGTACGCAAATTATGACCTTTGTTTTAGCCACCCATCCCAAAATCATAAAGTTAAGAATAAATTGACTGTACTAATACTTAGGATTTAATTTTTATTTATATTTTACAAAAGCATTACTACACATTTCAGAGAAAATAACAATATAATTTAATTTTATAAAACCTGAAAGCCGAAAATTGTGAAATGTTCTGAAGCACAGATAGTGTTCTGGTGCCTAGGCTACGCTTTGGATAATGGCTTCGGTTTCTCTAAAAAAAGTGTAAGTAGAGGATGTACTATCAGCAACAGTGTTAACTGCCCATTGCCGGTCATGTCGTCTCGTTCTATCGCAAAGAATCACCATTCGAAGAGAGCGAGAGCAAAAACGGAAATGGTGTTTCCACCCGGGTAAAAACCCACATGAGGGTAAAAACCCAATAAAAACCCGTTTCATTCCACCCGTGGGTGTTTACACCGGGTGAAAACAAATAATTTTATAATTATTTCAATTGGTATCTTTTCTTTATTTTTATTGATTTTTTCTCATTTAAGTTTATTGATTAATAAGTAATAAGTCAAATTTAACACTAATATGCATTTATATCGTGGCCAAATCGTAAAATTGATCACGTTATGATGATGTGACCAATTATTTTATAAAATGGTGTTATTTCAAGAATCGTTGAACCGATTTAGAAGAAATTTAGTAGGAACACAATAATTTGTGATCATGGCAAGGACATGGGGGGGGGGGGGGGTATGCCANTACCCATCTCTAGTTGCCGATAGTACCTACTTTATTTGTTTGAATTACAATAGTTTAAACTGTATTGATAATTTCCGGTAAACAAATAAAAGAGGAACCATTGTACGCACGTCTCTTCTTTCTTCGACCAAAGTACCAAACGTCAATTTTAGTTGTATGATAACGATTCCATTGCCTAATGTTTAAAGTTTAAAACAATAATATTATGCTCTGTGGTTTAAAAAGTCAATGCCAGTCCATATCTGTGATGCCAGTACTGCCACTAGGAATTATGTCCATAATTTACGGAGACAATTTTTACACTGGTAGAAAACAATAAATTTACTTTTCACAAACAACTTTTTCCAACTCAAAATTCATGATATTTTGCAAGCAAATTGCATGAAACATACATTTTCAATATTCAAAGCATTTTGTAAATACTTCGGCATAATATTTGGTTTGTAAAAAAGGTAATTTCATAGAAAATAAAACATTCATTTAGCACAAGATTTCATTTAAAAAAAAAGTAAATAAAAGCTTGTAAAATAGAGCACAGTATGATATAGGTGTACCAGAATCTCATGGCAAATGGGGAAAATAAACTTTGTTGAGTGCAATACTGGGGAAATTGGATTAAACGATCTTGATACTTTTTATTTTTTTATTTATGACTTTAATATTAATGAACATGAAGTACGAATGGCTACCTATACATTTTATATCTTATCTGTATACTTATAACTTATCACTTCATTCAGAACTAGAAAACGATTCTAAGAACTCCACTTGCATTTCTTGTTCTTCAATAGATGATCAAGTTAAAGAGGTTTATTATACAGGGTGGAAAATGCCACCTGGAGGGAAAGTACTCTTAATACTGCAGATAGAAAATTTTACTGAAAGAAAACATTTTTGAAAAAAAAAAAGAGAACTGCATTCAAAGATTTTCGATTTTTTTTCGAAAATTCAAATACAAATACAAATACAAATACAAATATTTTATTTATGCAAACACACCGTTTACGCATACACCTTCAAATACAATTGGTAACAATAAAATCGGTAAACATTATATTGCTTTGTCTGCGGGTCCCACACTAGGAATAACCTGTGTCGTGGGCACCCAGTGGTGCTATGTAACCAGTACAGCGACAGATATAAGCGTCTACAAGTCAAGTTAAGCAGTCCAACGTTTAATTTAATACTAATAATGACTAAACTACAATTCAATACAAATACGGAAAAGTGTATCCAGAGATATTTTGAGTTTGAGTCTGCATGCGTTTGTGTGTATTGTGTGCAGTAGGCTGAATTCACTACTATACCATACAATTTTCTGTAACATTATCAAAATAATTTAAGATTTCATGGTTTTCCTTTCATTAACCGACTTCAAAAAAGGAGGAGGTTATATGTTCGACTGTATGTATGTTTTTTTTTTATTCTATGTATGTTCACCGATTACTCCGTCAATTGTAGACCGATTTTCAAAATTCTTTTTTTGTTCGATAGGGTACACTTCTGAGGTGGTCCCATTGTCACCAAGTCAGGATCTGATGATGGGATCCTAGGGAAATTGACTGCAACCCTCAAATTTTATAGGCACGTATGTCGTTTTTCAAACATTTAAAACCGACTCCAAAAAACATACACTAAAAAGTAGAAAAATAATCACTAATTACTTATTTATTAGGACGAATTAATATTTATGTATACCATGATTGATACTTTTGGAGTCGGTGCAGGCAAACTTCACACGTTTCATAATCTTGGCACCGACTCCAAAAGTATCAATCATGGTATACATAAATATTAATTCGTCCTAATAAATAAGTAATTAGTGATTATTTTTCTACTTTTTAGTGTATGTTTTTTGGAGTCGGTTTTTTTTTTTATAATTTGATTTATCAAGTTTGTTAGAGAGATTTCATCCTTATACTTAACCCTAACGATCGATGTAATAAAAATACAGGATGCACCCTGTATAATATAAATCGGTCTTTCAGCATTTCAATTACTCAAACTAGCTTGATGAAGTCTTTTTCAATTTTCTTTACCTACTTTTTCACTATTCCTCTGCACCAATGTATGAAAATAAAACACCTGAAAACCCCGATAAAGCAGCTATTAGGTAAGAATAATTTAAAAATAAACATAACCCACCCTCCTTCTGACGCAGTTAGGTAATAAACTAAATGTATCAAAACATTTCACTCCAACTTACTGTCAACTCAACGACGCGCTTTAAAATCAAAGATTGAGTTTGAATTATGCCCTATTTTACAATACACATTGAAAACAATATGATTTGCTTGAGCTTTTTCGACTTTTTCACAAAAATAACAAATAGGCATGAAGAGATTACAAAGTTTCTGCAGCGGCTGACAGATGTCTTGATTTACTTTGACAGGTGACAGTAAAGCCATAGACAATGGCCATATGAAAAACACACTTTTCCAATATTTTTGTTTGCCATGAGATTCTGGTACACCTATACGAAAGATAATCTGGGAATTGTAAAACTAAAGCTGGCATCCCACAATATGTCAAAACTGAAAGAATGACAGCTGACATGACATTGACAGCCCAAATGTCACTTTTTTTGTAAACGAGGTTTTGTTGCGGCGTACTTGTGTGCGATATTTAATTACGAAATAAAAATAATTGTAAGGATACTATCAATCTTTAATACTTTTAGGAATATTGATGCTAAGGCGGAGCTAATTATGGAGTTCTGTCCACAACTATCAGCTTTCCAAGGGGTAATTATCTCTGCAGACAACGTTCACCCTTTTTCAAGACTGACTTCAAGAGGTGGTAAGTTTTTATTCATAAAAATCAAAGGTATTCGTAAGTTTTAGGATTATTGAGATACTTTTACTAGACTGAATTATTATTTATGTAACCAGTAATCTAATTTTCTGAGCATATTTGGTTCACAGATGTTAATTATCTTTAACTTGCACACTGTAATTAATGTTTGTTTATTTTTAGGAAATGAAGAAAAAATTAAATTTGTCATTGACTTCGTTTCGAAATTCCTCACAGATGGAGGGTATATAATAAGTGATGGAATAAATACAGAGTCTATTGTTAAACTTCGAAAATTTGCTTTCTTTTTAATCCTGAATTCTGATCTATCGGTTTTATCTGATATGACAGACATGGAAGAAATAGAACTAGTAATTTGGACCATACCAACAATACCTAAATGCTTGATGTGTGAAATGTTCTGGCGCCTACACTTTGATACCTTTGTTTATGAGGCAATAGCCTTTTGTGATCCTGATCTCGCTTCAGAAATTGCAGCTGCGTTCTTAGATAATATTAAATATTACACTCCCAATGCATGTCTCAATAAAATAGGTGTTATTAGTGCCGCACTTTATAAGCTTATTTGTCGGATTTATTTCTTTAACTTTTATAGTACTAATTTAACAAATAAGCTAACAATGGTTTTTAACAATCTGCAAAAAGCGATAAATTTTTTTACTGATCCACCCAAAAGTGAATGGCTGAATAGCATCAGCACAGACGACCAATACAAATACAGAGGAGATTGTCTCTACACAATGCTCATTCTAGTAAGTGAATGCATGGAAGAGTTTATGTCCATGCAAGATTTGACTGAAGTTAGTGATCCTATTTACATGCTAACATATATTGGCAATGTGACAAGGAATGTTGCATTCAGGACGTGCGATTGTCCCACACAAGAAATACTAGATTGTGTCAACAAATCTCATTTGGCAATTCTGGATAAATGTCAGGAGCTTGTGATGGATGTCAGCCTTGACATCTTCTGCGCTTGGAGTGAGTTTGATGAAAATGGCAAAACTATGCAAAGAAAAATTGGTGAATTTGCCAATAAATTACGAACAAAACTTTTAGAAATTAACGGTGTTGCTGAACACCCTGTGATAGATATGATGGTAAACATTACAGTCAAACCAAAGGACATTGATGATATAGTCAACAACACTGATCCGAAAACAATAATTGAACACATAAACAGTAGTGATGATAAAGGGGCATGGATAAGAGCACTGATTAAAAAAGATACCGTATATGAAGACGAGGAGCTAGCCAAGTGTGTCATGAGTCATTTAAATAATGTCTTTGATGAAAATGAGTGCTATGAAATTTACAAAGAGGTAAATAGACTTAGGATTAAAACAAATAAGGATAAAGAGTTATATGAACAACTACTGATTAAACTTTTTCATCATTGCAATCTTGCTCATAAGGAAGAAATTCTTGATAGCCATTTTGCTGAAAACTGCTTTAGAAACCTGTATGACAATGGCGAATTTAGTTATGTAATGACTGAAACTTTCAACAAACTAATCATAGCCCCTGATTCAGATTTCACTGATGTTTTATGCCTGTTCCTCCAAAATCCACGAAAAGTTTATGAGAAAATATTTAACTTGGCAGCGGATAATGAACAACAGAAAAACATAATGTTAAAAGTTATGACATTGCTTGAGAAATATTCCAACCACTATTATGACTTAGAAACAGAACCATGCATCATCCAGGTGGCTCAGAATGCCTTTGATAACTTAGATACTGATGCTAAACAACACAATTTCATCAAATTCATGTGTGCGTTGAAGAATTCCAATTGCATTACAGGCACCAAATTATTAATGCTTATTATTATGCCACATATGCACAAAGCTCTTCTAAATCGAGATGTGGAATCACTAAATATTCAATGCAGACTTCTGAAGGATGCTTTTACTCTGGAAGAATTAATGCCATATAGAGCACCAATGCTGGCCATGCTTGGTCAAATCCTTGATGTAGTAAGATGGAAAATCAATACATTTGTATCTCTCGCCCCAGAAACTGTGACATTGGCTTTAGAGCTACAGTGCTCCCTAATAAATACTTATGGCTCGAGAATTCCAGGTACTACACCATTTTACTTTATTTATTGGTTATTGATGATGACCATCTGCATCACAGTTACAAACTTATTTTAATAAAAATATATTTGATTTGATATTTTAATAATTTCTCTTGCTTTTCAGATAATGAATTAAGTTGGTTAAAAACCAGACTGAAGTACTTGAAGCATGAGCTCAATGTGTATTATTACAGAAAACTTTGGGATCCCCCTGGTAACAACATAATAGAAATACTAAGTGGATATACAATAAATAATGATGTTGACTTAGAAGATTTGGTAACATGGATGTCTCAGGTAATAACTTTAAGCATCTGACACAAAATTATGAATAAAATCCATTCGTTAGTTCATTCGTTTCAGCTGAAAGATGTCCACTGCTGGAGAAAGGCATTTCTCCAGGTTTTCCACAAAGACTGGTCCTGCGCCGCCCGCATCCAGGCACCTCCCGCGACCTTCACCAGATCGTCGGTCCACCTATTGGGAGGCCTGCCCACACTAGGTCTTCCGGCTCGTGGTCGCCGCTCGAGAACTTTTTTGCCCCAGCGGCCATCAGCTCTACGAGCTATGTGCCCCGCCCACTGCCACTTGATTTTAGCGATTCTGCGGGCTATGTCAGTCACTTTGGTTCTCCTGCTCCATCCATTCATCATTATTAAATGTTCTTTTTCTTAATTTCAGGCAATCTGTTCAAGTACCCAGCAAGAGTGGGGTCTTTTGTGGGATAGCCTATCCGCTCTTGGAGACACTGTTTCACTGGATATTGTGCATAATGCAGTGGCTCTGATCACATTGGCTGAACGTCCAAATCGGATGGAAAACTCGTGGCCCTGTGTTTTACACATGTACAGAAATTTCGTATATACTATTAGGGTATGTGTATATTGGCTTTATTGCTATTTTATTTTCTTTTACAAAAGTTTACACCAAATAATCAACATGACTGAAAAATATTTTTTTAACCTTATAATATTTTTTCTCTTTTCAGTATAAATACTTCAAGGAACCGTTAACCAATTCTCAAATTGAAAGTGTGCTGGAAAGAATTATATTAATATCAAATGTAGTGGACGAAGACAGTATGGACGAGCTTAGTAGTGTTTTAATACCTCTTTTTGCATATCTCGCTGAAAGGAAAGGTGATTTTACATTTGATATAACTGACTATTTAACTGATAAATGTTCAAGTCCAAAACTCACAGACATTTTGATGAGAGTATTTTCTAATGGAACAGCATAAGAAAGAATATTGTAAGAGTGTTAAGCAGTTTTAAATGATGAATCATAATTTATTAACAAATTGATTTCATTATTTGTATGCAAGTTATTTGACACAGACAGATTTAAGCTAAACGTCCATTTGTCGGTATCGTACGCAACGGACGCATCGTACAAAACATCGTATGGGATGTGCGATGCGGAAAGGTGGACGCACTTATATGAGTTTCTATATAAATAATACTAAGATCCGTTGCGTGCGATATGTCCGATGCGTACGATGTGGACGCTTAGCTTTATACGAACTTACGGTATTCTTAGTATATTGCGCCTAAGGCGATTGTTCCTTTCGATGTACAGAATAGTTTAATTGATATAAAGTTAAGTTAGCACGCATAAAATGCATAAAAACTAAAAAGTTAAATTTTATTTATGTTTATGGTCAGTGCTTTAATAAGTCAAATATTGTTTCTTCATACATACTTCATCAAAGAGAATACATAATCATAATCGCTGTTACTTATAATAATTCATTTTTCAGATAAGTGGTTCTATTTTAGGAAAAAATAGGTTTATTTAAAATCTAAGAAAAGAATAATAAAATTGTAAAAGAATTATGTTATTGCTAGTTTTATTTTTTTAATATGGCTCAAAACTTAGTACATAAATGAAAATGGTACCTTTACATTTTACTACCGCAGATAACAATCAATCAACGATTTATTATTATATTATTATTATGTATGATTTCTTTTTAGAATTGTTCGAGTAGGCTATGCGCGCACGGGTGACTTTTTGCCACCGTGACAGTGTATCTTTCTCAACACTTTCTTAAAGAGAAAAAGAGAGAACGTAGTACATATTCTTATCTTTAAAGAGACTGTTACGGTGACAATACTCACCCGTGCTCGCGCGCCTTCATTCAGTTTTATTCACCAGATAAAAGTTATCTGGCAAATATTAATTTATATTGATTGATTTATTGAAAACATGATCTAATAGAATTTGGACCTCACCTATTTACTTTTAAAGTAAGAAAAAAATGTACTTTGGTAAATGTTGTTCTTTTATTACTACGCATTATTAGAATAGATTAATTTGGCATTTTAGTAACAATCGCAAAAGGTACCTATCCAAGTTGGCAGGTAGATTCTTAGGGTAGATTCAGTTTTACAGACAACACATTCAAAATATAAATCATATAATTCTTAGAATCATAACATTTCCATTAAAAATTAGTAAGAATAATTATTCTTCATGCGACGTTTCTCGTTGTTGCCATAATTCCCACAATAGCGTCCAAGCTGCTGGCACATTTGGCAATATTCCCTCTGATGTTCTTGACGATTTTCCTTGTCTTGTGATCGGTCACTGGGGCGCAGTTCTCTCTGTAAATAAATTATTTATTATTTATTCACCATGTCTGTTGAATATTTACCAGTGATACGACTTCTTTGATTTTGAAAGATTTTTAATGTAATTAGGCAGTGCAACATGGAATAGGAATAAGGCTCATTATTTATTAGACCAAGACGTATACCGATACCGACCACGCCTTACATATAGTGAAAACCTCATAAGTGTAAAAGAAGTATTTTTTCAAGAGGAAGATAAAACTGTACTATTTTGAATGATTGACTGAAATGCATAAATTATGAGAATAAATGCATTTCTGAGATTTTCACTCTAAAGCGACGTAAGGTAGGTAAATGTAAGATGTAAAAGGTGTAAAATAGGGTAATTAAGTTTCACCGACCTGTTTGTGCGCAAACACTGGTTTACGGCAGCGCTTACAGATTTGGTAGGCGCGTGCCCATGACAGTTGACTCTTCCAAAATCGACCGCAAGAGCATCGATATTCACCGTAAAGCGGTTTTGCTTGAAAAGACTAAAAAAACACGCTTACTTTAAAATGCGTCACGGCTTTACCTTTAAACAATAATGTAGGTAGTTAGGTATGTACAGTCAGCAGCATACAGGAAGGCCAGTGTGGTCAAAATGCAAAATGTCTGCTTACTATATTTTCTGCCCAAAATAAATTTTATAAAATCCGATTTGTATGAAAATTTAAATAATTAAAATGAATCTTCATTTTAATTATTAAAAAAATGATATCTATCAATTTTCTGACTTCACCATAGCTACCATTTATATGACCATGTTATCATGGGCTAGTGTCGGCTCATATACCCATTTACCTAACACCCTGTATACAGTAGAATCTCGGTTATCCGGATATCCGATTATCCGGCCTCATTCTTCATGGCTAATGGCTCTAATTACAGATTTAGGGCCTGGACCCATCAACACGGCACGGCGCCTCCTGTGATATGGTTCGGCGCCGCCACCGTGACACGGTACAAACATCGTCTTGCAGGGTTGCCAACTCTACGTATTTTTACGTAGATCTACGTATTTTAAGCCTTCCTTGCAAACCTACGAACTTCAGTCCCAGAATCTACGTATTTTCTATCAAATTTGCAAAATAGGCTGAATGGGCATAATTTCCTTTACTTTCGCGAAAAAGTTAATAAACGTTCCGTTTCATACTAACGGACACCACTCACCTCGCCACTCAACACATCGCGCCAAAGCAGATGACTCATGTCACATGGGTTATTATAGATGACCCACGCTGAACTGTCCCGCCAAACTCAATGACAGGGGGGCGCTACCATCGTTCAACTATATGGTTTCCAACATGGCAAAAATCTGAACCAGCGATCCAGTATTGACGGTGGCGCCCCACTGTCAATGTCATCGACAGGACAGTCCAGTATTTTGGAACTATAGTCCGATCACGGATAATTGGCATGTGGCAAAAGTCGAAACTAATGTTATTTTAACATTTCCCCATTGAAAAAATGCTGTGAGCGCCTGTCAGAAAATATTTCTGAAAATAATACACAATAAAAGTGTACTTTACTACTTTTAGGGTAATATAAATTGTCGTTTTACTACTTTTACCTACCCCTATACTCTCTTCATTTCATTCAGAAAAAAAAGTACGTAGATCTACGTATTTTCTATATGGAAATTGTACCATTTCTACGTAATTTTCTAATCTGTCCTACGACTTTTTCAAAATCCGAGTTGGCAACACTGTCGTCTTGGTTCATTGTTAAAAGAAATTGATTCACCCAGTGGTCTAACTGATGTATTTAAAACCCTTTTCTAAAGTGAAAAGTTAATCTTATTGTTTGATTTTATTTTTAAATCGATTATCCTGGATACCCCTGGTTTTAATCCGGATAATCGGGATTCTACTGCCTACACATTTTTAGGTACTTTTCTATCGTACAGCTCATTATGATAAAACACCAAGTAAAGCAACAAAAGCATAGGTATTTTTTGGCAAACAAAATGACTGATGTGTGCTGATGTGGAGAGTGCTGGGCCCCGATTGCGCTAAATATTTTCAACTACAACGCGACTAGACGATAGACGACGAACGAAAATCACAAACACCGCGCTTAACAGCTAGTTCAAACGAAAACAGAACTCAACTGCTTCTTTATGTAAAAGCTGAAAGAGCTACTTTTTCTCAAACTCAAGTCGAACGCCTTCACTCGAACATTTGCTGTGTTTTAGTGAAAAAATAAGGTGTTCGGACTTTTATTGGAAAGTGATTAAATTCGTTGTTTCGTCTTTGTTGAATTTGCACCTCAGCTGGAATAAAAAACGGAGCGCAACTGGTGAAGGAGCGCCAATGAATTGGAGACGTTAAAAATTAGCGCAATCGGGGCACTGTTTCTTACACATTGTATTTTATTTAGGTGACCTAGCTAGCATAGGCACAACATAGCCTATAGTCTTTTTCACCTAAGATGATTCGTATGACGTTTTGAGTTTGAAAGATTTAGAGATGTCACATAACTAAACCATAGCGATTTATCTCTCGATTTTTTTCGAAGAGTTAGTTATAACCTACTTTTAGAGAAATATTTTGTATAGGTGTTATTTAACAAAAAACATGTTATTTTTTAAATTACAAATATTATTGTAACAATTTTTTGTTGATAATATTCAAATTTCATGGTTCGTGTTCAAAAAAACGATTCCTAAAAAGTATCTACTGGTTCTGTTTCTTTAAATTAAAAACGATTAATTTAAAGTAAAATTATTTTCAATGCGTTTATTAAAGTCAATAATCGAAAAATATAGTTGATTTTTGTGATGTTTTTAATAACTAAGTATTCACTGCAATCGATTAATGAACCGCGGAAATAATCGATTTTATCACACAAGAAATACCCCAGCACTAAATCTATTCCGTTTCACACATTGCGTACATTAAATAAAAAATATTTCTACATCGTATTTAATTAAAATATAATCAATAGACTCAGATTTTACTATATATTTCAAGACAAGTAGTTAATTTATTTTTATTATATTGCTAATAAAATACAAATATTTTTTCAAAAATATTCTGCATATGTAGTATGCGTAATATGAATAACCTTGAAGTGTCATACGGATCATCTTACGTGAAAAAGACTATAGGTTAAATTTTATTGGTAGGTAGGTACCTAAGTTACTTTATTTTATATTTAAGACTAGCGAAGCGACCTCCGGCTTCGTACGGGTGCTAAATCACTCTTATCTAGGTTGGTAGCCTTGGTAGGTACTTATTTAAAAAAACTCGCATCATATTCAAAATCCGTTGCGTTGTATTATAGATCTAGGAAGCATACATAGGGACAGACAGCTGAAAAAACCGCATCAAAATCCGTTGCGTTATATAATATTAAGATCTAGGAAGCATACATTGGAACAGACAGCGAAAAAAACCGCATCAAAATCCGCTGCGTTGTTTTACAGATCTAGGAAGCATACATAGGGACAGACAGTGGAAAGCGAATTTGTTTTATATTAATTTATGTAGTCATTTGCTTGAAATAGGAAGGTACCTTTGCCTTTGATGCAGTGTAGGAAGGTGTCGAAGGTGACGTGTGTATTTGCCGGACTACGCAAGTTGAAGTTGCAGTGATGCCGCCGACAGGTCCGGGCGACATGCGGCGAGGGTATAAGACCAAGTCGTCAACATGATTTCGAAACAAAGACGCCGACACCTATTTAATATGCAATACTACGGTTTAAAACAGATACTTAAGTTACACTTACATCTAAGAAGAAGAAAATCTGATAGGTACACTTACCGAAGCTGTTGTTGTTTGCTGTCTTGATGATTGCCGAATACAAATTTCGCAAACACCGTTAAAGAAAATCAAATTCTTAACTCGCCTGCGATTACAGTACATACAACGGTTAGCATCCTAGAACAATACAACAAAGAACCTAAGAACGTTTTACTTCATAAATACTTATTATGGGTAGGTAAGTAGGTACTTAACTTACCTAAATTGCCAACCTATAAGCAACTAGGCTTAGGTATAGGATGGAGGTGCACCTTTTATATTTTCATAAAGCACTGTAGTAATTGATTTTACTACAGTGCTTTATGTAGAAAGTAGATTAAATTAGTTTTATGCTAACTTTATGACAGATAATGCAATGCAATTTATTACAAGAGAAAGCTTAGGATAAATGTATTTAAGTTGTCACTATTTTTGTTAATATTTAAGTAAATTGGTAATTTATCTAAGTAATATCGGTACAAAGAATTTTTATCACTTACCTCACTAGACCACATACAGCCCATTGTGGTTTTCTTTATTTACTTAGCAGTTGCTGGTATAAAACTATTGATGTGCTGTATCGTTACAACTAAAACAAATAGATTTCCGTAAGGGAGACAACTAGTCACTGTCGCTATGTAGGTATCGTGTCTACATTGTCGACTAATTAATTATTTTAACCAAATTTTTAAAATTTTATTAAATATTTTTCGTTTACAAAATCTAAACGTGAAGAATGCAACATGGCGAACAAAGAACGAACTCACACGCACGGTACTCAAAACTTTCGTCCACTAAGTTCGTTCACTTGGCCATAATTATTATTGAAACTACCTACATTAAATTATTATTATTTTAAAGCTATCATTTGGTTGGTAAATAGATAACTAAAATTTAAAAGACTCACCAATTTATTTAATTTTACATTAAAAGATATTTTAGTTTATCTAAGACTAATTGGGTCACTGTATAGGTTATTACTAGTTAATAAGGAGGCAAGTACTTAAGCCATTAAAATACTGCTACGTATCACTTAAATTATCTTATGTCTCATTTTGATTGTATTTATCTACCTTATACTTCTTATACTAGCCTTATTTAATTTAGGTAATTTCCCGTGACTTGAGAGTTGCCTTGCCGTTGCCATACGCATAAAATCAGTCAACTTAACCTTTTCAGCGCCACGGTCTTGTAAGAAGACAAAAGTTTCCGTGCCCTCCACGCCACGCCTTCTAAAGTAAGCTGACGTCAGCTGTTTTGACCAATCCGTATCGCAGAATCGAAGAAGCGCGTCTGTATTGGAGACGTTAAAAATTAGCGTAATCGGGGCCCAGAATAGGGACTATGTTCTATATAAGACAAATCTAATCACATTTCTTTAATAAAAATACATAAATCCGTTTTTTATAAAATTATACAGTAGATTAAACAAGTGAAGTCAATAAAGCTTGTAAAAAAGGTGCCTGTTAGAATGGACCATTTCTGTTTATAGCCTGACCAGGAACATAAAAACCCTCGCCATGTTGCGGAAAACTAATGGTACTAATTTCTTTTAATGGCAACAGTAACTGAAAACTTCATTCACATGTCACCATGCATGTCAGTCTATTGTTGTCAAAGTGTAAACAAACTTTATTTTAAATGTGTGCAATTGATTTCGTGACTTAAATTGCTAAAATATTTTTATAGTCGTGAAAGAAAAGTGGTTCACGATGTGTTAATGTATTTGTCGAAGAGAAATACTAAGGGTTCGGACAATATTTTCATTGAATAATGTTTCCGACAAAGGTTGTCAAATTGACTGACATGTTTATCGTATGGTACAGTCCACTATGAAAATTAGCTGTAGTCTGTTTCAACTACCTATTTTAAAGTTTTTTGTCACTTTCTAAGTTTTGAATTTTATGGAATTGGGAAAGAAGTACCGAGTTTGAAGCGTTCATGAGCAGACATTGCAGTTGAATATTCATGTTCTGAATTTGATTATTGATGAATAATAAAATAAATCCTACTAGCTCGATTGATGGTTTCATTTAATTTATTTAAACCAGGTTATCTTTAATAATATTTTTCGTTAATTTATGAAAATATCAAATTAGCCCGTAATCCTGAATCCTGATACATAAATTTAGCCTATTAATTTAACACATGTACGACTGTACTCAGTGTTGCACTATCAAATGCAATTGAAGCGCCTCTGTGCCAGGGTTTTTATGTTCCTGGTCAGGCTATACAAAACTATATTTTTGACCGTTTGTATGATGTTCGCCCCTTTGCAGCGTTGGCGACGAATTGATTTCTTTATTCTATGCGTATTTTTATTTTAAAATATGGTATTAATTTTCAAAATGGAAAACTTTCTTACTGTCCCAGGTGCCATAGTTGGCTGGCGCTGCCTGACCTAGGGCACACCGCTTTTGACTATCATGATGGGTCTCTTCTGGATACAATTTTCGATTTTTGCAAGAATCACTCAATCCACATGCACATAAGAAAAATAAGTAGTCTTTTTACTGCATCCTTTTCGGTTCCAACTTCATAATAATTGTCGTTAAGACAGAGTCAGAGTTACAAAGTCAAAATTGTCAGTTAGGCAGGCTGTAAATAAATGTTTAGATTCTCAATGTTTATTGGTTTTTAATATAATGTTGATATCGTTTTGCGGTTGTGATGAGCCAGAACAAAAATCACATTTTGACGACGACTTATTCCCAAACTCTAAACAGCTATGGGGCATGATCGGCACTATATTGGCAACCGTAGCTTGTTGGCTGTTCTATACAAGGGTAGGTTCGATTTACATTGAATTCACGATACAATAATACATCATTAGATTAATACTAATCATTTACAGATGCACGTAAAAAGGAAACGGCTTATCATCCAACAGAATACCCCTAGAGTTCACACCACTGGAAGAAGAGCTCACCACTAATTTGATTTATAAAAAATAAAACGTTTTTCTCCAATAACAACTTTTTATTTAGATATCTATATGTTTATCTAATATGGCCCCATAAGCATTTATAATGTGTGTATATAAAATATTATCTACTTATATTAGCTTTACCCATGCCCATGCAATAAAAGTAACAGTCTAAATAGGAATGTATCAACATTAATTATATAATTCAATATGTAAGATTTAAATAGTCAACAGTATCCCTCGATGGAATCCTTTTGCACTCTTGAAGTAAATACTTATGTTCGTCATCCACATTGCCTTTTTTCAGCAGGTATACTAATATGTATTGATAGGGGAAGACAGGAACTTGATGGCGAGCAAAAAAGCGAAGTTTCACTCTTTCTATCATCTTCATGTCCACGAAGCAGTAGTCAGCAGAGCAGCAACTGCCTGGTGTCCTGAAAATTATAAATGAAACTAATATAAGCTCTAAACTCAAAGACTGTGATTGAATTTCGATACTTTGAATATTTACAGTATGTTATAATTTACACCAGGACAATGACATACCATAAACATCTTAGCACCAGGATAGAATATCTACTTGCATTTACGTATAGATCGTTTCATCCACGAAGACGCGCCCCACCATTCTTCCGCTAATGTTTGAGTGTTACCCGCACACGCTAAATTATCATTGAGTGCACACGCACAGTACAATAATGATGCTCGGATTGCTCGGATCAAACTCCCCGCACCCCGCACTTTCCTCGACCAAAAATTGGTGGGGTACGTCTTCGTGGATGAAACGATCAGTACATAATACCGCTTTGACCCGTATTAACCATGGTTACATTTTTAATAGCTTTCTCTTAGGCCCCTCGCCCACGGCGATGCAGTAGCACGTTTATACAGTCGCAATGCGGTTGCTACCTGTGTGCCCTTCTCGCCTAAATAAACATTCAGTCGTGATGCAAACGCGATACTGTCGCGATGCAAACGCGCGGCACATAATTACATGCGATCGCTACAGTTGCCGCGCCACCCTCCCTCCGTTCTCTCCCAGATGTCGTCGGTCATGGTCGCACGGTTGTTTTGGAGATAACTTGCTTCTATAGAGATATAGAAAGAAAGATGCTAAGTAATGCGCTGAGTTCGAAACTCAGTGTCGCATTAGAAATTCACACACAAGAAATCAAAATATGTGCTCATTATCCACTGCGGTATCAGTACTCAACGTTCGAATCATCTTTAGTACTACGCAAGCAATGTAAGCTGTTTACATTATGACGTCGCTGCTGTCATCATTGCTTTCACGAGCATTGTGTTCTGTTTTTGGGCATATTGCTGCGACACCGGCCCCGCCCCCTTTTCACATCTCCCTTAAGTTTCTGTGATCTGTGGTTGCATCGCTACAAAAGTTGCTGTGAGCGAGAGGCCTTACTCTTCTATGTGAATGAATCGCAAAATGTGTTGGTAAGCGCATAAGCATAACAACGCCTGGACCAATTTTACCAATTCTTTTTTTTAATGTGTTCGTTGTTCAAGGATGGTTTTTACGGCGAGAAAAGTACGAATAATTTCCGGGAAAACAAAAAAAATACTCGAAATTTCACCCCTAAGGAGGTAAAACGGGGTCCACGTGTATGAAGTCGCGGGCGGCTAGCGCTAGTAGATGAATAATAATAACTTGTATTTTGCTAAGTGAAATAAAGGAGATGTGAGACTGAGACAAGTCTTGACCAATAAATTAAAGTTATATTTACCTCGGATCATATGTTATTGGTTTTGCTTTTAGAGTCTTGAACACCATGTTGTAATATTGTCGGTACTTCTTTCTCATGATGAGCACAACTTGTTTGCCCTCGAAAGGAAACTTTGCGCTTAGTGCTTGCAACTCCAGGTGCCAATATACAGCTGCCTTTGCCACCTCGACACTCGTGTTATCTATTTCTAGTATCTTTGGATGTCTCATCCACTCATAAATACTTTCCTTAAAATAAAAGAGAAATATTCCATATTTTATATTACAAAATAAAAAGCATAGTAACAGACGCCGGAACATCGAAAATAAATGATAAGAATGAAGTTTACATTCTACCGCCTCCCGGACTGCTTTCGTCAGAGTAAGGCTATGCGCGCACTTTAATAAAGAGAAAATGAAACACAAAAATGGCCCGTGCGCGCGCGCCTTGGCATTTGAATCAGCCTAACGCTCTCGACTCGCGGTCTATTTCTACTGAAGTCTAACACACGTATTCACAAACGATGCTTACTTAAGTGAAGCAGCAACGCTATGCGAAGTCGAACGCACAGCGTTGAATAGAGCTCTGTGATTGGTTTGTGTGTTTCTGCCACTCAAGTACTGTCTATGATTAGGTTTATGGGACCCTGTGCGTCGACGTGCACGGTGCACTGTGAGACGTCATAGTATTGTTTGTGAATACGGGTGTAAGGCCTCAGCCTCGAACTTAGCGGGCAGCGGGGCGGGAGCGGCGGCGGCGCGGGAGCGGGGCGGGCAACGCAGACCCGTTCTCGAAACAAGCGGGCAGCTCGCGCGGCGCTTTAGCGGCGAAGTGTTGTGTTCGGGGTTGTGTTGTCGAGATATTTGTTTTTATTCGCAAACGAAATGTCTGAACAACGGCGACAATTTTATTTCGATTCAAATTTATTCTTAACGCTCGATTTATTGTGGGCAAAAGAAGGAGTGCGCTCTGCCCGCTCGTTGCCCGCTCCCTCGCCGCTGCCCGCTCGTTGCCCGCTGCCGCCCCGCTGCCGCGCCGCTGTTTTCGAGAACCGGTCTATTTGATTTTACGCATAAGATCCTGCCGCTCCCGCGCCGCCGCCGCCCCGCTGCCCGCTAAGTTCGAGGCTGAGGCCTAAGACGTCGCAAGTATAGAAAAAAAAATAACACTACCACTTACATCCATAAACTTTTTGCATCTGAAGCTGTCGTAAACGAAACTGATGTGAAGCAACCACTTGCCGGTCGCCAGGGCGCATACCATCATGCCAGTGTAGGTATCGTTCGGCAGGACTGAAATGAAATGTGTGGCCAACATTTCCATTTTCGTGTTCTCTGCTACCACACCGCCCAGTTCGTTTATCATAGACACAATCCTGTCCCTATCCTGTAAAAAGTGTATTTTTAAATTAGTCTAGCTTTGAGGATTTCACTTTGTTATAGAACAACATCTTACAACCCATAGAGATATAGAGAGATGCCAGCTAATGTGCTGAGTTCGAAACTCAGTGTCGGATTGTGCGGGTAAGTTCCCACTTCCTTCCGGAAGAGACGCATTCTAGCGAGGTGCGTTGATAACTCGTGTAAGATGTAAGGATGCTGATGTAAGATGTAACTAAGTGATAATGAGCCTTTATCAATACGTGATAACTCTGTAACTGCTACACCTCTTGAATGTAAAACAAGTACAATATATCCACTGATAAGTGCCGAATTTCGTAGTTATGTTAATTATTGGACTGCTGGGTTCTTTTTGTACAATAAACAGCGACTTTAAAAATAAAAACAAGCACGACTACAGTTACTCACATGTACGGATTCTGAGAGCATAAACACTTTTTTGTCACATGCACAAATTAAATTCTGCTTCATTCTCCATGATTCCTCTGATGTGCCACTTACAGTGCCATAATCACTATCTGAAAAGAAAAAAATAATAACTCAATACATAATCATTTAAAAAAACTTGTGGCAAGTTCAAGATGAAGCAGGATATTATGAAATGCGGTTCCGGATTAGCATTAATTTGGCGCATATTGCCGTAAATGAACTGTAGGCTCAAGGTCACCCAAAGGGCGATGATGCGTGCTTTTATGCTCGGAGTTTCCCTGCGTGATGAATCAGAAATGAGGATATCCGCAGGAGAACGAAAGTGACTGACATGGCCCGAAGAATCGCTAAAATCAAGTGGCAGTGGGCGGGGCACATAGCTTGCAGAGCTGATGGCCGCTGGGGCAGAAAAGTTCTTGAGTGGTGACCACGAGCCAGGAGACCTAGTGTGGGCAGGCCTCCCGCTAGGTGGACCGACGATGTGGTGAGGCCTTTATCCAGCAGTGGACGTCATTCGGCTGAAACGAACGAACTGTACGCGCGTCACATTTTGTGCATTGAAATTTCTAGGTATTCATTACCTGAAGTCCCACCAGGCATTGACAGTCTAATCTTGCTTGATAACTGCATTTTTCCCTCTATGGGACTGTAGTTGGTAGCTTTTTTCTTCTCTTTATAATTTTGTATGTATTTCCGGAATGGAATGTAGTTTGAAGTCTTGGCTTTTCCAGTCTCAATTAATTTGCGAAAGCTTACTCTCTTGGGTGTACTTTGTCTACTCAATGACCTAGAATTCAAAATATCACAAAAAAGTAGTTGAAAAATTTTAGTAGTACCAGAGTCCAGAGTAAAAAATACCAATTGACAAAAATTATACTTCCAAAGTATTTACAATAACATTGCTACAAAAATTCAATCATTCCATCGCATGTTATCTTAGATATACATAGAGAAAAATAAATAGAAGAGAATAATGATCGGTTTTGAACAGTATTTATTAAAACCTAATAAATAAAAAAAATAGTTTATTTAGTACATAGGCCCTTTCCAGGGCACTCATACATATTTTTTTTAAAAGCTGTAATAGAAGAGCCTAAAGAAAAGTATCTACATTGTTGAATCTATGGCATATCCCAAATACAGTAAAGTAAGTACTACAAGCTGAAAATTCAAGACTTTTGTTAGTGAAGCATTGTCACGATAGGCCCCAGACATGCCAAAAAGGAGTACAACTCACTCATTCCCCAACCTAGAAAAGAATGTCTTTAAAGGGCTGGACGTTGGTGTCACTTTCTCTTCGACTTTTTTGCAGTCAATTTCTTGATAAATATCTTCAATAGACCAACCTATTTGTCGTCGAACTGATTTCGGTTTCCTAGATTTCTCGTAGATAGCAGTGAAACTGTCCACAACATCCACACTAGGTTCATCAGATACTACTTCTTCTTTTTTAAAATGCACATCTTTCAAATGTTGCAAGTATGCCAGCTTTGCAGTGCATATTTCGTGACACACGGGACATACGTAATGGTGCAACTTTACATTCGTTGTACATTTGTTAATATGAATGACATAGTCATCATAGTCTTCATATTTATTGTCACAAAGAACACAAGATACAATGACTGGAGTGTCAATTGATTTGATAAAAGGGTTTTTGATGGCTGGTGGTGCATCAACTGCAACAAGGGTTTCGTTGCTGCTGGATCGTTGCAAGTCATAATGTTCGATAGTGCATGTCACATTACAGATATGGGCACCTTGGTTGCTATAGGATTGACTACATTGAGCACACTTTATGGAGTCCATATCACTATCAGTTTCATCACTTACTTCGTGGATGTTCCCAAGTGGTTCAGGCGTAGGATTGGAGTCTTTTACATTATTTTCATCATTTTCACCTTCCACAGAGCCATAAATTGTATGCATATGAAATTCTTGGTTAAATAAGTCATTATAATCAGTCGCAGCCGGTTTCTCAAGCTGTGCATCTGAAATAATTAGAATTTAAATTAAAGAGGAGAATAGTAACTCGACTGTTCACTTTCACTAGTAAGACTACAGAACGTATGTAAAAAAAATGAATTAAATACAGATTTTAACCTGGGCAAGTCCGGAGTAACGTATCTATTCGTTCACACTGCAGTTTAAACAAATACGCTGTACTTAGATTTTCTATACATGAAGTACATACACGATCCGATAGGCCATCACCTTCAGAAATCTAGAACAGTGAACAAGTTAAAATTTTTAGGTTAGATTGAATTATGTGATTCATTACAAAAGAAGCTTTAATTGGCAAAAGATAACCAATTTAGTATAAAGTTTATACATAAATCTAACTTACCTTTAGGTTTGTAAAAGCCATAACCATTTCGGACAGTTTTATGGAATCATCTTGCTCAAATATAGAACAAAAGTCACCCAGCTTTAGACACAATCTGCACTTATGAAACAAATTATCCATTTTATAGAACTTTATTTATTTATTTTAAGGTTATCTGCTAGATTTTCAGCACACTAAACGTAACACAAACGTAATCATTTTTTGAAATTGTAACGACAAACCTGCGACAAACCAACAACACAACAAATACAGAGCCCCGATTACGGTAACTTTTATAACGTCTACAATCCAGACGCGTTTCTGATTCTGCGATACGATTGGTCAAAACAGCTGACGTACGCTGTTGAACGACCAATGGTATCGCAGAATCGAGAAGCGTGTCTGGATTGTTGACGTTAAAAATTACCGTAATCGGGGCTCTGTGCAGTGTCAATTCAATTGTCAATGTTCTTCATAAAGATTGTGGGTTGGCAATGATATCAGGCTCATACAGCCAAATTCCCAGAAATTTTATTTTTCTAGCTGTTTAAAATAGAGCTCCAAAACTATGTTACTCAAAAAAAAAAGTATGTCAGTCACAGTGTCAATGTCAAAATTGACAGTAAAAAATCAGTGGATTTCAACGACCAAAAAGGAATATAGTTCCAAAATACTGAACTGTCCTATCCATGACATTGACAGTGGGGCGCCACCGTCAATACCGGATCGCTGATTCCGATTTTTGCCATATTGGAAACCATATAGTTGAACGATGGTAGCGCCCCCCTGTCATTGAGTTTGGTGGGACAGTTCAGCGTGGGTCATCTATAGTTCGTTCTCGTTCACTTAAAGGAATTGCTTCCTATTATAATAGTACATCCCTAGTACATGTACTACACAAGCCTAATTCATTCATTCATACAATGTACACAAATACAGACCATATAGCATTGTAAAAAGGTCATTTTTCAAGTAAAAGATTTAGGCATAAGTAATGTTGATAGGGGATTCCCCGACCATAAAGCTGCCGGGTAGATCCACCGATTTGATTCCGCGAGATTTATTTTACGTTTTTTGAAAAACTTTACAGGAATGCGTGCAAACTAGCTTAAACTGAAAGGTTAAGCAATGAGCTTTTTAGATCAGTGTGAGGCCCTTAGATTCAATCGTTATTTTAGAAGTAACAAGCGTCCAAATATTTTTTCACAAAATGGTAATGACGTTTTCCCAATGGTAATGATTTTATTAAAATGGTAATGATCTTATGTTAATGGTGATGACGAAATATAATTTTATAGTAATACATTAAATTAAAATAACTTGATAACTAAAATTTAGATATAATTGTTCAGCTAAACACCAATTTTATCTATGTTATTTTCCTAGCTAAGCACGTACCTATTAAAGAATGGGTTGGAAATAAAAGTAAATGTATTCAATAATTTAATGAATTTATTGAATTTGGAACAATACGGACATTAGTTAAAATTTTTTTACGTTCCTAATATTATTCAGAATCAGAAAAAATATATATTTACACCAATGAGGATTTTGATTGAAAAATATGCCAAGCTACTCTTACTTAGACTTACACAATAGTCAACATACAAGAAATGAATAAAAAAACGTCTTTTCGTAAACTAATAAAAAACCTTCTCATTTAAAAACAAAGCTTAAAGAACAATGGGACAAAACGTCCCCAGAACTGTAGCACTTTAATACCTACCTTATATGATAGACCATGCTAATACCCGACCGATCTCTCCAGCTACAATCACGGCAAAGGTCCTTGACAGTGTGCTTGACTCTCTACTAGATAAATATTTAAAATCACATGATGCTCAATTCGGGTTTAAGCCTGGACTGTCGACCGAGAGCGCCATCCTTAGTCTTAAGCACACTGTCAGGTACTACACGGATCAGGGGACTCTCATTTACGCATGCTTCCTCGACCTCTCCAAGGCGTTCGATCTTGTGTCTTATGACATCCTTTGGGATAAGATGAGGAGGCAGGGCATCCCGTCAGAAGTATCACAAATATTCCATTATTGGTATGCTAACCAGATTAACAGCGTAAGATGGGCTAACGTTTTTTCTGAGGAGTATGGGTTGCAGTGCGGGGTGAGACAGGGTGGGCTGACGTCTCCCAGGCTTTTCAACATTGTTCTTTTAGGAAACCATTCATAGTCATCATTACCATATACAAAGTGTCATCACCATAAGCCTAAATGATATGGTAATGATGTTAATGGTAATGACGAAAACGATTTTAAAATTATATAAAAATAATTGTCACCACTATTGGGACACCTCAATATCGCCATTTTTTTATTGTAATCACATGCTACAAAGTGCTAATTATTAGAAAAATATCGATATATTAAACTTACTAAATCGCACAAAATGGGAATGACGCGAGCCGATGACAAACTGCGAGTGTCTCTCGTTTTCGGAGTTTAAAAAGTCTCGGAGCTGCGTAAATTTTACGTGCATTCTGTTCTGTTACGAGCAACGAATTGAAGAGTGGGACGCGCGGACACAAGCGGGGATAAGTCGCGTCGCAGCCGCATTAAAGAACCTTTGATGCTGCCGCGATGGCTATGACGATTTCTCGTGACAATATTTCAATTCATGATTCCATTTTATTGGCTAATACGATTTCAATATAATTTTGTTATTTTGTCACGGTAAATATGTACATTTTAAATTTATAATCAAAATCTGGTCTGTGTATAGGTAAAGTAAAAAAAATTAAAAGACAACGGCAAAGGTCAGTACTTTTACTGTGATGGTAATGACGTTTAGTGCGTGTTTTCTTGATTATCGAAAGAACTTGAAGTATTTAATCAATATGGATCATGGCACCTTATGTGGAAACTTGTACGAATCGTTATTCAGAAGTTTAATTTACCAGAACTACAACAGTTTTTTTTTAATCGATCGGAACATAAGTTTTTTACTGTTTCGCGGATTTACCCTGCCGCAAGGAACACATTCGTTTAATTACGAAATGTTGCCAGGTGCAGGAAAATCGTACACTTTCCGTACAATCTAGCGTGGTATTATAAACCTTCTCATTTACAATCGCTAGATCGTGGTCTAGCGATTGTAAATGAGAAGAAAATGCCAAAAAATCGTAGGAGTACGATTTAAATCGTACATCTGGCAGCCCTGTATCTGTGTCAAAAATCCTCCAATGTTGTTTTTTTTGTTACTTGTTGAACTTGGTTCGCTCAATTAAATTTATTTACTTTAAAAGTGATCATAGCATCAGTAAGTTTTTAAATGATTTCTAATTTCGTTAAACACCCTCAGACTCTCTTTCCCAAGCTTGCACTTATCGTCTCACCTCTGTAACAAAGAAAGTTCATACTGTTCTGTTTGTGGACAGTTTTTAATATTAATGGTTTGATAATTATCTAATCTTCTAGTTTCAGGTTTTAAAATATGCAGCCAGAACTTCACACTAATGCAGATATCTACTCAAAAAATTTTCCTACATTTAGTCGCCCTGCAGTAATAGGTTACATTGGGCTAGAGAATTTGATGTTTGCGAAATGTGTGCAAAACAAGAAAGTGCATTTTGATTTAAACCTGCATTCAGCAGAAACTATTCGCAAACCAAATGACCGTGATGTGAAATTGGATGATTTATTAAAATTTCTTTTAGAACATGAGGCTAGATTAGATCTTCGGGGGGGTACCAATCTTGACAGTTGCAACATATTCTGCTATCGTGGGCTGATGACTTGTGTTGCATGTACTCCATACGAAAACAGAGAACCATGGAAAATTGTTGCAATATTATTTAAAGGGAATATTTATTTGTGTGCCAGAGACACCGAAGAAAAACGTAAACAAAAGTTGAATATGACAGAACAAGATATAAAATTTACATCATGGGGCTACAAATTTGAACAATACATGTTATCTGGTAAATGAATTTGTTAACTTTATAGTTTAATTTATCAGTTTTACTAAGTTGTTTTGTTAGTAGTACATGTAATATTAAGTAGTGGTATGTAGGTAATTTGAGTACAATAATAAATTAAAAAGATGTACCTACCTACTTATTCAGATTTTTATAAAATAGATTATAGGTGTTAAATAAAAAAATAAGTTATTTTATCATCATTAGCTAATATCATTAGTTCATTTAATCTCAACAATGGAGGATTTGGCCTGCCAAACAGTTATTACTAACACGAAATTAATATTTACTTACTGTACCATAATGTGTTTTAGAGCATCCAGATTCAGAGCCAAATCCAGATGTTCCTGTGGATGAGACAAAGGAGTTTTCACTGGTTTTGACTAATCGTCTCAATAACCACTCACTTGTGTACGGAGCTGAAATGGATGGACTCCGCTGTGACCAGTACAAAGTTCCCCCAGTCCCTGATCATCACGACCCAAACAAAATTGTGAAATATTTATATGATAAAGAATTTGTGGAACTAAAAACAAGCAGACACATTGAGTATTCCAGACAAGAAACAAGTTTTAAGTAAGGTTTATTTATACATATGTTAATTTTACACCAATTTTTTTAGTCAGATGCACATTTTATCATACTTGTCTATAAACTGAAGCTAAATCCTTACACATTATTGTTTTAACTTTCAGACGATTTAAAACAAAGAAGTGGTGGTGCCAGTCATTTCTTGCTGGAGTAAATACAATTGTATGTGGGTTCAGAGATGACAATGGCATTGTAGAAGAACTTGAAGTTTTTTCTGGAAGGGATTTGGTTAAAATGTCGGAGGTATGTTTCAACTTACTATAATAATTTTTAAATCTATTTATATAAAAATGAAATACCACTCACTGATTAATCACGAAATCCCAGAAATTATAACACCTACAAACCTGAACACTATGGCTGAGTTGCACCACCTACCTGTGACCGTAACTATGTATAATGATGATATAAGATGACCCACGCTGAACTGTCCCGCGAAACTCAATGACAGGGGGGCGCTACCATCGTTCAACTATATGGTTTCCAACATGGCAAAAATCGGAACCAGCGATCCGGTATTGACGGTGGCGCCCCACTGTCAATGTCATCGATAGGACAGTCCAGTATTTTGGAACTATAACCGGTGTTTTTTGTATGGAGTTTGACAGATTATTGACATTTGTCAAAGTTCAAATAAGATGGTGCAACCCAGCATAAGACATTCACTAATGCCTCGGCCGCACTCATCGCGATAACATTCGGGCGACAGCGGAACGAAGTCTTGTATCTATGCAAAAGAGCACCGAAGTATAATACTTGGCTACACACATCGCGATAGCGCGAATCTTCGTGTTATCGCGATGAGTGCGGCCCAGGCATAATGCCTGGGCCTAGTGTTCCCGAGGCCTATAGACTTTTTTTTAAGGCTAGCCTATGAATTAGGGGCTACAGCGGGAAAAAAGCCTAAAAAGGTCTTTTAGGCCTTTAGGCTAGGCCTTTTTCATAGCCTTTTTTTGTCCACCCGATGACTATAGGCTTTTAGCCTTTTTGTAAAAGCCTATAGTCATCAAAAAGGCTAAAAGGCTTGAAAGGCTAAAAACCTAAAAAGATTTTTCGTCCTTTAGGCTAGGTCTATTTTATTTATTTGTAAACACCTAATTGTACGACAGGATGCAATAAATAAAAATGAATATGAATATTAATATTTAACCGACTTCAAAAAAGGAGGAGGTTATATGTTTGACTGTATGTATTTTTTTTTCTATGTATGTTACCGATTACTCCGTTAATTGTGGACCGATTTTCAAAATTCTTTTTTTGTTCGATAGGGTACACTTCTGAGGTGGTCCCATTATCACCAATTCAGGATCTGATGATGGGATCCTAGAAATATATAATAATAATAATAATGTATAACAATTAGGTACTTAATTATTTCCAATTTCAAATAATATTCGTTTATTTGAAAATAAATGCAATACAAAAATACTTGTTTAATTCATACTAAGCCATAACCTGAATAATGGCTATAGCCTTATAATAAGCCTACTACTCGGAAGACTAGTCGGAAATAAAGCCTAAAAGGCTATTTAGGCCTATAGGTTTTTTAAAACCTATAGGCTTTTTATAATGACTAGCCTTTTAAAAGCCTAGTAGTCTATCATGGCCAAAAAAAGAACTAAATAGGCTTAATTTTAGGCCTAAAAGCCTATAGGCCCCGGGAACACTACCTGGGCCGCTTTACTAAACTCCACCCCTAAGGGGGTAAAACGGGGTCCACGCGTGCTAAGTCGCAGGGGGCCGCTAGTAAGTTGTGTTGATTAATTTTTTTTTAATGAAATAACTTATTTTTGTTACAGAGGTTTTGGATACCAGGTGTATGTTTCAACTTCCTGGATACATTTTTTACATATGTCAAAAGGTGTTTGGCTAGAAAAATAAAAGCTACACATGGAGAAAATGGATTGAAAAATCTGCAGGCTCTACCTATGACATCTTTACTCCTAGAATGGAGACCTGGAATGCCTGTTACAGTTTCAGAAAATTATTGTTATGATGATGATCCTATAATCCCACAATATTTTCTTAATAATTATGGTAAAATTAATTAAAAATAAGCTTGAAATATATGTATCTTGTTTTAATATTCTTCCAATCAAATACATAGTAAAAAAATATTTCAGTTTTATCAGGATTTCGTCATGACGGGAAAAATAAATAAATAATAGTCTGGTTTTCTATGGTACCATTTATTATCACTGCATAGCAAATGGTGTAAATCAACATCCATAAAAGACTAATCAACAACATGGATATCTTCACTTAACAATTAGAATTAAAAACTATTTTTGTTATCATACAATTATAAAAAATATTTAGAAATAAAAACAATAATTAACAGAACAACATATTTGTAATAAAATTAAAGGGTGTCATGTTATAATACATCTAAATTCCATATTTGTATTTACACAACAATGTTTTGATTTTACTAAAGAAAAATCTCCATTATGTTACTGATAGTCGGTTCCATTTAAATTCTTATTGTAATAATTAACAATAAATCTTATAACACAAATAAAATACAATCTATTTATAATTTTCCGTGCATTTAATTCAATGTTAATTTAATCCAAAACATCAAACACTCATTTATATAAGTATACATTGATTGTTATGTTAATGATTATTGTGATGTGTGATTACAAATTACAATAACTATTTTTCAGGTTTTTTTACACAAATCTCGATTATTACTAGAGTCCACTTACGATTAGTAGACCCTCGAAATTCATAAGGGTTATCGTAGTTAGTTATAGTACAGTCACGGAATGAAAAGGTTCGTCAGTTTTCAAATTGATTCCTTCAACGAATCGCGAGCACATATTACCTTTTGAAACTATGTTACAGAATTAATCTCGAGTTAGAGAAAATAATCTTTAACTGTTCGTCAGTAAAGTTCAAAATTATTCAGATCAAAGTTGTTTGACGATTTATCTTGTCAAGAAGATTATTATGATTGATAAACTAAAACCTTCTTGTTGGTTCAACCTGCCATTATTATTTCTTTTAAATAAAAAAACTATTGTCAATTGGTCAATGTCATCATTGCATTGCACTGATGGGATAGAAAAATAAACAAGCAAAACCTTATTCGTTAGCAAACGTCATATTTATTTAAATGTTAGCAGCACTGTTTCTTGCACTGTTATGTTGGCAGGTTTGACTCTCACAGTACCTAGTGCAAGCGAAAACCGACACTAAGGTGACGAACCTTTTCATTCAGCGACTGTACATGTATGGTTGTACCATTGATTATGTATAAAACTTTAACACAATCCTGCTAGCTAAAAAATTGACAAACTATCTAGAAAGAAACCGGGAACCATAAATTAAATATTAAGACAATACAATGTATATTTTGTGAAAGCATTATTTATACATTAGTTTTTTATTTGTCTCCTCAAAGATAGCTTGACACATTTGTGATGTAGGTACAAAGTGTGTTTACTCTTAGGAGATTGTGTCTTATTAAAGAGCGCATTATTTATAACATTGTATAATGTTCAGTAACGTGTTTATATCTTGTAAATGAGATGCTATATTAGTTCATTTAGTAACTTACTGTTTATAAAAAAAAAAAACAAAATGGTTCCCTCAGGCATAAGTCGACATCGTCATACATTTTCACAATCTTAATAGCAATAATGGACACATAATGACTGTTATTGGTTTATCTATTTTAATTGGTTATGTGAGATGGAATAAACATTAAAATATTTACACGTTGCTTTACTGTCTACTAACAATAAGAAAATGTACCTTAGCAAATGTACAACTTAAGAGTAATTAGGTACTAGTCGATTTTGGTAAGTTGTACCAAATTGGAATATTATAATATAACATTGATCACTTAAATCGTTCGTTGTCACATCCCTCTTACAAAGTGATGTTGAAATGAATTATTTTGGGTTGAAAATATCTACAAACTTTAAAACAGTCTTCGGTTTCACTTACATTAGCAATATCCCTGTCGATTCAGTGTGTTATTTGTACAAGCGTTATAACAAATGTTCTAATAAGCTTTTATCGTATTCATTTACGAGGCACAGGTAGAGGAAATATTTTAAATTGTAAATGACGCCATAAATGTAATGTGCAAATATTAATAGGGTCGGTATTTGTGTGAAATCCTATCATAACTCCAGTTTTAACTTTTTAATAGTATTCAGAAACTACACCCAAGAACGGCATCAACCCTATTTGAAGATCAATTTTATGTATAAATAATGAGTGCAACCAATCAATAAGTTTGAATTTGATCGATTGACCGTCACATAAGAGAATACCATTTTAGAGATTTGTGTCGGCGAATGTCTGTTTACTAACTCAAAAACGTTAGTATAAAAGTAAATATACTTTCCAAATATCCACCGATATACTGAGAAACCTGTTATATTTTTTATCATCTTAACTTTCTTTACAAAAGTAAACGAAGTTATTTCATGTAGACATTTCAGACATCAAAGATCTATTGCACTTTCGAGAAATGTCTTAAATAATTTTAGTCCTATTTGCAACCGCGCTGTTTTGTACAAAACGGAACTGTAAAATTCAAATGTTTTAACTTTCGCTTGTCAGAACCGAGCTTGCAAAACAATTTAAGGACCCTATTGGGAGCTAATCTATCTTTTGGACCACAATATGAAGCCGGCCGACTGTCTTCGGTTCAGGATGCGTGGGCGCAGGTGTGGAGAAGAGAACCTTTTGGCTTTTGTTTACTAAGAAAAGAGATAGATATATGTCATTTTTCGAACATCATTTTTCACGCCGTATTTAGTTGAATAAACATAAGGTCGAGGAATCCCTCCATACAGTGCACCCACGAGTTTAGTTTAAAAAATACAGAAGTAACTTAAATATCTAATATAAATTATAAGCTGCCTGTGTAACTTGTATCCCTCCAAAACATACCCCTTACTAATAAATGCTGTCTAGTAGACAAATAGTAACTTAACTATTATTATCTTTCCGTCAGCAATAAGAATTAGTAAGGAAATAATACATTACATAGCAAACCACTTTTTGAAATTTGCCAATTTAACGCAATTGATACGGATTATTACGTTTCGGTCGCTTCATTAGTTTAGGCCGGCCTCCTTTTCACAACGAACAAATAATATTTCGAATCGTCTCCTAAGCTCAATCAATGCAGCCATATTGGCAGATTTAAAATTTCACTTCGCATTTCATGCGTTCAATGTAAATTTAGTATATCAGTAAAATTTCTATGTGATAATAAAATATATTAAATCTTTGTGCTAACTTACAATAAATTCATTTTCATAAACTATAATACACTATTTATATTTCTCTTAAAACTCAATTTTAATTTATTCACTAAGCGCGCTTGGCACGCTGCATTGGTCTGGATAAATACTACATAGCTACAATCGTAACAATTTGTTGATGGAACTGTTGTTCAGCTAATTTACAGTATCACTATGGATTGTAACACTACGAAATATATAATGTATATATAAAATTTCGATGTTACCAATGTGATTTGTGATGAGCTTTCATATTGTCATTAGGCACATAACAGTTCAATATGCGACTTCTGTATCTTCAATTTCAATCGAATGTGCGTATAGATGCATTAGAGTTTAGACCAATAAAGCGAATGCTCATTCTTCTCTTTTAATTTTTTTATAAACATTCAGAGCATTAATCACTACGAATCACCAGTGTGACAAATGCTTTATAAACAGAACGCACTACATTTTAGGTATCGAGACATTTAAATTGTTCTACAATTGTCATTTGTAATAAAAAACTACTAGTGAACAAACACGTAACCAACATGTTTGGAGTCCAAACTGGACTGGCACCTAAAGATACCAAAACTCGATCCCCAATATTTGATTTATATCATAATAATTTAAATAGTTAGATATTATATTAATAGAACAGTCACAATTAGTCTAACGTTTTACACATTTGTTGAATTTTTAGCACTATGAAATCCTGTTCGAGCCCACAATAAATCTTAATAAATAAATAAAAAATTTACCATCGATTACACAGGAATGTGGAAATAATAATATTATATACATGCATGTATGTAAATTATTATCATAAAAAATCATGGTGTTTTACCAACAATGCTTGTGTTATAATAACAAATTAGGGCCATGATCATGTAATAGATAGAGTTAAAAAGTTGTCAATAATATAAAATGTTTAAAATAAAAATAGTAATAACACATACAATCCGCACAGATTAAAGTTAGGATAAGAAATGCGACGGCTGAAGTCTCTTTGCTCATTTTTTATACTGTTAAAGAGAGACAAAGTAACACCCGCTACATTTATTAATTCCAACCTCATTGTGTGAGTTTTTGTAAATAACAGTATTAAAATAGTTGTAAAATACATAATAGTCTAATTAATATAAGCCCGTGGTCTCCGAGCAAGACGGGCCATTAAATTCACAACTGTGAAAATTATTTACATATAAATTTTTCGTATCGCTCTGAGACCACGGAAGCGTTACAACAAACCATAGTAAATCAAATCGTAATAATAATATTGATATTGCAGACGCTTTCCCTTTAATGCATCGCGTGCAATCTGTCTAAGTCAGAATCATCATCATAGTAGCGTTTAATTTACTTTTGCTTACTTTCTAATAATTGAAATCGCATCGATTTTATATTTTATCACATATTGCAGTGCACATATTGACTCAATTTTGGGAGCGTGCGATCCGAAATCGGGCGCGCACAGCTCAGTTCGAGCCTTCACTGAAGGCATACACATAAACATTGTACTCTTTAGAGACATCCAACATTTCGGCATCCGTACGAACGACTAACGTTAACCTAGTATGTACAAGCGGCGATACGGACAACGGCTGACTAGAGGTCGACGTATGGCGTGCTGTCCATCTTGTCGAGGTCGGCCAGGAGCGCAGGCGTCAAGGGGTTGAGCATATCCTCGCGCAGCATGTCGTGCAGCGGCGACGCCAGGCCCTGCTCGCCGTCCATCATACCGTGCAGCTGGCCGGAGCCGCACACGGAGTTCCCGTTGATCAGGTAGTCCCCGTTGCTGTAGCTGAACACCCGCCTGTCCTCCACGAGCTGCGGCGTCGACGGCACGGACTTCGAGGACAAGCCGTTGGACACGCTCGAACAGTTGTCCCCGGGAAACAGCTCCCTCGAACGGCAGGAATCTATTTGCAGATTGGGCGCCGCCCTCTTGAAAGGCAGCGGCGTGCTCGGCACGGATCGCGACGAGTAGTACTTGCTCTTGTCGGTTTCCAACTCGGACAGATCGAATTCTATGCTGTTGGAACGTTTGAGAAAGTCGTCCACGTTGTCCGGGGCCGCGGCGTCGTTGCTGAAGCTCTGGTTGAACTGCGCGCCCCTGTCCAGCAAGTCTTCTCCGCTCGGAATCAGCGAGTTGAATTGTTCGTCGGACAATATTTGTTGTTCCGGCAGCGGATCACAACCGTTACTCAACGTGTCGTTGGAATTCAGGAGAGTCTGTCCTGCGCCTGCGTTGAGCACGTCGTTGCTGCTGTCTATTGCGTTGTATATCTTATCTAACGTTTCGGGATTGAGACACGCTTTCGATATATCGCAGGTCTCTGCTAAAGATCCAAAATCACAGAACTCGTTGGGAACGGGCGTCGGTGGAACCGAACCGACGGGAGTGTTGTTGTAACTCAGCAATCCTAGGTTGTTGATAGCTTGTTTGAGCGGCACCGATTGTGACCGGAAAGAGTCGTGACCCGATCTGAAGTTGACGACCGGTTCTTGGAAAAATTGGCTCACCTCACTCGACAACGGATCGGCGGACAGAGGTTGTGTGAGCTCTCCGTTCATGTGATCCCGCATCGGTACATTGGGCAAAAAGTTTAAAGTTAAATTATTAGCACCATTTGGTAAATTACCGCAATGAAAATGCGTTTTGTACTGAGACGACAGAATATTCGGAGAGGGCGGAGCCGACATCGGTTGCAGCGACGGGCAGTACTTGCCCGGCCCGCACATGGGCGTCTTGTTCATAAATTTTTGGTCGTTGGGTATTGCAAACTGTTTAGGACACTGGTCAGCCATTCCTAGCGACAGTGGATTTCTTCTTTTACGCCCGTTGAGCTTCGGTATAGGTCTGGGACACAGACGCGAGCGTGGAACGGGCGTGTTTCTCGGGCTAACGAAAGGACTGGCCGCTGTGCTGTGAGAAATAGGCGACGTTTGTAAAGAACTACTCATTATCGGTTTATTCACTTTGGTCGGGCTTTGACATCTCTGGCCGAACCCCAAAGGCGACTTGGAATGGAAATTTCCAGGCGAGTGGCAACCATCAGAAATGGGTACGAAATCGTACTGCTGCGTTCTAGAAGTCGGGCTTTGCGGCTCATTGTGACAGTGGCCGTTGTACACGGGCGTCCCGCCGACCGACGGCAACATTTGACCGGAGTTGTCGCCGACGTACGACAGGGACGTCCCGTTTTCGTGCACGGTCGAATGCTTATTATTAGCGACGCCTTGATTCACGGTCGGACCGTTAACCGCTTCGACGTCGCCGGGCCCCCCGAGCGGTTTGAACGCCCCCTCCGAGACGACGGGCAGCTTCATATTTTGCTGATTATGCGCATCCTCCTGACTCGAGTCGAGCTGGGCGTCCGGATCGATCGTCATATTCTGGGACGAGGATCCGCTTTGGTTCTTCAGATTCTTCGCCAACAATTCTCGGAGCTGCGATATTTTTTCGTTCTTACCCTGACTGTGGTCATCTTGGGGGTCTTGGCTCGTCTCTAAAAAAGGCCCGCCGGCGTCGTCCGCGCCGGGCGCGACGGCGGGCGGGGGCGCGGGCGGGGGGGCGCCGTCGCGCGTCTGGAAGTACTGCAGCAGCTCCTCCTCGTGCTCCTGGCTGCTGCCCTCGTTGAGGTAGTCGTCCAGGTCGTGCTTGTCGATGTTGCAGATGCTGATGACGCGCTCGCGGTTGAGGATCTCGGTGTGCCGCTCCTCGCAGATGACGCCGGTGCGGACGCTGATGCCGTCGAGCCCGCAGCAGGCGTCGGGCGTGGCGGCGCGGGGCGCGCGGCGGCGGCGCCGGGGCTCCGCCCTAGGGGTCGGCGCCTTCGCCGCCCGCGTGGGACTCGCCGCCTCCTGTTCCTCCCGGGCCAGCGCCGCGGCGGTGCTTTTGGACCGGCTCGTTAAGTTTTTTGGATCCTCTAAAAAAGCAACCTCGGGGCGAGCGGCGGGCGCGGGCGGCGCGGCGGAGGTGGAGGCGGCGGCGGCGGCGGTGGCGGCGTGGCGCGCGGCGGCCAGCTTCCCGCCGAGGATTTCGGCGGCGCGCATCTTCTTGGGCAGGTACTCGGTGTGGAAGTCGCCGGGCGGCGGGGGGCGCCCGGCGCGCGCCTCGCTCTGGTAGGTCTCGAGGATGAGCTTCTTGCCGGGCAGGGGAAGGCGCGGGTGGGGCGGATGAGGTGGGTGGGGCGGATGGGGTGGGTGGGGCGGATGGGTCGGATGAGGCGGGTGGGGCGGGTGCGGCGGGTNCCCAGCCGTCGCTGCTGAGGTTGATGGGCGCGGGCTCGGGCGCGGCGGGGTCGCGGTAGGGCTCGAAGGCGTAGGGGTCGCGGCAGGGCGGCGCGGGCGCGGGCGGGTGCGCGCGCGGCGGCGCGGCGTAGGCGGGGTAGGGCGCGGGCGCGGGGTAGGCGGGGTAGGGCGGCGCGTAGGGCTCCGGCGGCGGCTCGCCCTCGTGCTTGACGGGCGGGTGGAGGCCGTACGACGTGGACGGCGGCGACTCCCCGGCCGCCTCCTGGCCCTTGTTTTTCTTCGGACGACCGGGAGTCCCTGGCGCCTACGATTGATAAAAATACGTCTTACATCCTAGCAAAATTATTTTTATGCCTGCGTAAAACGCATTCGTTTAAACTTTAAACCATTGATTCCCAAAATGGGGGGCGCAAAGACCTTTAAAGGGGGGCGCGGGCCATTTAGTATAAAAAACCTGCGAGCACTGAGAGAATGCATTCCACTGCTCGATACGACTAATAAATAATCTTGACTGGAGGAGGCGGGGCGCGGAATTTTTTGTATGGTCGAAAGGGGGCGCGTCTCAAATAACTTTGGGAACCAATACTTTAAACGAATGACTCGTACAAAGTACGAAGTTACTGTTAAGTGAAAAAAACTCACCTGAATCTTCCGTTTCAGTTGTTTCATCAGCTGCCTACTTGCCGTTTCGTCAGGTGGTACTAAAATAAAAAAGAAACATAATTACTAAGTTATTTTAAAACATGGCATTTTGAATTTTTCTCCTGCTCCCCTAGAAAAAATAACATTTGGATGGACAGTGTGAATTCTGTAAACTCTTCTATGCTTCCAAGTATTTTTGTAACCGACTACTTCGTTTCACGAAGCGATTGTGAAAATGAACCAGTCAAGAAAGCTACTTTTTCCTGTCCTAGAAAAAGTATCATTCTTGACAGATTTATGAAATTCGTGAAAGCCATTATTTCATCAATTGAATCTTATTTTCACAAGAACAATGTATAAACTTGACACTGGCTATAATATGCAAGACACTTGAAGCCATACCTTAACAAAAAAACCGGCCAAGTGCGTGTCGGACTCACGCACAAAGGGTTCCGTACCATTGATTTATGAAATTAAAATAATTTTTTTTAATTCAAGTTATTTGTATGAAAGATTACGCGGTAATAAGCGGTTTACGATTTACGAGGTATTAAAAAAAAACTACTTACTAGATCTCGTTCAAAACAATTTTCGTTGGTAGTTTTTATAGTAATGTACATCATATGGTTTTTTTTAGATTTTTCATTTTCTTATTTTAGAAGTTAGAGGGGGGGGGGACCAACTTTTTTCCACTTTGGAAGCGTCTGTCACGCAAACTATTCGATTTAGAAAAAAAGTATTTTAGAAACCTCGATATCATTTTTAAAGACCTATCCATAGACACCCCAAACGTATGTGTTTGATGAAAAAAAAATTTTTAGTTTCAGTTCTAAGTATGGGGAGCCCCCAATATTTATTATTATTTTTTTATTTTTGCATCAAAATCTTAATGCGGTTCACAGAATACATCTACTTACCGAGTTTCAACAGTATAGCTCTTATAGTTTCGGAAAAAAATGGCTGTGACATACGGACGGACAGACAGACATGACGAATCTATGATGGTTCCGTTTTTTGCCATTTGGCTACGGAACCCTAAAAAGAAAGAAATTCTAAAACGTCCCAACTTACCGTGCGGCTGCGCGAGCGGCGGCGGCGACGCGCTGGGCGGGCCGGGCGGCGCGAGCGCGGCCCCGCCCACCAGATGCCGCGACAGCTCCAGAATGCTCGGGAACTTTATGCCTGGAACCACGGTAATAATATCATACAGTATTGTAACTTCATATAAACAGACGAAACGAGAACTTTCTTTCGAAATTCAAAACTCGGTATGCGCTCGGTATGCAAAAGTCGGGGGTGTCGCGAATGTACCGAATGGACGTCGGTGGCCAAGTGTTAAAAATGACAAAACTGATTGAATTTGATTGACCGTCATTTACGGTCAAATTGGTCAAAAACTAGTCAAATTGACATTTTCAGACAGTTTGATTTGAAATGAAAATTATATTGTATTAAACCAGCTTTTGCCCACGACTTCGCCCGCCCAAAATTAAAGTAACAGATTATTATGATTATTAAAGTTTCAAAATAGTTTTTCTTTAAGTAGTTTTTAAGTAGTTTTTCCTAAATTCAATCTACTAATCACAAAACGACACACATTTTTAACATATTCCATTCACAAAGTATTTTGTTTGTCTAACTAAATAAAAAACTACAATCACAAAACTAGATAGAAATTCTAAATAGGCAGATGTAATTAAACTGGGTAATGTAGGTGGGCAGTCCTATCGCATGTTGTCATACTGTGACGTACCGCGCGACTTTTGACATTTATTTCAAAAATATGGCCGAGTTGGAATACTGTATAGATAGTATTACCGTGCTGGAACCGACGGCACACGTGGAACATTGGAACAATCCAATATTTATTCACTTTCAACATTACTTGTAAAAATCTAAACGTTAAAATAATTCGGTATCTCGGTTATAGCACAGAATAATAATAAGTACTACGTACAGAAGTTTTACTTCGCGAAGGTATTTAAAAAAATGTATGCTCAATGTCATTAACAATATGGTGTAATTTAGCTTGTCTCAAGAGTCAAGCAAGTTTGTCAGAAGTTTTGTTGACAAACGTCAGTGATCGGTACTGCGCCGAAGCTATAGGGCTGACTTCGGTAAAATGATGTGACGTGAGGTGCCAATCTGCAGAAAATGGCGGAGGAAATACATGATTTAGCACGAATTATCATGAATGATATTAACTACTTATTTACCTCTCAGTGTCTTGAGGCAACTTAAAAAAGTACATTCTGTGTTTTTTATTATTATTTAGGCAGTTAAATACTGCACAGTATTTAGTACACCATTTTCTTTATTTTTTCCATCATACACAAGAATACGCGTGCGTGAGTCAATGTTCGCTCGTATGTGAGGCCTTGTCGAATAGTACTCTTGTAGGGGGCAATCGTGCGTGTTTTGTTTTCGATGTAAACTCGCGGAGATGAACAGGCCTGGTTATAGTTCCAAAATACTGAACTGTCCTGTGCATGACATTGACAGTGGGGCGCCACCGTCTATACTAGATCGCTGGTTCCGATTTTTGCCATGTTGGAAACCATATAGTTGAACGATGGTAGCGCCCCCCTGTCATTGAGTTTGGTGGGATAGTTCAGCGTGGGTCATCTTTAAAGGGAATAAGCTGCTGTCATGGTGACATTTACGTAAGTAATGTTAATGTCACACTAGAAACGTCAGAATAGAGGGACGCGCACGGACGTCTTCGCGCGCTTTTATGCTAAGTGATTAATTGTATTGTAAATGAGGCAATATAATGTGCAAGATATGTATCCACTGCTTTATTTATGCGAATAGATCTACCGGCCTCTAATAATATGCAGTATTTCCGTTATGCTAGCACAGCAACCATAACACAAGCATCTAATATGCTTGCTTATTTTGGGGCTAGATGGCTCTGTGTGAAATTGATCAAAGATATTTATATTATTTATTAAGTGTTGCTCTTACCCAGTTTTGATTCGGCCCAGTCACACACTATTCGCTCCGTTTCTCTCGATCCCACATTTACCTCCTGAAATAAACACAAACATTTCCTGTTACATTACTCTTATTTGACGAAATTTAAATTCAATAGTCTTTGTTGGTCTCCTCACTTAACCGACAGTAGTTATCAATCGAGTTTATTATCATCTTTGTGTTTGTAAATATTTTTATAATCATCGCATAATAATTTACAAAATATTGTCATCTAACGTGTATTGTATAATTATGTATGTACCTAATGACCAATTAAACTTACCTTCGAAGATTCGCCTAAATCTGGCAATTGTGGTACTTCTAACTTGACCTTTTTCCGAAGGCCAGCATAGCAATATCTGTAAAATAAAAAAGACACTTTAATGGTTAACTGTTTGAACTGTTTCTTTCGTTTTATTGAAAAAGCCGGCTTTTAATTTAAAACGGTCTACTAAACTTTTAACCCCTTATTAATAAAAGTTATACCCTAGTTGAACTCTGGTTTAAATAGTCATTTAGTATGGTTAAGTCATTTTAATCCAGTGTTCATCCCGGGTGTAACTTTTTATTAATAAGGGGGATAATTTTCAAACTAAAATAAGTACCCCTTAATTTTACATCACACAAACTCGTGTAACTATTGCTAGATCTAAATTGAATTATTGTAGACCCTATAATTTTAGAGTAAGGACAGTTGCAATCGTTTGTATGATTTCTTTGCTAAAATAGATTGAATGTTAACCCTGAGGCTGAGTTTCACCACCTAACTTTAACTATAACGATAACCGGTGTGTTTTGTATGGAGTTTGGCAGATTTTTGATGTTTGTCAAAGTTAAAGGAAGATGGTGCAATCCAGCCTTAGACTGAATAATTTTAGAGAGATAGCTAGCATAATGTAACATAGATAGGTATGAGGATAATAATCATAAACAAATAACTTCAATAAGGTACACATTATTGCTTTTAGCGTAAAATAACAAAAATATGTCATTAAATTATTTACATCATAATCATATTGACCCAGAACAATCAATGCATTGAAATGTCACTATCACGCCACGTCACAGATAAGACAATACACATGTGCTACTAGCACGAGCGTTCAAGATAAAGTCATAGACCGATTGCATAATTTTCTATTATTATTAGAAGTAAACATCAAGATTTATCTCTGATAACTTGTTTTTTCTCAGCTATGTTTATTATATTACACAACTTTTTTCAGTCTTTAAAACATCACATTTCATCTCTTTTTGCAAAACAGTATTATAACGACTTAAGAGCGTTTACGCCGTTTGGCGCAAAAACAGTACTTTTTCAACCCGTTACAATAATTAACCAGTAATAATACAAATATGTTATAGGCATAAATAGTTAGACAATTTCGTCGTCTAAATAGTTAGTTGAGAAAATATTTCGATTAGTTTAGTATTTAAGAATTCTGTCAAGATAAGTCCACACAGGTTTTCAAATTTCCACTTTAGTGTCAGTTTACAAGCTGAATTTTTTATAAAAATACTGTGAAAACGATATAACAAATATTTATATCCTATAGCATAGGTCCTTAGGCAAATAGTTGAGAAAATTCTTAGATTTAAGCATTTTACAATAAGAAATAACAAAATCAAAGAACGCGAAATAACCGAAAATCAAAGTGAGTTTTACAGCATTATTCTTCTTTAATTCAACATAAAAATAGCTTAATATAATAAAATAACATCTTCTTTAAAATATTTACTTTGAAACGATATATTACTTCATTGTTATTGTTTTGCTATAAACATTTGAAAACTATTAAAAAACGCCGCGCGCGAATCATTTCCAATGATGCCCTTGAAATGCCGCGCTTCGCGTAAACGCTCTTAAGAGCGCTTTTAAATTGCCGTTGTCTGTACTTAGGTAGAGAATGCCTCCTGATATTAAGTCCGCCATTTGTAAATTTTTCTTTACATGCAATATAGCTAAAAAATATATGTCCTTTCCCAAGACTCAAAGTATCTCTAGGTATAGCGGTTTAATAATGAAGAGGTAATAGACAGACACCCGATTTCGCATTAACAATAATTTAGTATAGGTTAAATTCTAATTTCGCGAAAAGTGCGCGTCTTGAAAATATCGCAAGCGGATCTTAGGTCACATTTCGTACACATTTGAGCGACATGAGTAAGATAAGCGACACGTGATTAAGCAAACCCTTTAGATAAGTTGTTCAAACAACCATCTTCACGATTTTCATTAATTACATTTTAGAAAATATTTTTTTTAGATGACATTAACTTGATAAAGTTCAAGCCTACATTGTAGCTAGGTAGTTAGGTATATGGAAAAAACTTCTTTCGTATTATTGTGTACTGTCGTCGTTTCAGCCAAATGACGTCCACTGCTGGACAAAGGCCTCCCCCAAGGTTTTCCATAATGAACGGTCCTGCGCTGCCCGCATCCAGGCTCTTCCCGCGACTGTATGGGTACATAATTGGTTAACCCCCAAGTGATTAATCTATACTTTTTAAGAGCTGTTTAGGTAATTCTCCTATGAATTTTGTAGTGCAGTACAACCCTATAAGGTCACTTGTTCGCCTGTTAGAATTAATGGTTAATAATGTGAAATACCCTAGAAGTTTAAAAGTTGATTATCAAGAGTTATAGTTATAAATAGTAAGTAGCATAACTTACATACTTTTTAAATCTACATTCTCAGTACGTTCAGCGTTTAATTTGTGTAGATATGATATGTTACTTCATACGTTATCGCGCATTATAAAATTGATTTACTATCTATGAGTAACCGCTACTGATAAATTTAATTAGTACATTATTTCAAAGACCGAAATTATTTTGGTAGGAGTTTCTTTAGAAAATATTACAATACTAGAAATAAATAAGCAGTAGCGAATTTATGATTGAATTTTCGAGTTGAATCTGGCTAATTGAGAAGTTGGAAACATAAAAAAGACTTCTTTCGAGTTCTAAACAGCTTTGATATCAAGCCATGAAGCGTTTATGTCGTCTGGCGAGCATTGATATCTAAAATGACTACATCATTCTTATCGGTCAATCAGGTCAAATCTTTATTGCACTTTTTGGTAACTTTTTCATAAAAAGTAAAAGAAGTCACAAACTTTTTTTAAATCGGTTTTGCGGTATGGTTTGATTACGATCGCTTCTGGCATCTATTTCTTCTGATCAATAATCTCTGCTATCGGAGTGGCGAGATTACCAAGTCATTATACTTATTTTGACTATAGCTGATCGTGACAATATAAACAGATCAGATTACAATATAGCGATCGTTTTGTCTTATGTTTCAGTTCGGATTCTAATATTAATGATATCGTTCTCAGTATCCACGTTTATTTGACGCATTATTCACGTTCTATATGGTTATTTTACAGGGCGCTATCAAGTATCAAACGAAGCGGTGCTTCTTCTGTATATTCCATGCATCCAAAAGTTTGTATTATGCAGGGATCATTCCGGCAACCTCTGACAAAGTACAGTTCTTAAACGAACCACTAGGCCAGCCGGTCGTGACGTGATAGAGAGAAACTATACTATGTATCGTTCGTTTCAACCAATTGACAATGGCCTTCCACAACGTCCGGTGACCGGTTCCACCTGCATCCAGGCACCTCCCGCGACCTTTATCAGTCAGATCGTCGGTCCATCAAAAGGAGATAGTAGACTATACTAACTACTAGACGATACTATTAATTTTCCTTGCAAAATTAGTCTTTTTTCAACTGCATAAGATGCCGCAATGTTAAGTTTGACGTGCCTTCGTGTGTACTTACCGAGAATTCCCGCGAGTCCCGAGGCGCCGCGGCCGCACCGTGGGGTAAACTTGTTTCATCACTTTGCCGAAGTCGGCAGTCGAAAGGGGCTTCATGTTACTGCTCATGCAGTGTGCACTGTGGAACAAAGATAAAAACGTAAGATCCTTAATCAGTATGCGAGTCGCTGAAAGTGCATACCTATCTATTTTAAATACTTAACAAATTCGGATAATGAGTAGATAAGTATTTAATTGCAAGTTTTGAGTTTTTTAAAGCAAAATTCGAATTAAAACTCGCGAAAAGAAAATACGGAGTTCTCGATGCAGGTAAAGCTTGGATGAAAGAAGATACAGTCGCACAGGAAATTATTCATTTCCTTGTAAAATAGATAAGTTTATTTTAAGTAACTTTATAAAACCAGACCTAATACTTACATATATTCATCATATACATCTTGTTTGGGCAAAGAAACGTCGGGGTCAACTTCTAAATGTGTCTGTATCCATGTTACAGTCTGCTGAAGTTCAGCCCTGAAAATGTTAAGCAATATTAGAAAAGCTTGCTCACTGATGAAAAACTTCATTAAGAAAAATTACGAAATACTATGTAAATATGTTTAAGGACAGAATAATTTATTTGGCCACAAGTTATACGCGGGAGTTACACAATACACTACTAATGGTAGTAGCATTATCTAGTGCCCATTATAGACAATCTAATTTCACATTATAGTTTTACAGGAATCCTACTATCCTACTAATATTATAAATGCGAAAGTTTGGATGTCTGGATGGATGTTTGTTACTCTTTCATGCAAAAACTACTGAACGGATTTTGAGGAAACTTCAGTATTATTCTCTATAACCCAGATTAACATATAGGCTATAATTTATGACGATCTGTGACAAACTAAATTTCAAAAAAGCTAGTATGTAATAAAAGTTATTTAAAAGAATAACATTGGTGCACCAAAGGTCCACAATATCTGAATTTGGCAAAAACACATACATAATTATGTTTTTTAAGCCACCATGGCCGCATGGACGTGATTTATGGCTTAACATGCTCTTGAAGCACAACAAACTTACCTTGAGCCCAAAGGGTTAATAGGCTGTTTCAAGGGGTCGTGTGGTGGTACTCCGGTCGGCAGCCGCAGATACAATAGCAGGCGCTCTGCGCCGCTTAAAGCCTCCACTGCTTCTAGCAGTTGGGCCACTCGCTGTCGACCTTCTTGGCTGAAATATTGACAAAACGCTACTAGCACCACACATTAATCAATAGAAACATCGTACTAATATCCTACTTAATATTATAAGTGTGAAAGTTTGGATGTCTGGATGTTTGTTACTCTTTCACGCAAAAACTACTGAACGGATTTTGATGAAACTTTACAGTATTATTGTTTATAACCCAGAATAACATATAGGCTATAATTTATGACGTTCAGTAGTTTTTGCGTGAAAGAGTAACAAACATCCAGACATCCAAACTTTCGCATTTATAATATTAGTAGGAAGTAGGATTATAAATGCGAAAGTAACTCTGTCTTGCTTTCACGCCTAAACCACTGAACCGATTTTAATGAAATTTGGCATAGAGATAGTTTGAGTCCCAGGAAAGGACATAGGATAGTTTTTATTTCGGTTTTTGAAACAGGGACGCGGGAAATAAAGTTTTTCTGCGACAGACAAAATTACACGCGGGCGAAGCCGCGGGCGGAAAGCTAGTAATTACATACATTAACAGTAGGTACAACAAAAACGTTCAGATGGAGCTAAACATCCTCATTGTGGTCTCGTTTAAATGACCACCAAACCACATATTATTTTTCTTTTATGGCATTTTGTGGCCAACTCGGTTATAGTGGTAAGTATTTATGAAATTGGTGTTTGCAATTCATCTGATAAATAATACAATTCACATAAAAAGGCTAGTGCCCGTTTTCACCATCAATTTCTAAACTTTAAGTGACCCCTATGAAAACAAAATTCCTGTTATATGTTACCATAGGGGTTACTTAAAAATTAGGGTTTTATGGTGAAAAAGACAGGCATGGTGTCTTATATGAAATTTACTTTTTCTAAATAAATTTATTAAAAGCTATATTAGTGTTCATGTAACAGAATTAGTTTAAAAACTGATCTAGAAACTAATTCAAATCCTCTCTTTGTTTGATTTTATTAACAAATCATAATAAGTGAAACTAAGACTGTAGCTGGAATATTTATGAAGCCAAATGATATGTACCTTATCATTAAATTTTAAGCCAAATCAAAGATTTTGATTACTTTTGAAAATCATGTTACTTGGGGAGTATAAAAGTTATGATTTTAGTTTCTCTACAACTATTTTTGTTCATAACAATGATAATTTTTAAAAATCCCTATTAATACTCTATTAACATTAAAGACCAATAAATAAGGAAATAAATAATATTGAGAACACAGAATGATACACAACATAGAGGCCTCAGTTTTTTTTTTAATTTTATAAACATTTGTACTAAAAAGTTGACTAAACAAGAATGTCTAAATCTACCAAGGAAACACAGTTATTCAGTTTTATACTATTAGTGTATTACCACTATTATTGTTATTTAGTATATTATTTTTCAAATATAGGTTTAGATAAGTTACAGTGTAATTAAGTAATGGGAAATCATGGTAATTTATAATAATTAATCAGATGGTTTATCATGTTTCGTTTTAACATACTTATTTTAATACACTTGAATACCTTCGTCAAATAACAAAATATAAAAATCATACATGTTTTTGTTATCCATAATGAGGAAGCTTTTGGTCTGCATGATCAGGGCAATGGTACCTATATTTATTTTTGTATATTTTTGGATTTCTAAAGGTCAAGGTTATCCATTCTTTGGCTTTAAATAAATAAGTAAATAAATAGTAAAAAGTAATTCAGTTATATTTTGAATTTTGACTATTACCTATCACAGACTTACTATCATAACACTCCCCAGAAAGTATTTTGAGACATTATTTACTTACTGTCAAAGAATGTATTGGAAATTTGCTTTGATTGTAAGTGTATATAAAAACTAAATATACAAATACGCTCCAAATATATGAGTTTTCAAACAAAGTACTCTATACTGATGTGAATGATAAAAAGAAGTACTTGTGCCTACAAAAACCGATTCCCATACAGCTCCATTATGTTGTCAAATCAATTGGTGTAATCAAATATTGGTGATAACGAGTAAAGTTAGTAGAAGCTCAGTACCTGAGGGTGTTCTCTACGATCTGCTGCATGGAAGCTATTTTGGCAGTGTCCATTTTGGACTCCTTGCCCTTCGCGGGGTCAGCACCAGCGCCCGCGCTGCCTGATGACCCTGGGGAGCAGCTCGCGACGGCGACACTTTCTTTATCGTAAGACGCAGTTTGCGTATGTTTTGGATGATTGACATTTTCCCGATGAAGTTTCGCGTCATCCACTTCTCTTTCGGTTTTTATATTTTTCGCACTTTCTTCAGCAGCCCATGGTTGAAATGGAGTTGTTCTATCCATTCTAGCCTTGGTGAGCCATAAAACTCAAGTTACTGGACCTCATATTGCATTTTTTATCAAGAAATCTAAAATGCGTAACTAAAAAACTCCATTTTCTTGACAATTTGACATTTGATCAGCTGTGGGTGAGGTAGGGGAGGGGGAGGCACAAAGTGAAGTGGGCTGCTGAAGGAGCTCCAATACACGTGCCCATTAGAGATGGGTTATACTAGGTAAATTTGATACTAGGTGCACCTATTCCAAGTATTTATTAATACGTGATCCAAATACCTGTTCCACTTAGTACGTAGTAATTTACCATACTTGACGCGACTAGTGCGGAGTGCGGACTAATCCACGTATTATGACTTTAAAATACAATTTTCTTTGAAAAGATACAACCGTAGTATTAATAATGCAATTTGAAATTGAATAACTTGTAGAATAGAATGTTTCTTCTATAAAAAATAAACACTTCAAAAATCGGACGTGTGACGGCTCATGTCAAACTGAGAGTGTTCCATTTCAACATTTTTTCACATCGCTCACAAAACGCTTACAGATTAAAGAAATATCACAGATATCGCTAAATTTATCAACGTTGATGTCAAAAATAGCAAATCTCCATACATGTAAAGGAACACGCCCAAATTGACAAAGAAACACAGACAAAAAATCTTGGTGACAAAACTCCCCATGGGTCATCTACTACCAAAAATTTCTGGGAACTTTTGTCACCACCGGTATTTTAGCGGGTAACTTCTCAGAAACAGGAGTTAAATTCTATCTAATCAACACTCGAAAACTATTCCAATTTAATCTAATTATCAAATTACTATTTCAATACAAATTATGCAATTATCACGGACGCGTGACAACAAACCAAAACAAACCTGTCGGAAGAATAAAAACTGGTTTTTTACCGGCTAGTCAACAAGGAGTGAGCTGGATGAGAGAGAACAAAAATTAAAATATTCAAAACCTTACCTGTGTACAAATAGAGTTTAAATTACGTAATACATCAAACACCTATTCCTATCTCACACCTGCCTGCGCTCAAATTTGTTTGTCAGACAGAGACGGAGTGAATCTCTACGTTCGCACATAAGCTTAGCGAGAAATACGCGGTGCACGTAATACACGACTACGGATTATGCAATAATAACCTCTATTACTTTGATGGTAGGGTCGGAAATCGTGTAATTTAAAAAATACTTAGCGAGAAATACGCGGTGCGTGTAATACACGACTACGTATTATGCAATAATAACCTCTATTACTTTGATGGTAGGGTCGGAAATCGTGTAATTTAAAAAATACTAAGTGGATCAAGTATTTTAAAAATTGGAATAGGTGCCACTTAGTACTGTAAAATACCTAGTGTGTGGACCTGTTCTAGTAAATACGTCTCATCTCTAGTGCCCATGGACAACCGGGCGGGCAGAATGACCTTGAACAATAAGTCGAGTCCCCTACCTAGACAAGTGGCTAAACGTGAACGTGACAGTTGTAATTTCGAAATACTTTCGCTCAGTTTTTTATATGTAGATTTAAAGGGAAGCGCAACGAGATTTGAGAAGCCATCAACTCAACCAATTTCGATTTCCGTTGGCGATTGGCGATCAAAAAGTGCCACTTGCCTAGGGCCCTCCCACAGAGCACGTAATAGAGCCCTCCCTCACAGATAAAAATTAATTACAGTATCTTTGGTGTAGAAATATTTTTTATGTGCAAACGGCATGAAGCCACATCCTACACGCAAGCATTAAGAAAAACATGACATTGACATTGTCAATTTGTCATTCATTCATTCAGTCAGTCTTGTCTTGTGTTGTCTTGTCAATTTTTTATTTACGAATTTACGATTGCTTGTTCCAGCGAAAAAAAACAACATGTATTTATTTAAATTAAAAACATAATAAATGCCTTTACAAAGCTATATTTGAATTACGCTATATATACAGTAATTATATAAAAAAAAATCAATTAACTACACGATGTATTTTTACGAGCGTTTTTGTAAATGGCTTGGTCATCTCAAATTATCCCGAGTAATATTGTTGGTTTCTGTTATATTGTTTGTTGTGCCTCTTGTTACACATTACTATTTATCTAAGGTGAGTATTACTGCGCGGAAAATCTGCTTGCGGTGTAAAATTATTGATAAGTTAAAGGATGAAAACTGAAAAGTATGGTACTTTTCATCTGATCTGCCTTATCACTTTCACAATGTATAGTGTATAGGCTAAAGAAAATGTATGAATAAAATAAATTGTATTTAAAACGTAGGCTTTAAACTTATACCTTTATCCACTTTCTTTTATTAAAATATACCAAAATATTTATTTGGCAATACTAAATATATAATTTAAAGGGACTTCATTGTTTGAAAAATAATAAAAATTGTCATTTTTATTGCCATTCTTTAGTAAAAAATTTAAGAATCCTTAATATATTTTACCATGAACAGAGATGTTATAAGAAAAATCTAATCTACTGATAGCAACTACTCTACTTCCAATGGACAGCAATAAGAAGAATATCAGATGATCAGAATTTTGAAACATTTTTACTAGTTATTAGTAAAATGGATTAATATTTGTCTATGTTATGTATTTACAGTATGAATCAACGCTGGGATCATTTGGAACAAACCCAATGCGTCATACACTCGAGGCTCTCGGGGACCTGTCTACGATGAATGTGGCTGACCTGAGGATTAGAATTGAAGAGATGCTTAGAATCAAGGTATTTGATAATACTTGTATCATTATTTTAGCTTTTCTTCTTGTTGTTTCACTCTTAGCAGCAGTGGCGGATTTACAGATTTGCTGCCCGTAGGTGTTGTTAGATCTTATTGGCAAACATTGATATATTTGTATCCGAAATACGTACCTACTTTGTGTATGTAAAAAATAATTATGAACTAAATCTGCCGACCTAGGCTGCAGCCTACTCACCCTGCTGGTAAATCCGCCACTGCTGAGCAGAATGGTCGTGGTCACATTGAGGTATTCATATCGGCTGTAGATGCAGATACTGATAGCTCTCCCCACTGTTACATGTTAGCTTTTAACCTGCTATGCATGAAACTACCTTTTTATACATTTTATACTTATATCATATTGCGAAGGTTATTTCAGTAACTTGCACTCCTTCATTAACATCGTCGACGTTTCAAAACATCTATAGTTATCAGTGAGCCCAATTTTTAGGCTTCTGTATCGACGGAGTTGCGGGAACTTGAAGCGAGACGCGCCCGCCTGCAAAAAGAGGCGGCGGCGGCAAGCGCGAAAGCCGACAGCGCTAAAGCGGAGCACGCGCGCGCGGCCGCTGAACTGCAGCGCCTCCGTGTCTCAGCAGACCAGGCCCGCCTCGCCCAACTAGAGGCCATCCGCAGAGACTCCCCGGAACTCGCTCCGCCCATACAAATACTCCCATCCAGACCTCCCCCCATCCTCTCCCCGCTAAACCCCTCCTCAGAAGTACACTGCCGAATGTTCTCCTGCTTTGACCATTCCAGATGCTCCTTAACCTCAGGGTTCCCCGTCTATCTATACGACCCTGACGTCCACGCGCCTTTGGCCGGCGCAGAAGTAGATGGATTCCTCAAAACTACATTACGACAGACGTTGGGATATAATACTCATTTGACTCGGGATCCTAACGAAGCGTGTATCTATTTAGTCCTTGTGGGAGAAGCTTTTCCGTTTGAGAAAAGCCCCTCGTAAGTATTTCTTGATTTGTGAGAAGTGAGTTGGGAGTCGACGGCAGACGACAATCACAGATCTCAGCGGCATTGTCACTATCAGCTTAACCACTTTTCGAGGGCGTTTGAAGTCAGCCATAGTCTTCCAACTTACACCTTTATGATTTTTTAACTCTGGGAGCAATCTTAATTCTAAATATCTTGCAGATCTACGACAGAGGGATACAAACTGTTGTTGAATGAGACTGCTCTGAAAAGCTTGCCATTCTGGGGAGGAGATGGTCGCAACCACGTTCTGATAAATTTGGCGAGACGCGAATTATCAGTGGGGTCTGGAGATGCATTTCGCGGCGTGTCAACTGGGAGAGCGATAATAGCCCAGTCTACCTTCACGCACGATCAGTTCAGATCAGGGTTTGATATCGTGACGCCACCCGCGCTCGGCCCTCCAGGCGGCGATGTATGGGCTGACTGCGCTCCGATTTCTCCAGCCAGAAGAAAATACTTGCTTAGGTATTTTTAAATAGCAATTTAATCTATCTTGATTGCGTTCGAGAAGCTATTATGTAGATATTACAGAATTTGATGTGATTTCATTAGCTAAATACAGTTTTCAGGGTTCACAGCCACCAGCTAAGGGTCCGGACAAGGATCAAGATAAGAAGTTGATAGAATTTCTGCAGAAAACGGTGACGTCACCGGACACGTTTTACTTACAATTCGAGTGCGATCCTCCGGTCGAGAAGCGTGCTATGTTGCCGATTGGAGATTGGGCTCTGTGTGGCACCGACCGTTCGAGACGTGCTGTGTTGCGGGACTCTACTTTTGTACTGATACTCGCGCCAGCTGATCGAATCTACACCACGACAGCTCTATTGCAAGCAAGGTTGTACGAGGCCTTGAGGTCGGGTGCTATACCAGTGATCATGGGCGGCGACAGAATCAGATTGCCCTTCGACGAAGTCTTGGATTGGAAACGGGCTGTGATCTCACTACCGAAGGCCCGCTTCACTGAACTACACTTTCTGCTGCGCGCTATGTCGGACGCTGATTTGTTGACTTTTAGAAGGCAAGGACGAGTGCTTTGGGAAAGATACCTGAGTTCGGTTCAGGCCAGCGTAGATTCCTTGTTGGCGGCGATACGGACTAGATTGAATATCCCGGCCCGACCAGCAATGCCGACAGTGGGGGTGCCAGGGTTCAACGAGTCTTATTATCCCCCTAAATTGGAGCCACCGGCTGTAGACACTGAACCTGAAGAGACTTTGGGGCCGCTAGAGGCGCCTTATTCAAGTCCAGCGTACCGGCGAAATTATTCGATGGGACTACTACACGGGTATGTGTCTTCTTTTGTTTTTCGCTGAGTCTACTTCTTTTTTGATGATGGCAATACACGTTGAGGCCGACTTGATTTGTGCCATTTTCAAGTTTCCAGTGAGACGACTTGAGAGAATCCGAAGAATCACGCTGCTCTGTTTTGTTTCACTTGCCCACACTCATGCACATTAACGAACATTTAATGGTTAATAATCCATCATTATTTTATTAATATTTTATATTATTATAGTCGTCTAAACACGAGTTTTAGAAAGTAAAACAAAACCGCTAACATGACGCTTCACATTCCCGCCAAAAAGTCCTGGCTCAGTCTTATCGCGCAGTTGTGATATGTAAAGATAATTTATATTTTTTTGAGTGCAGAAGTAGAATATACAGGGTGTTAGGTAAATAGGTATATGAGCCGACACTAGCCCATGTTAACATGAGCATATAAATGGTATGGTGAAGTCAGAAAATTGATATCATCATTTAATTTTTTTTAATTTTCATACAAAATAAATTTTATAAAATCCGATTTGTGTGAAAATTAAAATAATTAAATTTAAGATATCAATTTTCTGACCTCACCATACCATTTATATGCCCATGTTAACATGGGCTAGTTTCGGCTCATATACCCATTTACCTAACACCCTGTATAGTTTTTTTTTTAATTACAGTTATGAACTCTGGAACGACTGGGGCGAGCCATTCGCGTTATACCCTCAGCTGCCCTGGGACCCGTCTGTGACGTCAGAGGCCAAGTTCCTGGGCTCTGCGGCGGGGTTTCGGCCGATCGGCGCGGGCGCGGGCGGTTCGGGGAAGGAATTTAGCGAGGCGTTAGGAGGCGACCGGCCGCGGGAGCAGTTCACGATCGTGATACTGACGTATGAGAGGGAAGCGGTGCTGGCTGCAGCTTTGGCGCGGCTAAGGGGACTGCCGTATTTGAACAAGGTGCGAATTAGTAGATTTATGCCCGTTTTCACCATAAATCCCTAATTTTTAAGTGACCCCTATGGTAGCACATTACAGGAAATTTGTTTACATAGGGGTCACTTAAAAATTAGGGATTGATGATGAAAATGGGCAATAGTGTTATGAATTATAATTGCTGTAATAAAATTCTTGGTCTGATTGTTGGTATGGACTTTTTTTTTGCTAAAAAGTACCTATATTACAACTAAGATGGTGTCCCTTCACTGTACTGATTTATTGCCTCAACTAATTTTGATACCAGTAAAGATAGGAATTTGGGATTGAGATAAATGTTGGCAGCTGTGTACAACAGACATTCCCTAATAATTCGAAATCTTTAAAAATACACTTCATACTGGTCTTAAAAACTTAATTAATTTTAAATTACCTGTAAATTAAAATTTTTGGTTGCATTGTAACTGAAAAAAGTAGCTAGAGTTGACAAAATAGTGACGTCGCAAGCAAGTGTATTGCCATACAAAATCTATGGGAGAGTCTCGTTCTGACAGTTTTAAAAAGTACGTCAATTGTTTGGTGGGTTTGTTGTGGACGTCAATTGAATGATTTATTCCAGGTGGTGGTGGTATGGAACGGGCCGTCAGCGCCTTTAGCCGGCTCGTGGCCTGAGAGCGGCGCGCCCGTGGCCGTAATACGAGCAGCTCGCAACTCGCTCAACAACCGCTTCCTGCCCTACCACCTCATCGACACCGAGGCGGTGCTGTGCGTGGACGACGACGCGCACCTGCGCCACGACGAGATCGTCTTCGCCTTCAGGTGGGCGCGGCCTTGTGTCCTGAGCCATAGAGTCCACTCTCGCTCGCCGACCGCTTCCTGCCCTCACCTCATCGACACCGAGGCGGTGCTGTGCGTGGACGACGACGCGCACCTGCGCCACGACGAGATCGTCTTCGCCTTCAGGTGGGCGCGGCCGTGTGTCCTGAGCCATAAGGTCCACTCTCGCTCGCCGACCGCTTCCTGCCCTCACCTCATCGACACCGAGGCGGTGCTGTGCGTCGACGACCCGCACCTGCGCCATGACGAGATCGTCTTCGCCTTCAGGTGGGCGTGGCTTTGTGTCCTGAGCCATAGAGTCCACTAAAACTCGTAAAAAACTCATTTATTTTTACAAATAAGCTTTTAAAAACCACTTTTACACGTCCCAGCAGGCGCGGATCCAACCCCTTAAAAAAAGCTTGTGGGCACAGCCGCCAAAAATGAGCAAAGTGAGAGTTGGATCACTACATGCCCGGACTTACATACATGCCTATCGATCTTATCAATAGATCACAATAAAACAAGCAAATTAGGGTTGTGGGCATGCCCACAGTGCCCACAACGGTGGATCCGCGCCTGCGTCCCAGTATTAACCCTACCACTGCTACGGGACAATAAATGGGCCAGTGCTGAGAAGAAGCAGCGCAAGAAACTCAGTCACTATTCATACTCTCGCTCAACGACCGTTTCCTGCCCTACCACCTCATCGACAGCGAGGCGGTGCTGTGCGTCGACGACGCGCGCCTTGAGTCCTTCGCCATAGAGTCTATTCTTGCTTGACAACCGCTTCCTGCCGTCTGTGGTTCAAAAACAGTTAAAGATGTTGAAAATAAATAATTTTGAACCTTAAAATCAATGTATTATTTCTGTTAACATAAGTCTTATGCATTTTTCAGAGTGTGGCGTGAGCATCGCGACCGCATCGTGGGATTCCCCGGGCGCTACCACGCGTGGGATCTCAACTTCAACAATGGGTTCCTTTACAATTCAAATTACAGGTAATTTGTTTAAATACTCATAAAACTCGAAAATAAATTTTGAAAAAGGCTTAAAGCAGTTTCACACGTCCCAGTATTAATCCTACCACTGCTTCGGGACAATAAATGGGCCAGCGGTGAGAGAAGCAGCGCAAGAAACTCCGTCACTATTGTCAGTTATTTCATTCATTGTTTCATTTAGTGTTCAATTCACCACGGCCTTGTACGACATTGTTAAATGTTTTGATCTCTGTCCCTAATGTGGGCAGGTGTATTTCGACTTCCCTGTCCTATATTCGTATATGTCGGCCGTTTGGTGTAGTGGTTCGAAACGGACTACTATTCCGGAGGTAGCGGGTTCGATTCCCGCATAGTACAAACATTTGTGTACATATGAACATATTTGTTTGTATTGGACTGGGTGTTTTCTATGTATAATAAGTATGTATTTACAAAAAAAAAAAGTATTTAAGTATGTTTATATCCGTTGTCTAGTACCCATAGTACAAGCTTTGCTTAGTTTTGGACTAGAAGCGCAGTGTAAAATGTCCAAGGATATTTATTTATTTATTACTAGCTTTCCGCCCGCGGCACCGCCCGCGTGTAATTTTGTCTGTAATTCTGTCACAGAAAAACAATATCGCGCACGTATTTGGTCACCGTTTAGACCTACCCTGGACTACGACAAACATTTTTTAACACCAAAATCAGCTCAATCGGCCCAGCCGTTCTCGAGTTTTAATCAGACTAACGAACATCAATTCATTTTTATTTATATAGATACAGATTACAGAATGCTATATGCTAATATGCTAATATCTTCTTCGCTTTTTCCAGCTGCGAGCTGAGCATGGTACTGACGGGCGCGGCTTTCGTTCACCGCTACTACTTGTGGGCGTACTGGCGCGCGCTACCGGCCGCCGTAAGAGAACACGTGGACGAATACATGAACTGCGAGGACATCGCCATGAACTTCCTCGTGGCGCACATCACCAGGAAGCCGCCCGTCAAGGTACGTAAGGCCCTATAGACTAAGAGCTAGTGAACACCACACCTACGTCATTTTAAGTTAGTCAGATAGGTTTGACAGTTCCAACTCCTTGCCTGTTGTCTGGCCCAGACAATATTTTGAGGGCAGCTGCCAAAGCCACGATGATTCAACCTTCATGATGCACCAACATTCTAACCTATACTGGGAGCATACGCTGACAAACTCTCAGCTTTTATAAAATGACGTAAGTCTGGCATTCACTAGCTCTTAGTCTATTATGTAAAAGTGCGTAAGGTCGAGAGTGGCGTGTACTGAGAACACGTGACGAGTGAATGAACTGCGAGGACATCGCCATGAACTTCCTCGTGGCGCACATCACTAGGAAGCCGCCCGTCAAGGTACGCCCTATGTGCAGGCGAGTAAGGTCGAGAGTGGCTTGTACTGGCGCGCTCTACCGGCCGCCGTGAGAGAACACGTGACGAGTGCATGAACTGCGAGGACATCGCCATGAACTTCCTCGTGGCGCACATCACCAGGAAGCCGCCCGTCAAGGTACTCCCTTTTTTACCCAGGAAAATGGCCTATCCATACCTACCGCCAAAGGACAACAGGTTATGTGACCTTGAACCCACTAAAAACCTAGGGTGTTCCTTCTGCCGCATAGTGGTCGGCGCCTCGTCCCGACCCAACACGCCCCCACTTAATGGGGGGCTGACAGGAATCAGGATTAGCCAGGACCACGAGGCCAATCCCGTCCGATGGTGGTGGTAGCCTGTGCAGTGCAGGAGGAGGCGCCCCCGCGTCTCCAACCTGCTGGCCACCAGTCAAGGTACGCCCTATGTGCAGGCGCGTAAGGTCGAGAGTGGCGCGTACTGGCGCGCTCTACCGGCTGCCGTGAGAGAACACGTGGACGAGTACATGAACTGCGAGGACATCGCCATGAACTTCCTCGTGGCGCACATCACCAGGAAGCCGCCCGTCAAGGTACGCCCTATGTGCAGGTGCGTAAGGTCGAGAGTGGCGTGTACTGGCGCGCTCTACCGGCCGCCGTGAGAGAACACGAGACGAGTGCATGAACTGCGAGGACATCGCCATGAACTTCCTCGTGGCGCACATCACCAGGAAGCCGCCCGTCAAGGTACGTAAGGCCCTATAGACTAAGAGCTAGTGAACACCACACCTACGTCATTTTAAGTTGTTACGCATTAGAAGTTGTTTATCATCAGCCAGATAGGTTTGACAGTTCCAACTCCTTGCCAGACAATATTTTAAGGGCAGCTGCCAAAGCCACGATGATTCAACCTTCATGATGCACCAACATTCTAACCTATATTGGGAGAATACGCTGACAAACTTTCAGCTTTTATAAAATGACGTAGGTCTGGCATTCACTAGATCTTAGTCTATTATGTAAAAGCGCGTAAGGTCGAGAGTGGCGTGTACTGAGGACACGTGACGAGTACATGAACTGCGAGGACATCGCCATGAACTTCCTCGTGGCGCACATCACCAGGAAGCCGCCCGTCAAGGTACGCCCTATGTGCAGGTGCCTAAGGTCGAATTCTTTCACTATGCTTCTTATTTCATGAATTAAACGGCAAGGATTTGGTAGCCACTACTTGAATCCTTACATCTCGCATGTGAGACGCTGGCAATGTCACATGACTGACTTAATGAATAGAATAGATTTTGATAAGTGGAATAATCCCGCCTTCCACTCTTGTTTCTAATTGCCTTTCGGAAAATGAACCGAATTTTATGGGAGAGGAGAGTGCGTAGATGCAAACATCGAGGCTTGCGCTGTATTTGGTTCCTCAATTTTATTTTCATTCATCCCGTCTCTTCAATTCCCCTTTCTGGGGCTTAACTGACACCACTAAACGTGATAAATGGAACAATTTATTATTATTATTGATAATTAATAGAGCTGTACAAAGTGATAAAAATTGATTACTATTTTCATATTAAACATCTGTTATCATAATTTCGTCGCGTGCGCAGGTGACGTCACGTTGGACATTCCGCTGCCCGGGCTGCCCGGTGACGCTGTCGGCCGACGAGACGCACTTCCACGAGCGACACAGGTGCATACAGTTCTTCTCGCAGGTATGTACTAAATTATTCTAGCACCTAAATAAGTATTTTATAGCTGATTCTTTACATAGCAGAAAAAGTCAATGTTGAGAAACCAGCAAGATAAACTTTTATTGAGGCATTTTATCGATTTTACCCAATAAACAAATGTATAGGCTATATATTTGTCGTCTTTAATAGTCGATAATATTTTATCATGGGACGCATCCTAGCCGGGTTGAACAGAGTTAATGTCTTTTTTTCTTCAAATTGAAGAGCTATTAGTGTTGGCAAAAAGTGATTTAGGTACCAGCACTATTATGTATTATTTTTTTACATGACATGTGCCTTAAAGGTATATTTTACAGAAGTGAAGTATATGAGACAAACACTATTTTAGATGTTTCTTGTTTTGCAATTTCAAAAAGCTACGAATAAATCTAATTCATATCATATAAGTTTTAATCGTAGTCACTAATTAAAAGAATACAAGGAAACACCACTACATTTAACATAGGATAATTTATGAAGTTCTTTATCTACGACTAGCTTTCCGCCCGCGGCTTGGCGCGCGTGGACTACATTATCTACATATTTTACGGAACCCTATTTTTTTATTTTTCAAAATAAAATTTAGCCTATGTTACTCGCTTTCGAATGGTGAAAGAATTTTTAAAAACGGTCCAGTAGTTTTTGAGCCTATTCATTACAACCAAACAAACAAACAAACAAAGTTTTCCTCTTTATAATATTAGTGTAGATATTTTATCATTCTCTGTATCGGTGCAATAATTTTATAAGTACATATAATATTCGATAGATATAATTTCGATTGTTTCATTTCAATTGCAGGTGATGGGTTATACTCCTCTGCTCTCCACGCAGTACAGAGCCGACTCGGTGCTGTTCAAAACGCGAATACCTCACGACAAACAGAAGTGTTTCAAGTTTATATAGTGCAATAGAGACAAACGTTTAGAACATTTTTGTAACATCCACCGACGAGTGCGTATTTTTTCGGGTGAGTACATACATTTCCATTGGACAGTATTGAGCGCAATTTTGTTACAAGGTGGTTTACATTATTTTTACCCGACTGCGCTAGAAGGAGGGTTACGTTTTTAGAAATCATCAACTTAGTAGATTACTTTAAAAAATATATCTGACAGGTATGTAACCTCGTATTTTATAATATGAAGCGTTTTGGTGAAAGTAGTCTGGCACAGTGTCGGTGCCTATTCAATTCCTTAAACTCCGTATTCATGAAAATATGGTACATGACTCTATTTTTGAGTTCACAATTCACATACGCAAAATAAATTCTTTCACCGGTTTTGAAAAGTTTTTGATGACAATGTGCGTTCCTCAAAGAGCAGTCTATTCCAAGCTATGATGTTCATAGTCATTGGTATTTTGAATTTTGGACGCGGAATTAGTAAATCTTTATTTGCATTACATCGTACATATTTTATAGATTGAACATTATTTGAATTTATTATAACATAAGTAGTGAATATGTACAGAATAAGAAAGTGGTTTTAGATATACATAATACATGCGTATAAAATGTCGGCATTTTGTTAGATGCATTTTTGATCATTTATTATTGGATATACATTATGTACTCATAGTATAGTAAGTAGTTATTTTTAAAGATTTATTTTACTTGATAAATTAATTCTCATATTCATAGGGATTAATATAAGTTATTGTGTACATATATAAATACATATTAAGCAATACATAGATGTAAGAAATGTGTTATAACTGTGTATTGTATTATTTTGTGACAATAAGTACATTATACATTATATTATCACTTGCTTGCATGGTTGTCATAATGCCAAAAAGTGATGCAATCATAAAGATACTTTTAATAGGTATTTTTACATAACATGCTTGCAATGTCATGATTTATTTCTTCAAAAGAGTCAGTGAAACTTTTGTATGAATTATTATTTGCAGTTTATTTTTTGCCTTAGAAAATACTATTTTGTGAGCGAATATTATTAACTCGGTGTAATATAATTAGCATTTTTAATTATTTTTCACTTTAAAAAATCATGATCTTCTTATACATAATGAGTAAACTAGTCCTAAAATATAATGTTAAGAAGACTGACAGATATGTTTTTTTTTATTTTACAGTGAATTTTTTACAATAGGGGTGGTTTCCTGGGTAGAAAGAGCATTAATGTGAATTAGTTCGTCAGTTAACTTATCAAAAAATACCCAACGTATTTTTTGCTTCATAAAATGAAAATTGACAGAGATAAATCACGCCAAAGCTCATAAGTAGAGGCCAGTGACGTTACTGCGTGGTAAAAAGTTTAGAACGGTGTGACGTTATTACTTGTTTGATTGAGAAATAAGAATACATTGTGTTGTTTGATAATATAATTGACGGACTAAATGTTTTTTGGAAACTAGCCTCCTGTCTTTGTTATTTTGATAGATCGTATGGTATTATAATTTGTGAATGATTTTTATATCAACCACGCTTTTATTCGCACAGCCAGTTATTACCAAATAATGATAAATCAGTTTAATTTTAAAAGACTGTGCCTTCTGAGTGTTTATAAACATACACACGTAGCATAAGTTAAATCTATTATAGAGCTAATTAGGTACGAAATATAAATTATAATATGAATTGTTAATAGATCCCACTTGGCACTAGAGCTCATTTTAATGTTCTTGTTTCGTACTAAAATGTGGTAAATCCCATCGTGTACAGTCAGCGTTAAATAGTCAAATAGTTCGTGACACCCAAAGTAGCCAAAAGTTTCTAAATATAATGTAAAGAAAAGAAATAATAACATAGAACATGCTCTGATGCTTCAGAAAAAATAAAATGATCAAATGTATGTTAAATAACTTGCATATATCTAGAAATTAGTACACTTCGGGCAAAGTCAGAGAGCAGAAATAACAGGAGTAGCAGTGCGCGTTTATTTCCATACAAAAAAATTTCGCCATTTCCTGAGGGGGACGAGGTAATGACATTTGTGTAACAGCTGATGGCGCTGAGACACTATCGATATTTTTGTCGATGAGAATCATTGCTCTATGGTTCATAGTCTATGGCTCGTTTAAAAAAATGATATGAATTAATTTATTATCCTATGGGAGATTCAACATTCCTTTAAATAAAATAAATTAAATAAAATACGCAAAAGTTTGGCATTTCTTCCCTAGCACGAATACAAATTGTGAAAGTTAAGAGTTATATGAAAAAAACTAAAAAGTCATTTATATAGGCTCTTAAAAAGCACTTTTACACGTCCCAGTANCAACACGATAACGACCCAAAACATACCGCGTACTCTGTTTAACAATTCCTAGCGCAACAGTCAGTGACGGTACTAGATTGGCCCGAAAACAACTCAGACTTAAGCCCTATAGAGCTTATGGTATGAAACGAAGGAAAAAGTTGCAGCTCAACGTACTGGCACTAAAAATCAGCATTTCGTGGCATTTAATGGTATTTGGAATAATATTTCTTTAGAAACCTGTAATGATTTGATTGCATCCATGCCGCGCCGATGTTAAATGGTTATAACCAACAAAACCAACCATATTGGTTATAAAAATACGTTTGATGATTTTGTTTTGTATTCTATATTTATTAATGAAAACTTTTTATGTAATAAACACTTAAATAATTTCCAATTTATTTACATTTACAGTGAAAGTGTTACGTGTCCCTAATTAGTTGTCCATCCCTAGGTCAATAAATGTGTAGGTGGCAATGATTTATTTATTTTAAAAATATTGATCGCAACTAGCTAGTTTCTTTTCTGGCCTTTAAATATTTAGAATACTAGCCAAATTACTTGTTATTAATAGGCACAAGCTACAAAGCCTCGTGAAGATTTTTTTTTGGGACTGGAGAGACGGTCTTGTGTTTTAGTCATATAACGTCCCTAATTAGTTGACCACGACTGTATACTTACATCAATCACAACTGTAAATTATGTATTATTAACTCTCCACAATCGTTTACTTGTTAATGGTATATTATTATACAAAGAATCAAAATAAATAATTAAGATTTCATTATAATCAATCGTTTTATTTTTATTCAGAACTTCACGAAGTTACTATTTTTTTATAACTATCTTTTGTATAATAATAATTAATTCGTAATAATCATTTACATACTATTCCTTGAACCTTTTTGCAAGGGATTTATGCGGTTAGCGCGACCTTAGCCTTTGATGTTGTTTGTCCTCAAGCTAACCGCAGTTATAAGTGCTACCGATACGGGCGCTGCGGCCGCCACTAGTGTTGCTTACTTTAATTACTACAGCATATCGAATATGGTTTATGCATTTATATGACTAATGCCTTTTATGAACAGGTTACATTAACTATAACCCGATCGAGTGAACGCGCACTGTGCGACCGTGATGTCACATCCACCCTCTGTGCATTCCAGCGAGGTGCGCAAGTTAGCTCGATCTGGGTGTATATCCTTATTCAGGCTAGAAATATTGTACTACTTTCAGTCGCACGTTACTTTAGCATTTACTGAGTTTTGGGAAAACTTAACATGAAATAAAAACACAACTTTATGTAAAATATATTTTATTTGCTTTAACATAGACTTACATTTTATGAACGACACATTTAACATTCATAAATTAACTAGTCACCAAACGCTCTAGTTACAGAATGAATCCAATCAAAACTCATACAAGAAAATTTAATGAACACTTGGTTTTTTAAAAATACAGATCATATTTTAAAAATATTTATTTTAAATAAATATGCACTTGGATAATTGTATTTTCGTAAATAACCTTACTCTTATAATCTACACTATTTGTATCAATTTTGAAATTTTCTTACAATATGTATGAAAACCAAATTGTGTTTTCTTTTGTGAATTTTAAACATTTAAAAACTAGTACACGAATAACATGAGAAGTGCAGCCAAGATAAATAGCCATAAAAACTACAAAGTTATAATAATTGAGTAAAAGTTTGTCTGTAGGTATAGCAAAATATATACTTACATTACTCTTACTTATTCTACTTTTAATATTAAATCGTTAAGAATAAAATCTCCAATAGTATAAAATCTCTACAGTATTATGTACATACTTAGTATGTTTCGCAATGAAAGTGTGATTTTGGTGTACTTAATTACTTTGTAGTACTGAATGGTATTTTTAAATACTATCATTATGTACTTTAATGTTTGTTCTAGCATTAGTTACTTTAAACTATCACTTGGTGAGTTCTATAAAATAATTATGTGGTCTTGGTACAACACTTGTTTGGGGCGCTACGGTCGGTGCTACATTACAATACATTGTCGAAGTTTATAAAATGCAATACATTATTTTGGTTACATTAAAGGACACATTCATGAAGCCCAATCTATAAAATATTCTTATTACAAATTCATAAGAGATTACAAACTTATTTAATAAGTGCGCCAATTGGAGAAAGTTATTTTATTACATAGTATAAAGTAGGTACGGTATAAAAACTACAAGATTTAAGTGGAAGTGCTCTACTGGTCGTGGTCACATTGCATTGACGATTGGTGTATAATTTGGTGTTGTGCCTGTGGACAATGTAACATCGAAATGCGATTCGCTCGCCATACTAAGTTACGTACAAAAATGTAGATGGCAGTAGGTACTTACTGTTCATTGTTATTTGTTTTGTACATGCTAAATTTCGTTAATCTACTCGTTGATAGATGGCGTGTTGTGTTTCGTTCGACAAACTTAACCCGATGTCCGCCAGAGGGGAACAACAAATAGTGGGGACTGGGGGTCAACGGGACATTTCGGGAATACACGGTTTTGTATAAGTAGTTTCGAAACGGAATCGTTAACGAATGTCACATTGTAGAGGCAGAATTTATCAATCGATGTAGTCTATAGGGTGATGACGGCGACTGCTGTCGATGGCTCGCGTAGTTTCTCCATACTTGGGCTGGATTTGGAATGTGTCCACTGGTGTGTGAGTTCATAAGTATGTGTGCACCTGGAGGTGTTGCCTGAGGGGCGGCGAGGGGGCCCGGGGGCGGGTGTCTCGCGGCACCGAGATAGGCGCGTCTCAGGCAAGATCGTCTGCTTTGCCTCCGTCAAGTCGCTTCAGCTGCCACAGAAAAGATGTCGGTTAATTTAAATCAAGCAGTCACAGTTGTGTCTATTTTAGTTTTTATTTGAGTCAGTTAATTTATATGACAAAGATTGTCATAAAACAGGATTCATTGGATGTTTAATCGGACCGATATATGGGAGGCCTATGTAACATACTATTTTCCTAAACTCTTGCTTTTATAAGTAGGTAGGTAAATAGTATCATTAAAAACTAACAGGTAACAGCCATTCACAAAAATATAACTACCTATGTTGGCTTGTTATTTTAATTTGCTTTAATACATAAACAGTTTTAGATTTTAGGTAGGTACTTATTTCTACAAACAAAACCTCTACAACATAATAGGTGACACATACAGGGATAAATAAAACAAAAATAATTGTAAAGGTCGATCATCGCACTTGCAATAATATTGTAAAAGTAATACCAAGAAGTTACTATGAAGTTGTAACGAGTTTAATAATATTACGGGAGTAATATTTAATAGTTGACATTTACGACTGACCGCAAACAGTTATGAATAATATGACTTCATAATAACCACTCGGTCCTTAGAAGTAAAATAGGGAAAAATAAACACTGGGATGAACAAATTACCAAGAAATCTGTGTTACTTCATCATCAAAGGGGATTCCTTTAGCTACTTACTAATCAAAATAATATCATGCAAAGAACATAGGGAAATTCAAATTCAAAACACCGAATGGCATAAACTGGGAATATTTTTAGGGCTGTGGTTTGAAGCTATGTAAGGCCCACGACGATTTTTTATAGCGATGCAGTAGCGATTCTGTCGCGTGTTTGTAGGTATCGATACAGTTGCGATGCTGTAGCGCGTTAGTAGCGCGTTGGCATAATTTCTGTAGCGCGTTGCAAATGCGACTAACGCGCGTTAGTAGTGATGCTTTCGCTCGTTTACGACGTTTACGCGCGACAGCATCACTACAAAAAGTCGCCGTAGGTGAGGGGCCTAATTAGGTATTTGGGGAAATTTGTAACAAAATGGGGTAAAAGTGCTATCAATAAAATACTTCTTACGCTTTGTTCAACCGTCCACGCAGTCGGCGCTAGGCGTCCAGTACGCTTGCAAATCAACAGGAACCAAATAGAGTGCACGCATTATAAAGCATCTATCTAGGGACTAGGCTACTACTTTACTATCCCTCCATACGTTCTATTTATTATTCTCTTATAAATAGGGTGTCATTTTCATCAGGTTTCATCAAAGCTAGGTCAATGACGCTCAAACTAATTTAATTTAAGGATTAGATGTGAATTTTATAAGACATAAATTAGATCAATTCAACAATGGGTCGGATCCGAGAAACGCAAGTTCGATATTCGCTGGCGCCGCTGGACTATGTGCTATTGTCGTGAACCCACTCGTAACACATGCTTATTTAGCTTACTACGAGGGGTTAACGGGACTATTAGTGATTTGCATTTACTTTGCATCATCCTTTACTAATTTTGTTTGAGTATGAATAGAGTTTGAGCGTCGTTTGAACAGCGTGGGCATGAGTAAGCCAAATCCCCATTTGCCTCCGGTCTGCTATTTAATCCCATTAATAGGTACTATTTACTACACATTTAATTCTAAGTACGATAAGTTTAGTTTATTATCGCAAGAAAAAATTATTTTTTAAACCGAAATTGCAAATCTTACTACTTATAGCTGATAAAGCTCCTAAAAATAATAAAATTATCAGTCAACCTAATAGGCGTAGACTGTGACGTAGTTAATTCCGTAAACCAATCAGTTAGATAAAGTCAGTAGATACCTACTTATCGATCATCTAAAATTCTTGTTATGTGTAAACTTTGATAAGCTTAAGTAGAGCAATTGAAAACCCGTATCTAATTTAGGGCTAAACTATATGGATTCTGATTAAAACATTTTAATAATTAATACAGTTTATTTATAAACTTAAGATTTTACAACGAACATTTCAATTCAAATGAAAAATTCACGCGAACCCTATGATTTTAAATGCTAAGTAACATTTTGGAAGAACTAATCCGTCCCATCTAACTAATCCATCCTAAATGGCGATTATCGCCTTAACATTATTCATTTTTGCAATACGAACTCATACAGTCATTGACACGTCATCGTATCATGCTATTCTTGGGCCGGTGCATACAATATATTGTGTCAATTTTCTAATCGGCCAAGTCGTTCAAGGCCCGGAGCGTCCTGCGGGTGCGAGCAAGTTAACTGCTGTTGAAGCATTGATAGTGGCTCTTATCCAATCACTGCAGTGGTTTAACTGATAGATTGGATAAACTGTTTGGCGAAAAAACCACATTGAAGAACTGACACTAGTTCTTTGCAGAACGAAACTGTAGTTGCAGTTGCACACATACAGGGTGTAATTTTTATACTTGATCAAACAAAATGGGTTGATTCTATTACTGAAATACAACCTTTTCTACAATCTCAAAATATGTTGTTCCCCATGACTGTCCCTAAATGACTGATATGGAAAACTTATCAATTTCTTTTAATATTTAAACTTCAGTCCCTTGCGGAAAGTTGTAGCATTTGAGTAGTAGAAGCAATCCATTTTGTTTGATCACCTATTAAAAACACCCTGTATGCGGTTAACGAATGCTGCAAAATGTAACTATAGCTACATCTATCAATTTAAGTAACTCTATTTTAAATAAACAACTTGAAAAAATCGAACGGCAAGCGGAAGGTCGTGGGTTCAAGTCCCGCCTTAGGCAGTTTGATTTTTTCAAGTTGTTTATTTAAAAAGTTTGAGAGGCAACTCTATTCAGTCACTTTTGAGTAAAAATTCTACTCAAGCGTGACGTATCGCGCCATTTCAACTCGATGTAGCACTGTTATTATTTAATTATGAAAGAAAATTAAAAAATATGAGTGTAATATTTTCTAATTATCTGTCTGACGGACTAAATAGAATTTCGATTTCATTACCCAGTCATCATCCCTATTTAACTCTACCCTCTACCGCGGCAGTGAGTTTACCTCTTTCTCGTCGGCAGCCACGGGCCTGTAGCGCGGAGTCTCCTGCGGCGGCGCCGAGAAGCCGTGCACGTAGAGGAGAGCCGCCGCCACTCCGCCGGCCACTGGGCCCGCCCAGTACACCTGGATACAAATTATTTATCAGTGAAGTCAGTAGAGTAGAGGACAGTGCCGGATTAGCACATAAGCAAATTAAGTATTTGCTTAGTCTCATCACGTCTTGGGGAGAACCAAAAACACCAAAAAAATAAGAGCGCAGAAAGGAAGGGCTAGATGCAGAGCCTGCTAAAAACGTTGGACTTAAAAACTGATTTCCGCTAATTTAATACTCGTAAAAATTCATGTAAAAGTCGCTGACCGATACGTACTTAGCTTACTAAGAATGGCGGGTCATTAAGGGCACAGGAGTACATTTGTTAGAGCATCAAGTAGTTTTATGCCCGTTTTCACTATCAATCCCTAATTTTTAAGTGACCCCTATGGTAACACATAACAGGAATTTTGTTTTCTTTCAATCCTGCACGAAAAATAGGATTACCCTCACTTTGCCCGTGGATGTCGTAAGAGACTAAGGGTCAAATTCGTTATTTGCCTTTGGTAAATTGGAGAAGGTCGTCTTCTGACTGAAATGACTTTATTATTATGACCCGGTTCAGAGCACATAAGTATAATAGGTGTACTGTACACCCCAAAGTAAGTAGTTTGTTGCATTACTTCACATCGGTACTGAGAAGTGGCGGATCAAACTCGGTTTACACGTAGGTACGAGTCCTTTTGTCTTTTATTTATTAAAGGACCTGAACGTGGAAAATCGACAAGTTTAAAACAGGGCACATCACTTTGCTTGTTCGATTTATTGAGTAAGTAATCTGTCTTTGCAAATTACCTACTTAGTTAACCGTTGCTCAGTGACCATCGATGTATCAAAATTAATCTCTTATTGAACGGTTGCTACCTTGTTGTTTTCCATCGTAAAATTATTGTTAGGGAGGTCATTCTTAACTTAAAGTTCTATACAATGTGAGCATAATACAAATGCATAGTCATATACTTAGTTGAAAGTTACATTATGTAGTCATAGTAGAGATGGTGTCATCAATGAGAGGGTTACGTAAACCATTGCAATCTTGTAAAAGTGCCAAGTCTATTTCATGTGCATTCTGGCATTAATAATTTTGCATTTTAATTACTTGTTTACGCACTAAAACTGATGTAGTATTCCATTGTACTGCTATCCAGTAAACAGATCACTTAAGTATTCGTGCATTGACGTTACTTGACCTGTCTACTTAGTCGAAAAGACGCCAATTCATAGCTTATCAACTCGTAAACAGAACAGTTATCCCAAACTTTGGCGACGAGATGCTGTTCGAACTAATACACACCTATACCTATTCACACGATAAGCAATGAAGTGCTCTTTGAAGTGAACAGACTTACCCAGTGGTTGGCTTGGCTCAAACGTTGGCATTGGGACTCCGACCTGATCAGAGACTTAACCAATGGTTGGCTCAAACCTTGGCGAAGAAATACATTCTAACCTAGATATAGACTTACCCAGTGGTTGGCCCAAACGTTGGCAATGTGACTCCGACCTGAGCAGAGACTTAACCAAGGTTTACTTGGCAAAGAGGTTTATTCCGACCTAGATAGAGACTTACCCAGTGGTTGGCCCAAACGTTGGCGACGAGTGCAGATCCGAAGGAGCGGGCGGGGTTCATGGCAGAGCCTGTGTAGTCAACAGCCAGCAGATGGCCGAGGGTGACGGTCAGGCCGATGGCGAGGGGTGCTGTGGATTTGCTGTCAGGCTTGTGCTGGTCACACACCTAGGGATAAGGGAAAATTGAACTTTAGAATAAGTATGAGATTAAAGTATTGCTATCTGCACCAATATTAGGAGAGGTAAACTAAGTAAAGGTGTGTTTGTTTGTAACTGTACGAGTAGGTAGAGTGATGGATATAGTCACACTTCAAAAATACGTGCTACTAGGTGTATGGGTTTTAATATTAAGCTGGCAGCTAGCCTCAATGAATTACCTAATTCATTGTTATTGTTGCATTACGTTAAAATTAATATAAATGTATTCCAAATGCTATAAATAACATGTGTCATTGTAATTAAAAGTAGGTAGGCACATTGTATTGTTTGGCACGAGTTTGTTCATTATCCAAATGGAATGAAACCGTAGTAAAAACAAAACAGCGAATACTGATTCCTAACAGCTGGCTTTATTTATTATCAAAGCTAATGTTCATTTGGCGATTCATTTTGCGAAGGAAATATTGAATTGCCGGTCAACACGCGATATCGTAACTAAACAAGCTCTTTGCTTTCTTTTTGTTTTTCATTTAACTACTTTCACAGATTAATTTTATTGAAAAGCTGTGTTTGATCACACGTGTTTCCCATCCAATCATTCATTTATCTTGCATGCTGAATATTGAATGTGTTAAGAAAATTAGGCCAAAACTTTTCCATGTGAAAATCGAAAAGTATAGGTAGCAGGATTGAGTGAGAGATAGACACTGGCTGATAACACATGTCACACTTTTGTCGTTAATGGAGCTAATCCATTATTCACAAATGATCATGACCTTGTTAACGTCAACAAAATAATACCATGTTCATAAGTTTTTAAATATATTTTCGATGTTCCAAAATATCGCCTGAAATAAACGGACACAGATTGTTTGGAAAATTCCTTAGCTTTACGTAATGTTTAGCAAGAATTAGATCTAACTTACAAAGGACAATACAACTATTTCGTAAGCAGATTGAATTACTAATGTTATGCTAAATATAAGTCCAAATAGTTGCGGTCTCAATACGTCTTGAGTGTACAATTCATTTGCAGTCTACGGTAAGGTAGTTCTGGTTGTCGAGTCATCGTGTTTAATACTTGATGCTATGAGTGCAGCAGATTGTCGAGGCTCCCTGCTAATAACGCACTGTCACGAAACCCGGCAATTCCAGTCATTAGACCCACTAACTAATCCAGATGATGTAATGCGCATAATTTTGGGAAGTGGATTCGACGGCTATTAATAGTGATAAAAGAGACCGGGCTAATTTTCAGCTGAGCTCAATTAACGTTTTCAAACCATGAGAACAACAGAACTAGATTATTTTAAAGGAAGTTTTTTTTACAATTTATTATGGTAAGAAATCAGTAAGATGCTTTTGCTTCAGCGTTATTTAATTCTTTAACTGAATTGGTTCTAGCAGGTATAATTTATGAAAAGTCCGAAATCCCTGAAAATTACTGAAAAGCTGAGCTGAAAAAGTCAGTAGATGTTGATGCAAAGAATGTTAGAATATGCCGAAAATTCCTACATTACGATTACGAATAATATCACGAGGTTCCATAAAGGTCTACTCACCCCACAAACAACGAAGACAAGAACGAAGCCAAGGAAGAACTCGATGCCGAAGCCCTGGAGTGCTGTGACGTCAGCACCAAGCCCGGTGACTCCGAGGCTGCCGGCGACCCGATCAGGCGTGAAGGCCTTCAGTAGGCCTGAGCCTGCCGCGGCGCCCGCGCATTGCGCGATGATGTACAAGATGGCGCGCACAGGCTTCACACGGCCCGCTGCGGCGAGACCCACGGTAACCGCTGGGTTTATGTGGCCACCGGAGACATGGCCTATCGCCTGGGAAATAAAACAAATGTTCCATTTAAATGTTACGTCGATAGAGTACCTTCTCAGATCTAAACCGTATTATATCATAGGTATACCACACAAAATAGACAATATCAAAGGCAGTCTTATCGCTAGTAAGTTGTGAATCCAATATCAAGGAACGTACCAAAATAAAGATAGTAGTAACACATATAGTAAGTAGTTGATCTATTTTAGGATTTAATGAAAGGTCAGCAGAAGCAAACAGCCAACAAGTGGCGAAGAGGTAATTAATGTTTAGAAAGAAAAGAAAAATGATACCATCAAGGCAGTGACCCAGAAACGGAAAACAATAATAAACTGGAAAGCCTCTGTGCTTTTAATAATACTCATTTGGTTGTTCAGTTGTTAATGTTGCAAGTGTAGGTAATTGAAGAAAGTGGTGCAATTTGTGTTTCCGTGAGGGAAGTAAGCGATACAAAGTTTGCTAGGTTTTCTTAGAATTTGCAACAAAATCAAGTTACAAAGAAGTATACGAGAAACTTTACACTTACAGTACAGAAAAATTAATAGTAATTCAACCAGCGCGGAATATACAGAACACTTGTAATTTTCACTGATTACTGCTTTATATGAAGGGTTATATTAAGTAGAAAGAGCCGTCTTTAGCATTGGTGTAAGAAGAAGGTGAAGTGGCAGTGGACAGGGCACGTAGTACGCAGAACTGACGGCCGATGGGGCAGCAAGGTTCTGGAATGGAGGCCGCGTACCGGAAAACGCAGCGTGAGACGTCCACCCACAAGGTGGACCGAGGACCTGATAAAGGTAGCAGGAAGGCGCTGGATGCAGGCCGCTACCAACCGTGCGATGTGAAAGTCATTGGGGGAGGCCTATGTTCAGCAGTGGACGTCCTATGGATGAAATGATGATGACGAAGAAGAAGGTAGGTAAGCTTAGTAACGTGTATAAATTGAATAAGGATTAGCTTAGTAGCACATCTTAAACGACTGCAGATTACCCTTATCGCTCTGTTGAATGTATTTTCACAAGCACTTTCAAAGTATGTAGACTTGTAGAGATAATTTTGTTATCTACCGCTGTTTGCATTATGTGGGCTTCATGAATATGCACTTCATAAAATACGTTTATGATAGATGTATTTTATGTAATTTGTCCACGTAAATAAATATTGTTGAGGACACTTGACGCACTTAATTAGATCATTGACTTGCTACTCTCTGGTTTGCTCAGCTGAAATTCGGGGAGGTAGGTACTTACTTACCTACAGTTTTAAAAACATGAAAATGCACAGTGTACCTACATCAAAATGACTAACCGACTGAAGTTAATTACATAAATTAAAAGGTCGAGTAAAGACGGAATAAACTGAGGAATAATTTCAAAGTTGGCGTACTTACTCACGCAAGAAACGATACAAAACTGATTTGATTTAAAAATTGAATAAATATTTTGACGAATAAAGAGTACAACGTCAAACTATCCTAACTAAAGAAAAATCTCAAATTATGTATAAGTAGGTAAATGACGGAGTTCTGGTTCTGGTCAGCAAATCTACAACGGATTAGAGAACCGCCTCCTTTTTTTAAGTCAGTAAAGAAGAAGAAACCCAGCATTTGTGAGACTTACAGACACCGCAGCATACACCGCCAGCCCGAAGGCGAGCGCGATGAGCACGATGTCTGGCGCGGCCGAGGAGCCCTGCGCCACGTTGATGCACGCTCCGCAGCCGAAAAGGTTCAGAAGGATGTTGCCTGGAGGAATTCAAACAGATTTAGTTTTAATTTGTACAGTTTTATAATAGGTAGGATTTATAGCCACAATAGCCCAGCGGTGAAGTGGTCGGACTGGCCGTCTCGAGATTCTAGGAACGCGGGTTCGAATTAGGGNTTTATTTATTTATTTATTTATATAATTCACTGTGGACTTACAGTTTTACCCAAGACGTCCATCAGCGGCAGAAGTACAGAATACACAATATATGGTAGTGTAAACGTTTCGATAACTGGCTTCCTCGAGAGACTATAAGTCATCGAACCTACGCACGAGACTATTCGTGATGGCTCTCAAAAACAGAGTCAGAACCCAGATGGGTCTGTAATTCTTTAATAAGGCTTTTACCCCTTTCTTAAAGAAAAACACCACCAAGCATTTGTTCCGTGCCTCTGGCATTATTCCCTGGAGTAAGACGGAGTTACAGTCTATGAAGGACTTTCAGTATCGGCTTATCACCTGCCGCGTTCAGAAGTTCCGAGGTAATTCCGTCATCACCCGGTGCCTTGTTGTTCTTTAGCTGTTTGAGAGCCATCCTAATCATGTAAGGGCTGATGTCCGGCTAATCTTCGGTATAGTGTAGCGTTAGCTTAGCTGTTGGAACTGTCCTGTGGCTGAGCTATTAACAGGTTTTACTCTATCATCCGCTCTCTTCAGCTGGCTTCGCCCATTAGAGTTGACTCTAGCGAACATTTTGGAGCTTTGGTTTCGCCCTATTGCCTCTTTAATGTTACCTATTACTAATAAAGTTACATATCTCAAGGACTTCCTTATCTAAGAACCTATTTTGATACTTAAACGTTTTGAAAACTTAAAATAATTTATGAAAAATTTCAATATCGGAATACGATATTGGCTTCAGTTCCGGAATTGAAATATCGGTAAAAATGTATCCGAAATTCCGGAGTTACGAAATTCCGGAATTCCGGTATTCAAGCCCTAGTTCGAATCCCACCGCCGCGCTCGACTATTGTGGTGAGCCCACTCGTAACACAAGCTTATTTAGCTTTTTAACACGAGAGGCTAACGGGACTATTAGTAATTTGTACAATATAAATTGCTAATAATAATCTTTATAAAAAAAAGTTATTAAAACTTCTTAATATAAACCCTACCTAAACTAGGTACTTAGGAGCTGGAATATTATTGCTTCTTATAGGTAAGTACGCGTTGTGTCGCTCATTTGAGGGTAGCTTTTCGTAATTTTACACAGGCCACCACTAGGTAACTGGTGGGTATTATTATGAATGCTCAGGATAAAGTAAAAGTCATTATTCCTTTATTTGCATGGACTATTATAAATAGGTACTTAGTGCTTACAAATCGTCAAGACAAGGAGCACTTACTTTTCAGAATCAAAAAATGTTAGTTTATTAGGAACTTTCTGTTTTGCATTTCAGTCTAGAACGAAAACTCGTATGAACGAGTATAGGATAGGTACAGTAACAGTTGCGGGCTTAAATCCAGCTGAAAGTAGGTACCCCAGTTTTAATTGATCTATGTAACTTTGATAATGAATTTTTATGGTGTAGGTAAGGTCTTTCAAATATTACCAGACCGGAACGAAGCCAACTTTATAAATGTTCCCTTTTACAAGACAAAGCTTCACCAAAAGCTCTTCGTTCATTACAATCATGCAAGAGGGCTTTTCAAAAGGTAGTAGGCGTTTAACCGAGCGGGATTGTTTAAAAGAAAGTTATTAATCACTGCCGAAAGGCTTTAGGGTTCATCATCCTCCCATTATATGGTTGAGCAAGATTTGAGATGATTGGAGGCGCCTGATTCTAAATGACTGTTATTGATCTACAGGCGTATGTTGGTGTGTGTGGCGTTAGTGGTTTGTAATTGTTAGGTAGGTTCTTTTATGTTATGGCAGGCCTGGCTCACTCCGCGCGGTACATCCGATAATTACCTACAGCGAAGCGCCCCGCCGGCGGGTATTATATCAGTCGAGTGTCACGCGCGCGCCCGTCAGGACGCTGCTGGCGTGCGTTGTAGTACCTAATTCTATGATCGAAGTATTATTTAAAAATGGACATAAAGAGAAAGAAATATTATTGTGCGGCGTTCGGGTGTTTAAATTCGAAAAGAAATCTACCGGATTTATCTTTTTTTTCGCTTCCCAAAGATGCTGAAAGGTATGTTGACCATGTAGGTAATCAATAATTCTTAGGATAGTATAGGAACCTAACCTTCCATGACTATTGCTCAGAATGCGTTCGTTCGTTTCAGCCAAAATAAATGACGTCCACTGCTGGACAAAGGTTTCCATAATGAATGCGTACTTACCTACATACGTACCTCATTACAAATAAGTAGATTAATAATTTTTTTACTAGACACTACTAGACAGCAACCCTAACAGCGTAAGAAGAGTTCAGAGGCACGCGATAGAAAGAGACAAAGCTTGTAGGTGAATAAAATTGTAGGTACGTAGTGCTGTGCGAGCTGAATTCCACTGTATCGCGTCGTAGCAAGACTCGCATTTATTTAAATCGTCTTGCGGAGTAATCCTTCTGTACCTGTACTATTACTTATTCTGTGGTTATGGGCAAGAATATTATATTTTGAAACAAGATTTTATTTCTACAATCAGTGACAGTACATATTTTTTTCAAAAATTCATTCATTCGTCGTGAGCTCAATTCCCAAGGCAATCGATTTTTACATGTAGGTACGCATTCAAAAATTTTGTTTGAGGACGCAACTCTTAGGCTGAATTGCACCACCTAACATTAACCGTTACTATAACGATAACAGGCGTTTGTATGGAGTTTCACAAAAATTTTACGTTTGTTAAAGGTTAAAGCCCAGCCTTAACGTTTGTTAATTTAAGTATTTCTTACCTATGAACTCAGCTAGTAGTGCTCTGCTGATGCCGGCGGCGCCTCCAGCCAGCTCATCCAGGCCCAATTTGGCTCCCAGTTCTCCCATTGTACTGTTGAAGAGAAAATAAAGCATGAAATACGTAAAGTAAGTACCTACCAAGCAAATTCTACAACTACCTCCTACCTTCCTACCTTCGTGATTCTATTAATTTATTCTACTTTTTCATGACATTGCTCTTGTAATTATAATAAATTCCACCTCAGTCATTGAAATGTGGAAATATTTTTAAGATCTGATAAAACTTATCCAAAGAGACATTCGTTATCTTTGATGTTTATTATGCTACAACATGGTAGCGCCTTGCTCTGTACAAATATCGTAAACTACAGCTGCACACAATTAATTAATGTTCTAATATTAAAATCATTTAGATTTGTATTTTAGTTTCTTCATATTATTTTGGAAGGTTTGTTCTTTCAAACCACGCGTGAACCCTCCAATTAGATTAGATAATTAGATCCGGTAATATGTTAATTTTATTTAAAAGCTATCATAATAGAGAGCTGTAATTTAGCGTAGAACAATAGAGCCGAACTAGTATGTGAGAAAATAAACGCACTCATTTGAAACCGCCTCGACGCCCTTTGTTAAGGTACACGTTACACGTCGTTACTTCACCGAATCAGATAGTTTTAATTTCGTTCAACAATTTACTTTTTTCACTGAACCGGTTCTCGGGCAGGTTTTGTTAACGTAATGGCGGTGGTAACAAAGAACGATGGCTCAGCAATAATTCACTGACTGGTGTAATAGCAATAGGGAAATGAAAATTTGATTGCTAGTACAAGTAGGTACATTAATTATAGCAATTATATGACTCGATTCCTAATCGCTATGGGACAGATCACGGGAAGCAGGGGAACGCTTCCTGTCATTTGATGGCAACAATAAGGTGCTAATGAGACCGTGATGTCATGGGTTTGGAAAAGTTATTTAACAGTCCCGTCATAGTTCAGTTCCAACAATCACGTTTCCAATCTGTGCATCGGCTCTATTTTAAAAATTCAGGACTATTTTTTATCATTTTGGTGTGTAGCTTAATTAGCGAAACGAATGAGACTAAATTAACCTAATTTTATTTAAAAAAAATAGAACAACCAGCATTTAGCTACTGAGGATATTTAATTAGTATGTATTAAGTATTTCGTCGAAACTAAGCGAAATGAATTTCTGCAGGAATTGGTATCGTTTTCAGTCAGGAAATGTGATAATTTTCAATCTTTTTATAGAGATGACAATATGTTGTAGCAAGAATTGCTGATATGATCTGAATTTTGATATTTTCATAACGAGATAAGGATTTATTTTTGGCAACATTTTTAAATCCGGGATTACGCGGTAGATCGCGGAAAATGCACAATATAGGTAGGTGTTCTGTTGGTGAAAAACCTAAATTCAATTCAAAAACAAGCCGAAAATATTTTGATCACAAAATGCAACATGTTACCATATTGTTGCAATAAATCCCGTGAAGTGATAATTTTATGTTACAATTGTTTAATAACGTAAAACACACCTTTCTAAAGATAAATATTTATTTAAGAATGTTTGTGTTATCTTATCAACTTAGTCATTCAGAAGTGGTAAATAGGATATTATTATTAACAACTCTACTACCACTATTCCGTTATTTTGTCACACCTGGATTATAAAAAAATGTTTAATTTTGTACAGCTGCCGTACATTCCATCTTTCCTTTCTGATAGTCGGTTATTATTTAACAAACAAACAAGTTCTGTCCGTAATAGTGTTTCTTACAGTTAAGTTCGCTTTCCCCGTAATTTTTAACCAGATTTGTGATAAGAATAGTTTTAGTACAGTAGTGTTGTCGTTTCTAATAAGTAATGTATGAACAGATAAATAGTCTCATTTTGCATTATTAATATGACGTGGGTTCTAGGAATTGCACTTATCCACGTACACGGACACAAACAAACAAACTCATTAACTGCAAATAAGGAGAGCTGCATCACTCGTGAAAATATAAATAATTCCACCACTTTTATGGTAGCTCGGTCATGGCGAGCTGCAGTATCCTTGCCTTTGACAGCTCGCACTGCCCCATAGTGGAATTACGCCAAGTTAATGCCTCATACATTAGCTCTTATACAAAAAATCTATGGCGTACCTACAAAACGTTAGTGTTGCAGTTGTTTCATTACAAAGCAAAATAATAAATTTTCGGTCACGAACGCGTTTGCAAGAACAGTTTCAGGAAGGTTCATAAGTTTGACGAACTGGGTTAACTTTGCAGTTGCTTTCCCTTGTGGATTCTAGAACAATGGATCCTATGATTAAATATTTACCTACAGATAATGAAAGTAGATATCTTTCAAATTGTAAAATATTATTTGCAATAAGTAGGTGCGGTTTCGACGAATATTTTATTGCTAGTGAAAGTAATCATTATTCATCATTAGTTGTAAAAACTAATTGAAAATTATTAAGTAGTATAAACTCGTTTCATTAGAAGTGACAAAAACGCATCGCGTTTGTAATACCGCTGGTATAAATACTTATGCCTCTGGTAGCTTCCAGAAACTAATGGACATGTCATTCGATACGCTGAAAACTCAACTCTATTTAAATCAACATACAATCTCAGTTTTTGTTACAACTTACCAGGAAAACCCGGCCTTGTGCTTGGGTGGTGTTAGAAAAAAGCTTTTTCGAGACACTATGATTATAACAGTGTTCATTATCCAAATGACACGTGGAGAACATTAGCCTGACAGTTCAAGGTAAAGGACGAAATCAAGGAATAATTATAAGTTGACTTAATCCAAAGCTATCATGTGTTCTATTTTCTTTCGTTATCAAGAATTTTAGTAAATAAAGGTACTTTACTAAGTACGCGCAAAATCTGTGTAAATAATATTCGTAAAGTATTTTATTAATGTTAATTAGGTAGTCATACTGAGCAGCATGGACACATTGTAAACATGTTAGCATTCAACCAGTGTCCCGAATCTAATTTACTTAAACATTGAAATGATATGCACGGAACGAATTCCTTACGTACTTACTTACAAGGTATCAAGTCATGCACGGACTTGACAATATTTATGTAAGAGTTTTGTGCAACTGCTTTTGATGGTAGGTACTGTTATGTAACTGCGTAATGGTTTGGGGGATGATTCTCGTGCAATAGAGAGAGAGATAATCTCGAAATAGAGGATAATGACGAATCACCGAAAAAAACTCAAAATACTTTGTAAAATATCAAAGAAAATCCTAGAATAGTCTCAAAAAATGGTGTCTCAAGTCGATAAATCCGCAGTTTTCCTCAGATGGTCTCTATCACACAAGTAACCTAACCATGTACATACTCTAGAATAGAAAATGAAGTTTTTAACGCAGAAATTTTCACGATTATTTAGTGTAGGAAATGGCTTAGATTTCATCAACAAGTCAACCTACTTTAGATCACTTTTCTTTTGAAAGTGATGAACATAATGTTACGGAAAAACAACTAACATAGGTACCATAAGGAATTTACGCCAGACCAAGAGCATACCAAGATCTATATCACAACAAGTTTCTGGCAGTGCGACTTCTTAGCAAAAAGTACACCATGAGTAGTACCACAAAAACAGTTACCTGCCAGTTTAAGTTTGGAGCGGCGTCAAATACTGAGTCTTTTCCTTGAAAGGTCAGACACCTTCACGACATTGTATTAAGCTTTTAAGGGAATAATTTTAACCTTGATTATATTTTGCGTAGGTCAGCACTGAAAGGCTTTACGCATTTCAGTTTATTGGTTCCATAGTTTCCATGTTATTTTTATCCATCGCTTTTATACATGTAACTAAGTACTTGCCTAATTTATTGCTTAGATTTAGCGTGAAAACCTTAAGTCTACGGCTTATTACGAAGTCTCGATATTAAGCAGAATTTTTAAGAGCTCATCATGTCTTGTGTGCTTCAAAGTTTTTCTGTTTTCAACCGACTTCAAAAAAGGAGGAGGTTCTCAATTCGACCCGTATGTTTTTTTTTTTTTTTTTTTTTCATATAAAAGAAAGTCGTGTTAGTTACTTCGCTTATAACTCAAGAACGGCTGAACCGATTTAGCTGAAAATTGTCAGGGAGGTAGTTTAGAGCCAGGAGAAGGACATAGGATACTTTTTATTCCGTTATTTATTGCCATTAAGGCGGAACAAAGTTCGCCGGGTCAGCTAGTTATTAATATTTATGTAGGTATACCATGATTGATACTTCTGGAGTCGGTGCCAAGATTATGAAACATGTAAAGTTTGCCTGCACCGACTCCAGAAGTATCAATCATGGTATACCTACATAAATATTAATAACTAGCTGACCCGGCGAACTTTGTTCCGCCTTAATGGCAATAAATAACGGAATAAAAAGTATCCTATGTCCTTCTCCTGGCTCTAAACTACCTCCCTGACAATTTTCAGCTAAATCGGTTCAGCCGTTCTTGAGTTATAAGCGAAGTAACTAACACGACTTTCTTTTATATATATAGATTCGTCCTAATAAATAAGTAGGTAATTAGTAATTATTTTTCTACGTTTTAGTGTAGGTTTTTTGGAGTCGGTTTTATTTTTTTTTATAAAATTTTACTTATACACAAGAACTTTAAAACCTATTTCACGGTCAATGTAGAGTTATTAGTAATCTGTTGTAGAGCTTTTACAGTCCTGAGCTTTTGTAAGAGCCAAAACGTGTTTAGAATCTTTCAATGGATTTATGACCCCTGTTAAACTATTGCACATGCAGTATCGACACCAGACGCGGGCATTAATGCGTCGAGATTATGAGTTGTGTACATAACGCCACTACAAAACCTTGTCCCGGTCGTAACATGGAATACTTGGCTCGTGCCAGTGTTACGACGATCGCTATAATCATAATTCGTACTCTATTTGAGTTACATAAACGATCGGCAATATTATGGTTATAAAAACATTCCATTGAACAAAGTCAAGGTTTGTTTTGAAATTTGATGTTATTTGTGCAGCTTATTTTTGTTGCAATCACAAAAACTATGCTGTAGTCGTATGAAAAAGTTTTGCTGTAAGTTTCTGT